CTCATTCATCCCCAAATCCAGTTCTGCTTTATCAGGCATGCTGAATGAAGCTGCTCACTTCACTTGTCTGTCAAGACACCAGGGAATAAGTGAAATGGATGACAGCCTCACCCAGTGCATGCCAGGTCAGGATGTCTTAAAACCTGGCTTCTCCAAACTGATTAAGTGTAGTCTTACAAGTAAAAAGAGAATCCAACTTGGTAGCTGACTGTTCATTAATACAACACTATACTTCAAACTCATGTTTAAGCTTACTCCACACCTAAGTCTGCCATTCATAGCTATACTTAGACCATAAGTTTAAAAATAAACATTAAAAACCACCATAAACTTAAAAATAATAATTTTAAAAAGAGCACATGGCAAGAGTATGGCTGGATTTAACAGAGAAGCTGTGAAAAAAGAACAACTCATACTTGCAAGAAGTCAGGAGCTGCTGCAAAATCTGGAAAAAACAAAGTGGTAAGAAAGTGCTGCACTTTTAAAAGCTGGATTCAAGCCAGAACAATAACATCAATGAAAAACTGTAGATGTCAGGCAGGTAATTCCGCAGGCAGAAGAAAGACACGCTCCCTCCCCTCTATCCCAAAATCTTCTTGAAAGACTTCGGCCAGACATAATCAAATCCCAAAAGTGCTCAGACAGAAAATGAAGGAAAATTACTCATATGTAAGCTTTACAAAACATTAAAAAACTGAGTTAAGCAACAGATCTAACTGGCAATTATTAGTGCAATTGCTTGCAATAGCAATGATACAGTGAAAAGATCACATCCTACCCAAGACTCTGATCCAGCTGCAATTTCTGCATCTGTTGCACAGACAGACATCCAACTCTGAACAGAAGTAAAACATACCTAAAATGATTATCTGTGACAACTATTAAAAAGTTACTCAAATATTAAGCTCATATATAATTACTGTACATTCATAGTGCTTTCTTATTTTATAAGCCTGGCACTTTTCCTGTGACTGACCCAACCGAGACAATTTAGGGCACTTTAACCCAGAAGGATATTGACACAATATAAATAGACCTAGCAACAGTTCTTCCTAAGATATCACATTGCAGATGCTGTTAAAACCAACAAAAAATATTCCCTACTGTCTTAAAGCAGTTGGCATCTCAAACTGGAAAAGGAAATTATCCCACTGCAATGCAGACACAATGAAGATACACACCCTTAAGGAACTCATTTACATCAATTCCAATGCATTTTCCATAATGCAAATGAAAACGCTTTTGTCCAATAGCATGCCAAGACATGCATACAAAACCTGTATCTTCAGTGGTTCACTTCACAAAGTGGATGGTGCTTAGGTGGGGAAGGTGACAAACCATGAGATAGAGAGTAAGGGATAGGCTGTTAGAAGCAGCTTGCTTGCTTAAATGCAGGATTTGAAGAAAGTATGATTTAATTATTTGAAGAATACTCCACAAATGCTTTTGATCACAACATAAGATTAAAAAGCCTAGCTTTTTTGGCATAGGAGTATATAAATTTTTCTTCAGGATTATGGCAATCCTACTAGGGTACCTACACTCAGCACATCACACCCCAGCTACCCTGTAGCCCCAGTATTCTCCATCTAGCTGGCATCCATACCAGATACTTCCATCTACCACTTGCCACAGATGTGCCCAAATCCCATCCCTAATCCCAGCCAGATTGCCCCTCATGGCTGTGGCTTGGCTGAGATGCACCTAGGGTTTGAAGGACCAGCAGTGGGTATGGGGAGTGGGAAGGAGAGAGCCACAGAGGAGACAGCAGGAAGATACAAGTGCTGGCTGGTAGAAAGCACCTTCCTGTTCATTCCAAGGACCTTTAATTTCATCTCACAAGTAGCAGGATCACAGCCAAAAGATCAAAAGTAAAACAGCGCAAGAGCAAGCCAGCAATCTGCAGTCCTGCATGATACCATGAGCTACCCATGCACTTGATATTGCATCAGAAGTACACCACTGAGGCTACCAAGACAACCTCTCCACAACTGGATAATGCAAGAATTCAAGCTGTTGTCCTGTGTCCATTAGGCCATCCAATGGGGATTGATTTATGGCAACAGGATATACCCAACTAACTATTAGTGGTAATGAACTAGATTGCTTTTAGTTTCAAAATCCTGTGCAGCCTTAATGCTTCATTCATCACACACCTCTCAAAAATGTAACCTGTCCTAAATTGACACTCATTTCATATTTGTTTTTTTTATAGCATTCTTTACCTTGGTATCAAACTACTGCACACCAGCCATATCCTTCCTGCTTCATTCTCAACACCTTCACATCTCTAGCTCAACCTCAGTATTTTCCAGAAAACAAGAAAAATACCTGTCTGGCCAAAGCAGCAGCACTTTGAATACAAAGCATCACCGTGCCATGCACAACCTTTCAAATGAAGCAATACACAGAGAACATCCCAGTCACAGGGAACATCCCAACACTCGTGTGTTTTAAAGTTATGCAACAAATAAGCAAGGACTCTACACATTTATTCTGACTACCTAAATTTGGAACAGCTGCTTCACAAATCCAGCAGTCTTCTGAATGGCAGCATGGGATAAACCAAATACAAACAAAAGGTGGAAATAGTTTAGAAAGAGACCAGTACACATAATTCAGTGACAGGTCACAGCAAGACATGGGGTATTTCAGGATTTCACAAGTCTCACAACTGCTGTCAATGAACTGTAACAAACTATTCTTCAGCAGCACTTGCTAACAGGGAGTGGAGTAGCCAAGTGAGAAGTAACTAAGCTATTCCCAAAGGGCTCACAAGTATGCAAGAATAGCAATGGTATGCAAGAATATTTCTAGTATTGTACTTCAGAAACTATTCTGGAGATTTTTGGGATCAAAATAGCTGGATAGGAGGCAGGGAAGAAAATTAGCCCCTTGCTGTTATGAATTAAGGTCTTTCTGAAGTGTAGCCCTGCACCTTCTATTTTTGGCTGGATCATTTTTAAGGAAGTCACATATTTAATTCCTGAATAAACAAAAGTCACTAAAAATATTTATTTCAAATTTTTATTTGCCCAAAGCAATTACAACTAATTTATGTCTTTGACAAATATCCCCCTAGATCAATCCTTCCAATAAAATATGACACTTCATTTGTGATTTAAAATAAAATACTTCCACCAGCGACCTATTGTACTGATATATCTCTAAAAAAAGATACAACTGTGAGTTCTCTGCAAGTTCATCCGAAGTCCTAACTCTTGAGGAAAAAAGAGAAAGTGCACATCTGAAATTAATGAGAATAAATACCATTGTCAGTGTAATTAATTTAAGAACCTGAAAGTGCTTTAAAAATGTTCATTGGTACACCACATATCCAAACCAATAACCAGTGTTCATCCTGTTATACAGATTTAGTAAGTAAGGGACTGTAAGGTCTTTTTCTTTTACATCACAAAATGACTCACTGGCAAAGTCAAACAGAGGTGAAGCTAAAGACACATGGAGAAATGCAGCTTGAGGCTCAATTGCTCATTACCACACCCTACAAGTACCTGATTTACTAAGGTATCATTCATCTCACCTAGTCCAATAACATGATAAATTTGATAATCCGGACTCCAGAACATGCCACCTGTGACAGGGCAAGATGCTAATCCTGGTGCTGCAACTACATCATATCAGCCAACATGGGAGCCCCATTAGTGCAGACAACCTCTCACAATTTCTGTTCCTCAAAAAAGAAAAGACCTCTGTGAAAAAATCTTGAAGGAAAGCACCTGCATGATCAGGAAGTTTTCACTTTATTTTTACCAATCATTTACTGGCTATTTCTTGTGTGCAAAGCCAGTCTCCTATATGAGGTTGGTTGCAATGTCTGGGTAGACATTAAGGAGCAGGGGAAAGTGAAAACTTTCCAACTGAATACTACCACAAACCTCTTTTTAAATTGTATTAGTTTATTAAAAAAAAAAAAAATAAAAAAATTTAAAAAAAAAAAAAAAAAAAAAAATATTTTAAAAAAAAAAAAAAAAAAAAAAAAAAAAAAAAAAAAGAAAAAAAAAAAAGGAAAAAGCAAGAAAAGCAGTGACATTACTACTTCTGCTACACAATTCCCATTTACCCTTGCAGACTAATAGGTCCTCACAGACAAACAGGCATACATCATCTACATACCAGGCATGTAAATACTTCATGTAGCCACTAAACTGCAGGTTTTGCTACATGCAGTGTAATTAACTATTTCTGCGTATTTTCTGCTCAGAAATTGTTATGAAGTTCCGAAGGACAGTCATTACACCATGTCTTGTGGTCTGCAATGCAACTGCAGATCTTAGGTGTAATCACACATCTCCAGAAACAGTTTGTTTTCCAACTATCTAGAGAATGAAGATTACACAATACTTGAAACTTGAGCCTGCCAAAATAAGTTGTTATAAAACTAGCTGCGCAGCCTGACACATCACCTTGAAAGAAAGTAAATAACATTCTCCTCAGAATAAACCATAGCCTCAAACAGTCCTGCCAGGGGATCTGATCCATGCCTAACTGATGCTGCATAAGAGTTAAGATATGGTTACATTTTTCTGTCTTTGGACAGAGGCAGTACTTACTGATCTTCCCAAATACTCCTTTAACATCGGTAGGACATTCTAAGTTCATTTAAACAATTCACAGGAAAAAGATACACCGACCCACCTACCAGCAAGCTACTTTCTAACTCTCTCAATGTTTTCCCTGCAAACAAAAGGTATTCAGTAGCAGGCAACATATCCTTTTGGTCATGTGCATTGCAGAAATACCAAGCACAAACCAAATTAATCGCTTCACATATAATTATAACAATACGCATATATTGGTTATGCCTTTTTAAAAAAACAGAGCACAGTCTACAGCCTATGCTGTAATACACACAACACTCCAGGGCACGATAAGCTCTTTATTAATGCTTGCAATAAAAAGAACACTGTAGAGCAATTACATGCCGTAGCCATGGATTTCCACAATCAGAGCTCTACCAGCAGCCAGTGTGTACTCACAAGGTGTTGAGACCTCGGGGGGAGCGATGTTTGCAGCAAACTAGTGGAAATATTTCCAGTGGAGTTTTCAGGTGATGTCAACAACAGGAAAGATGACTTTGAGCCAGATTTCCATTTCTCATCAGACGCGGCCTTAAAAGTTGAAACAAGAGCGTTAAGACTCCTCGTTTCCACCCGCAAACCTGCAATCGAATCCCTACGTCGACACAGGCTCCTGTAGGTAGCGGCATCCCGGAGGGTCCGTCCCTGCCCTACAGGGGGGTCCCTCCCCGGGCTGGGATAAGGGAACACTGTCACGACTCCGGTCCGGGGCACTGGCTTCGCCGCGATCGTCCCCAGCTAGAGCCCCGCCACAGCCCGGCCACCTCCGCCATCACCTGTGCGGCCCCGCCGGGAGCGCCCCCGCCCCGCGCGGCCCCGCCGCCCCTCGGCGCTCCCCGGCCGCCGCAGCCCCTCGCCGCCGCGGCGGGCGCGGGCGGGCGCCGCGCTCACCTGCGCTGCCCCGGCGCCGCTCCCGCCGGGCCGGGCCGGGCTCGGCACTGCCCCTCCAGCGGCGCCGGGCCGGGGCTGCCCCGGGGGAGGCGCCGCCGCCGCCGCCGCCGTGCCCGCTGCGAGGGCGACACCGAGCGGCCGCGGCGGGCGGCAGCGCCCAGCGGCCCGGGCCGCCTCCCACCCCGTCGGGCCGCAGTGGGTCACTGGGTCCAATCTCCCTGGTTAACCAGGGTTGTCCCAAAGTACGTGGAACAAGGCTGCGTCCAGTCAGCTCTTGTCCTTCCAGTGAGGGGACTTCCACAGTCTCTCTGGGAAATATGTTCCACTGTGTAGTCATCCACACAGTAAATAAGTTCTTTCTTATGTTCAGGTGAAACTTCCCATGCATCAGTTTCTGCCTGTTGCCTCATACCCGAGTGGTTGAGACCACCAAGAAGAGCCTGTCTCCATCTTCTTGGTAACCTCCCTTTAGATAGTTATACACAGTAATGAGGTCTCCCTTCAGTCACATCTCTGGCAACCAGGCTCAGCTCTCTCAGCCTTTCCTCATTAGACAGATACTTCAGTCTCTCAATCACCCTTGTTGCCCTCCACTGGACCCAGAGCAGCTATATATCCCTCTTGTACCGAGGAGCCCAGAACTGGACACAATAAAATTTCCCCAATTTCAGGGAGACCAGATGCCCTTCCCTCTAGCAAGGAGCCAGCCAGCAGGCTTTGAAGTCTGAACTGAAGGTCAGAGAGGGACACCTTGAAAGCTGACTGTGCCTTCTCAATGCCTCACCCACCCCTCCAGCTATCACAATATCACTGTGACCTTCTGCTCACCCCAAGTCATATGTTTGTGTGGGCAATTATGGGCGAATGTCAGTAATTCACAAACTGCTAGGGAAGCAAGTTGGACAGGACCATCTGTAGACACTGGTAAAGCACAAAGGAGTTTGTAAGAGTAGGCTGAGTGAAATGATAAAAGTGGGATTGGGAGAAGGAGAAGAAGAAGAAGAAAAGCAGCTGTTCCCCATACAATGCTTGATCTCACAGGCACATCACTTTCAAAGGCTGTTTCTCTAGCTTGAAGGCATTCTTAATTAAGGCACCCTAAATTAATTGATGCCATAAACAAACTAAACATTGAAGTATCTCAGGCACTTCCTAGTTATGTCATGAATATATTCTTTTGAATGTTTTTCAGACTATTCTACTTACGCCTTTTTCACTAACAATTCACTATGGTAGTCATCATTCTGTGGCAATAGTCATACCAGAGGTTCACATCAAAACCCTTGGTGCTCCCCAGGAAAAACTGACTGACTGACTGGATTTATTGTTCTGATGCCTCTTCGATCTCATCAAGGCTTTGTCAAAACTACAGCATTAATCTGAAGTCTGGTGTCATTATTTAAGTTAAAGTGCAGTTGCTAAAACACCTAAAAACACACTGTGATTCTTCACACTATGATTTCATTTCCTCATTTCCACATTCAGGATTGGCTTACTTCATGTGAATTGTATTTAATTTTATACTGTGCAAAATTCTAATGTAGAAATAGAAGTATTTGTGTGAGTAACAGTTAACCTGTATGTTAAATAAGTTCCATATATGTAAAAGTTGGCAGAACTATTTTATGTTTGATCATTACGACTGAGAAACAAGATCTAGCACATCGTAGAAAAAAGCTTTCTTGGCACAGGTCTGTCACCAATGTGACATTGTGAAATTTCATGGAAATTTTCACTCTTTAACAAGAACAGGATGAGACCCTATTGTGATCCTGCAAAACTAGGTGCAGATAGGTCCCTGATTGTGTGGACGTCAGTGGCACAATTCCCTGTGCTTAAGTAAAATTAACCTTTTCTAATGCAGACAGTTGGTTTTGTATTCTTCTGGATTTTTTTTTCCCTAGTGAGGAGAGAAATGAATCACACAGAAAGAATATAATGTTGTATGAACTGCAGTTCTCCATGGACAAAGTCCAGTCACATCTATCACTGTACATGTCATATATGCAAAGACACAACCTCTTATTTACCTCTGCCCTTACTGCAAGTCCTGTGACTGAAGGCTGGGCACTGTTTCATTATGTGCACCCAGCTTCAAAGTCAAGTGACCTGACAAAAAGGAATGAAGAAAAAGGCAGAGGGAACTGAAAACAATCTGGTGGCAAAAGGACCGAGGAGGAGCAAATCCTGAGGCCTATGTAGAGTCCACGACAGATTATATTGCTAAGGAATTGGTATAAATGCTTCAGCCCTGCTCCAAAACCCTATCTGACAATGGGCCTGGAATCTATGTGGCTTTGAATCTGAAGCTGTGGTCAGGTAGGAGAACACTGATGTCAGTTGTGGGAAGGTTGTGGGAAGAGCTGCATTGCAACCAGTCCTCTTTTTTGAGTTTCCACACCCTGATTTTGTATTTTAATATATCCAAATTATTCAGTCCCTCACTGGTCATGTTTCATAGTTCTCTGTGCAGAAGAAACCTAATACAGACATTTCTGGGCAAGATCCCCTATCCAAAGCTGGCCTTGAAACCTAACAGCCTTTTGTGCACATAAGTGATCACCTGGTGTGTGGGACAGATGGTCCTTCATTACACACCTGGAAATTTTCTTCCTCTTTCCATCAGTTTTCAGCAGGATAATGCCTGTCAGGGCTGTCCCAAGACACAATGCTGAAAACCTGAGTGGTAAAAAAATCCTGCTCCAAACCTAAGTCCTAATTCCTTTTACAGGATTTACAGAACCTTGAAAGGTTTCCCATAATCTTTTAGTACATTGTTAATCTTTTCAAGCAAAACTTCCAAGCAGGTTGGTAAGTTGAGAATAAAGGCATGCCTTTCAATAAATTTGTATATTAATAGGCAAGGGGGATTTCTCCCACCTCTGAACAGATGTGTACCTTCTTTATCTACAGTGGCTTAGTGCAACCTGGAAGGCCTGGCGATAAGAAGATTGTCATGCAGCACAGAGGTCAGAAAAATAATCAGCTGCAGGAAAAAAGGAGAGACTCCAAGCAGAAGTCCAATCAATATACTGAATGCAAGGAGAGAGAATGGGACAGGAAGAAGTAGAAAGGAAGAAACAAAGAAACAAAAACAGAGGAAAATTTGGTGCTGGAGAATCAGGAATTCAGCTGCCAGTCACCACAGTGGACAGCATGGGATGACAGTCAGGGACTAACACACTCTGGAACTTAGACTGGTACAAGATAAGAAGAGCAGCACTGGAAACTCCTGAGAAGGAGCCTGGGTGAGAGGCAGGAGGTCTGTCCTTGCAGAGCAGGCCTGGAAAAAGCAATGGAAGGGAGATGAGGGCACCTTGGTCTGTCAGTGGCATCAAAATCTCAACTTCTTCAGAGATTTCACTACTATGTCTCTTAGTGCTCCTTATTAATCAAGTTAATTATTTCTAAAATAATCTCTGTAACCCATACTGCAAATACATTACCTCCCACCATCAGTGCCTAGCTTAACAGTTTGGGCTTGCCCATGTGATGACAGTCAGCATGGAAAGGGCATGGGGCAGGGCAGCAGGCAGTGCTTGGCAGATGGGAGAGCTGAGCAGCACCAAGCACACACTTGTCCTACCCATGTCCCAGAGTCTTCCACATGCTGGAAGTGTGCCCAGATGATGCAGGAGAGTCCCATGTCTGTCTTTGGAGTTTGTGCAGGATGAGGTTGCAGGACATGACCAAGAAGAGGAGGCTCAGGGGAAACCTTACCACTCTCTTCAAACTGACTGGAAGAAGGTTGTAGCCAGATAGGGGTCAGGTCAGAGTCTTCACCCTGGCAACCAGTGACAGGAGGAGAACACATAGACTTAAGCTGCCTCAGGGGGGATTTAGGTTCTACATTAGGCACAGAATCTTCACAGAGAGGATGATTAGATTCAGGATGGACTGTCCAGGGAGGTGATGGAGTCGCCAGAGGTGTTTAAGGAAAGACTGGAAGCGGCACGTAGTGCCACGGTGTAGTTGACACGGTGTTCAGTCATAGGTTGGACTCGATGATACCATAGGTCTTTTCCAACCGATTTGATTCTGTGACTGTAAGGATTCTGAGCAGGGATGCTTGTAACAGAAACGCCAGGTGCCATCTGGTGCCGCTGCCGGGCACACCTGGCCACTCCGCTCGCCCACCGCGGCGCCCCGCACGCCAGGAAGGAGCGGCGCCTCGCGTGTGCACCGCTCCCACGGGTGTCTCTCGGGACAGCAGGGCCGGGCGAGCGGCGGCGGCGCTCGGACCCGCCGGTGAGCCCGCAGCGCCGGGCACTGCCCGCGGCGCTGCGCGCCGGCGGCACGGCCGGGCTCGGAGCGGGCCCGGGCGGGCGCGGAGGCCCCGGCGGCCCGTGACCGGGCGCGTCAGGTGACGCGGGTCACGCCGCCTCCCCGCCCGCCCCGCCGGCAGCTGCGCCGCGCTCCGCCAGCGCCGTGCGGGGGAGGAGGGGAGCGGCGGCGGCGGGCGCGGCGCCAGCGCGGGACCTGCGCCCCCCGCGCCCCGAGCCTGCCGCAGGCAGAGGGGCCGCCCAGCCCCGCGGGAGCGCGGCCGGCATGAGCCAGGTGCCGAGGAAGCTGCCGGAGGAGGCAGAGGGGGACGAGGAGGAGGAAGAGGAGGAGGAGATCGTGGGCTTGGCGGGCTACGCCGACGGGGCCGAGTCCTTCTCGGACGGCGACGCGGAGAGCGGCGGCGATGAGGCGTGTGAGTGAGTGCCGCCCGCGGCGGCCGCAGCGGCACCGGCGGCGGCGGGGCGGCGGCCGCGGGGGGCGGGGGCGGGGGCTGGGGCTGCTCCCGGGGAGCCGAGGGGCAGCGCCGGGCTCGGAGGGGGCCGCGGAGCAGCGGCCGGCAACGAGTGCGGGTGTGCAGTGAGGCGGGGCGGGGGCCGGGGGCGGGGGACGCGGGGCCGCCGCCGGGAGGTGAGGTTTGGCGGCCCGCGGATGTGGGTCAGGGAGGAGGCGAGGCTCCCCGCGGGGTTTGGGGCACGAGGGGAGCCAGGGACAGCGGTGCGGGGAAAGACGAGGCGTCCAGAAGGAGGGCAGGCCCAGCTGGGGACAGGGTTGGGCACTGGGAGGCCGGGCGGAGCGAGGATGCTGCGGAGGTGGCCATGGGAAGCCGGGACGGAGACAGGGTGCTCGGTGGGTCTGAGGGTGCAGGGGGCTCTGAGGAAGGAGCAGGGCAAGGCTGACAGGTAGCAGGAAGCGTTGGGAAAGAGAGGAGGCAAAGGGAGTGCGGGCAAAGTGTGTGTGTGTGTGTAATTTCTCATCAGTATTCTTCAAGTCTGGGGTGAGAGTTATTAGTTATTGGAGGCCACAGCTTGATGATGTGACCCGAGAGTGCCAAGGAGGTGGGGGGTTGGGTGTCACGCTATAAAAGGCAGCGGCCACACGCAGCTCTGTGTCCGGGGCTGCTCCGCAGCTGCGAGTGTCAGTCCCACAGTGGCAGGCTCTGCTAAATGTCCGTCTGTCTGTGCTTGTGAGGAACCGCCTTACTCGCTGCATGTCCGTGTCAGGATGGATGGTGATGCTGAGAAGGACGGGCTTACCAGGAAAGGCAGTCTCATTCAGTAGAAAAAGGAAATGCCAGCTCAGAGCCTGTTGCGTTCATTCAGAGCCTGAATTCATTCTTCTGAGACATATTTCACAAAGGAGCTTGGAGAACTCTCAGGATCACAGGATAAAAAAAATGTGCTTTTTTATAAGAGCATAATAAAAGGCCGCATGTTTTAAGTCTTCTTCAATATTAGCGTGCGGAACCCTTCTCCTTAAAGGCCCAGTCCTGCAGGCTGCCATGGGAGGTGTTGCATTGACTAATGTAATTTTGGGGAGTGGAGGAAGGTCACTGCTTTCAGCATAAGCCTTCATGGTTAAAACCTATAGGAATGTTAGACTATAAGAGTTATAACTGAGACTAAATAAAGTCTTACTTGAACCTGCTAAAGAATTGCTGTATTTTTGATACAAAAAGAATAATTTTAATGTGTTTCTTTAGTGCTACACTTAGTATTTTCTGTAGAGAAGTAACCCATATATTGTCTTCAGACAAATTCTTTTGGATATTTTTGAATAGGAACTTGTTAGACTGCTAAAAATTGCAATTGCTTCTTTATAGTAACACCAGAATATTGTACTTAACAGAAAAGAGCTTTTACATCCTGAATAGCAGGAGAAGACAGTCCATAAAGGGACTGTTTTACACAGAATTAAAATAAAACCCATTCTAACTGTCCAGATTCCCTGGTTTTCTGTTTCATTTTGAATTCTCTGGAGAAAGAGGGAGACAACAACTGAAATAGAGGGGACTGGGATTTGGATCTGTGTTTTGTGTAACACAGGGCTGCAGGGAAGGGGGCTTTCCCCTTTTTTTTGTCCTCTTTTCTTGGCTCTGTACAGCAAGTAGTCCAAAATTCAGTGTCTTTGTCTCCACTTTTCCACAAAGAAAGAATGAAAAGGGCACTATAAGAAGAATAGCTTCAATTCATAGCTGTTGACAGTGAAGAGAGAAGCTAGGCTTAAAAGTAAAAGCATAGTTTCTTCTTGTAAGCATGCAGAAGATTTCAGAACTTCATATTTGTCATCCTTCACCCTATACTGGGTTTGTATCTCCAGCTTCAGTGCTGAAATCATTGTCTTTCGTTTACACTTAGGGTCATATTCAGACACCTTAAAACACTTAAATTTACATAAAGCATAATCATATTTTTTATAGATGCAATTAAAAAGTCTTTAGAAGCAGGAAAGTCCTCTGCAGAGTGTCCAATGAGGTGGCTTTAAGACATACCACTGCAGAGTGGTAACTGCAGAGTGCTGCACTTGTGGCAGCATGGAACCTGGTCTTCTGGAAAAGACACTTCTGAGTCTTTTCTGTAGCCACAGGAATTTCCTTCCACCAGGTGTTTCTGCAATGTCTATGAACCCACAGTGGCTGAACAGCCTTATTAATTGCATACAAGCTTTTTCTGTTAACTCTTTAGTCCCAGGCCATGGGTTAGCATTGAATTTGTTCATTGCATGTGTTTTGTAAGGGCATTGTCTTGACAGCAATCCAAAGTGCTGCAAATACCACAGTCACAGCAGTACTGGAAATGCTACAGGATTAATGGGTTTGAAGGTAAGAGTAGAAAGTTTGTGACTGCTACCCCTCTTTACACAGAAATGGTTAAAACTTAAAATTAGTGGGGGAAAAAAAATCATCATTATCTGTATTTGTTCAAAACTAGACTCAGAGGCTTGTTACCTTGCAGATGGTAATATGAGCAAATTAATTCCTTTTGGTTTTATGTTACTTGAACAGATGAGCTGTGATGGTTTATTTGGATGTTTGAAAGCTGGTGGGATGTACAGAAAGTGGCATCCCCATCCCATACTCCCGCAAAGCACGGGTAGTCACCTGCTTTGACAATTAATTGCAATTGATTTGGAATTCAGGATGGGCTTCAAAAACTGTTTAATTATCTCTATATATCTAATAGCATAAAGGAGATACTGAAGTATTCATTGTGTACTGTTGAGACAGGTCAGGACTGCTACATGGCGATTCTCACCTCCTCAGAGCTGTGCTCTTCTGCATGTTGCAATGCTTGCAAAACACACTCCATAGTCAAGGCCACAGCTGCAGTTAACAGAAGTTTTGTGAGGAATTGAGTGTTTTTCTGTGAAAGTGCTTTTAGGCTTGTTGAATTAAATTTGTGAATACTTCAAAGGAATGGCCTCTAACCAGTATGGCTTCTGTTCTTTATGGCTGCTTAGAAAAGCTGAAATATGAAGGGCTGTTGGTATGCATTCGAGTCTGGCATTTTACAACCATTTACTCTTTGCAAAAGTGAATGAAGCAGGAAATGTGTTGCATCTCACAAGAGGGAAAATTATCTTTCCCATTATAGAACAGAGAAGAGTTTAGTGTTTCTCTTGGGCATATTATGATCTCACTCAGTAACCTAGTCTGGGAAGTTGCAGATACATCTACTGGCATTTCTGTGGCAAATTAAAAAAGGAGTTGTCATGTACTCCAGCAAAGGAATGTGGGCAGGCAATGCATCGTCCAATTCCTTTACATATAAGGTAATCTCTTAACTCTCTCTGAGAGGGAAGTGCTGTAGAAGCCTTGCTATCTCATCAGGTTTGGATGATACTCTTACATTTCCCTGTCTTTGAACTGGCAGGATTTCAAATGCTAAGTAACAGTCTTACTAGCAGAAGAGCTGGTCGTCATTCTTCTCATCCTTAATTCTGTTTGCAGTTTAAACTGTAACTTTTTTTAGTATGTCTTTAATAGAAAGCAATTTCCTTCTATTAAGCATTATCAGTAAAAATCTAACAGCCTGGAATAATTTAATACCACAATGTAAAAACTCCCAAATTGTTTAAAATATTTCTTCAGATATATGTGGGTTTTTAGCTTGTTTCTCAAAGAAAAAGTAGTTAGGTATGTAGCTCGTCCTCTGGTTGTCTCATCAGTGGTCAGAATCTTGGAAAATGCAATCTACCTTCAACCAGATCTGAACAAAAGATGTCTCAAAGGTTATTAAGTTCCCACAAGTTTGATGAAAACTGGCATTAAGAAAAGAGGAGAAAGCTAAATGAAGTGTCCTCAGAGGGACAAGTGAGCAGTTTTGTGTGTTCACTGCGGCAGCAGCTGGCAGACGGGTGTACACAGACTAGCCAACTGAAATGTGCTGAGCTCCAGATCAGCCACAGCATGTCATATCTATTATTTGGAGGAGATGTCATAAGACATACAGGAGGAAGTTGGTCTTATTGTGGTGGGAAGAGGAATGGGACACAAAGTACAAATCCATGTTAGATGAGACTTCGTAAGTTCAGTTGCATACAGAGCAAATGGGAGACTTTTTGTTTTTTTGAAACATGCAATAAAGCCTCAACTTGAAGACTGTTCTTTACATGCTTTTATAAAGTCTTTATAAAGCTTTGAATAAATTATTTTCCCTTCTGTTGGCAAAAAAAAAAAAATAAAAAGAGTGAGATGAAGGATGCACCATTAAATCTTGCATATTTGGTTTATTGACAAGACTGTACCCCCAAAACATAAAATACCTTTACATCATCTCAGAGCAGATGTTTATTATTTTTCTGGAGGTGTGAAGTATTGTAGGCACATCTTTCTCCTAGCCACAGGAGGTACTACCTCTGTTCAAGCTGATGGGAAGAGTAGAGGAGCATGCTGACCTCAGTTTCTTACTTCCTAAATTTGTTGCGTGTAGACCATCAGAAGTGGCCATTGCTGTGTTTACAGGATGAGATTTTTACAGTTACCTATGCGTGCTCTGCCTGAAAGTGTTTCCCCTGTGCACTACTCCTGCCTGGCAGTGTTCATGTGTGATAATTGGTAAGACCACAGTAAGTGGTAATATCTAACAATTACCACTTTCAATTGTATTTGAAATAGACAGAATCCCTCCCATAATGAGTTGAAAACTTCTGTCAGTCACTGGTGACACGGACCTGCACTGAATGGCACAACCTCTCACAAGCCAGTAGATGGTGCCAGGAGATGTTTTATGCTAACAGTGCAATACTGTCCGTTAAAGAAGCCCTAGTTCTCTCTCACTCAAATTTGGGAGGCACAAAGAACTGGACAAGGTTCTGTACCCTCCTGGCAGACATACCCTGCCCCTGCGTTTCTGAAAGCTGTGAGTGAGGCTTCAGGCACACAAGAAGGCACAAGATGCGGTCACCACCCTTGGGTGCAAAACATGCTCCTAGGCAAAGAATTCCTTTAAGCTTTCAGTCTTTTTTTGGCTGATAAGACTATGTAATAAATTGGCAGGTTTGAATTGTTACTGAGGTTTCTTGTTTTGGATTTTCATATTTTGGGAGTAAAGCTGACCACGTATGCAGGGCACATTCAAGAATGATGCATGTGAATAAATGTGTGCCAGCAGAAAAAAGAAAAAGAAATGCATTTATGTTGTGCTATGAAGTATAATCTGAATAGTCTGTAGTTCAGTGGATAGGAGAAGGTCTAACAAACCTCACTGGATAATAAGTTTAGCCTGTTGTGTGGTCAGGTTTAACATACTGACACAGAGGTCAGGTTTAAAATACTGAGTTGTACTCTGTGGATTTAGCACTGACAACTCTTTTATTTTGCTCTGCTTATGTTTGACACGGCAGAGTCATAGAGGTGTTTCAAAGCTTTTTACATATAAGGGCAGTGCCATTTCACCTCAGCACCAAAGGACATTCCAAAGTTCTAGGCCAACTAAATGCAGCAATTTAGACTGCTTTGGGTGTTTTGATTAGAGACACCTGAATCTAAACTGCCTACAGGAATGGATAGCTATATATTCATGTCCTTACATATATAACAGCATAGCTTACTGTTGGAACTACCTGATGCTGGTATAACTGCATCAGCACCAGAAAAAGTAGTGTCAGTTTCAAACTGGGGTAGGTAACACAATGAAACCCGTGTTCCCAGGCTTTGTTTTGCAAATAGGCAGATGATATGCTGTAATCTTATTGGATAAACAAACCTTTACAGATTGTAACACAAATTACTGAGCAGCAGGTGAAATCCTAAGCACCTTAGAAAAGGACTCCTCGAGAGCTCAGTACTGTAAGCAACATAGAATCACTGTGTGTCTGCTGAGTTGAACTCTTCCTGTAGCTCCTTACATGTATGATTTCATTTATTAATGTATTTATTTGTTAATTGATTTTAGAGAAAGGAAGCCCTCAGGTAGAACGATCATGCAGAGGTACTTAACAGCGTCTTACTCTGTTCTTCCAGCATAGTGATGTAGCTATCTGCTGGAAAGGGTATTTGTTATCAGATGATACTCTTTTAAAGGAGAATATATGTGGCATAGTGTTAATTAGAATAAAATTAGGTATTTAAAGATGTCTATGTGTGATAACAGACTTTTCACATACAATTTCTGCAGTTTCTGTCTTGGAGGTGAGAAGTAGATTTTCTGATAGTATACCCTCAGGGGCAAATAATTCAAGTCAAAATGCCTGTAACACTGCTCTCTAAGCTTAAACATTGGTAACATTTGCATAAATTAAAATAAAAATTTATGAAAATAAATATCAAATGCATGTTATCTGGCAGTTACTAATTATATTGCCATAGTATATTCCTTTTCTTCTTGTGTGATTTTATTTAGTTTTGGATTTCAATGATCCCTTCAGTACTGAAGTTAAGCCAAGAATCCTGCTCATGGGATTGAGAAGAAGTGGAAAGTCTTCCATTCAGAAAGTTGTCTTTCACAAAATGTCGCCGAATGAGACTCTCTTCTTGGAGAGCACAAACAAGATCTGCAGAGAGGATGTTTCCAACAGCTCCTTTGTCAACTTTCAGATATGGGATTTTCCTGGGCAAATTGACTTCTTTGACCCTACGTTTGATTATGAGATGATTTTCAGAGGCACTGGAGCACTGATATTTGTTATTGATTCTCAGGTAAAAAAAGGGGCTATTTTTTTTTTTTTTTCTTTCTTCAGCAATAGACAAATGAGTTGGAAAGCACAGGTTTTTTCAAAGCAAATAAATAATCTACATCACAAACACACATTAAAAAGAACTCATTAAAACGTGAAGAGCTGCTTGGCTATTTTTAATCTCTCTCTGCAGTGTGTTTGGAAGTTAACTAATTTGTTTTAACATCTTAAGGTTCTTGCTCAGATTCCTAAGTGCTGACAGCATGAGATTGGTGCACATGCTGGATGTAGGCTCAGGGTTCTACTTACAAAACATTAAAAAAATCAAGCTGTTGTTGAGCTGTAGTACTATTTAAAAATAAGTATCACAAAATATAATATATCTTTTTTAAATACCTTCCTAAATTGTAGTTCTTCTTTTTCCTTTATTAGGATGATTATATGGAAGCATTAGCTCGGCTGCATCTTACTGTGACCAGAGCCTATAAAGTGAATCCAGATATCAACTTTGAAATCTTTATCCATAAAGTGGATGGTTTATCTGATGATCATAAGATTGAAACACAGAGGGATATTCACCAGAGGGCAAATGATGATCTTGCAGATGCAGGATTGGAGAAGATCCACCTCAGGTGAGAAAAGTTGCTGTGCAGAGAATGCTAAAGAGGAGAGCAGCTTATTTGATAAGTTACCATTTTCTGTCCTGTTGAAGTAGCAGGCAACATGCTTTTGATATATGAAGGAAAGGGATAATTAGAGATACTGCATTTGACCTGAGCCAAAGTATCCTATTTCTGATTGCTGTCTTGAAGGGAAAGATGGAGAGCTGCTTAATAACAGATGCCAGACAAACATGCCAGAATCCTATCAGGTTTTGCTGCAGTTGCTGTCTTGAAATAAGTTGGCTTGGACAGTGACAACAACCAGTAGAGTTCCAGGTCATGGAGTGTATATGCCACCACATCACTTTTGCCTTTTTTGAAAGCTCTGTGCCTCCCAGTCACTCGTCCTCACTGCTGCAGACTACTTGGAGCTGCTTGGGAAGACCTGTGCTGTATCTTTGACTTGTGTCTTCTGGTAAAATGGGTTACTGTAGCTAATGGTGACAAGCAGTGGATTTAGCAGACTGGGAACCAGAGGACATCAAGTTGTCATGGCTTTCTTAGCACTTGAAAGCCAAGTACAAATATATCAAAAAGAGAGGCCTGCTCCATGAACATGCCAGCTCTTTAGAGCTCTTAAGTACTCAACTGCATCACTGCACTGATAAATGGGTCCACAGCTTTCAAAAAGTAGACCACAATAGACATACTCAGTAATACTCCTCTCCTGAAATTTGATAAATATTTTTGTAAGAGTACCAGCATGGGAGTTGCATTAAAAAGTTCTACATTGAGTTATAGGTTTCACTGTCAAGGCTGGGGGCTTCTTTAATATAGAGATTTAGTCCTGTGTTTCAATCATATCATGACTTTTGATCACAGGGGATAATTGCATTAGTGTAGGCACTTAATGTCTGACAATATTTTAATTTCACTCATATTGTGAAAGGTACATCATGTTCACAGTATATGGCTAAAAGGAAAATGTGGTGACATTTTTTTACAGCTTTTATCTGACAAGTATATATGATCATTCTATATTTGAAGCATTTAGCAAAGTGGTACAGAAACTGATTCCACAGCTCCCAACACTGGAAAACCTGCTTAACATCTTTATTTCAGTAAGTACTTACTATGTCCTTTGTCTGTAGATCTGGCTGTGTCCAACATGCATGTTCAGATACTCTGTTCACTGCCTTCTTAGAGATCATGAGCATTGTGAACTCTCAGAGAAATTATCAGGACGTAGTTGAAATGCACCTCCATGCAGCTTGGCATCACCTCCATGTCTATTAAACAGCATTGATAAGCTGCTGAGATACTCAGAGTATTACATGAGTCACATAAAGTGGGGTAGCAGCCATCACTTTTCTGCTCAAAACATCAATCTGAATGTTGCAAAAGTCTGTGTTGCATGTATTTGTTGAAGTTGCACTTAAACCTTGTATGAATAAATATTTAAAGGAACATAATCTAGTCTGACCTCATATGGGGAGCTATCTGTAGTGCTTCCCAGAATTAATTTTACTTTGTACTAGATGTTTACCAAGCTTAAGAAAATCTTCTTATGCTGTGAAATTTTTAGACAAGAGACCACCACAACTTTTACCACTTCCATAGTTAACTCTGAAGGCCAGTTTAGAGAGTTTTGTATATCTAGTGGTTTGTTACCACTGTGGAAGAGATTGCTTGCTCCACTCATCCTGTATGTCTAATCCCTTCCTTTTCTTTCTACTGGTTCTGACACTCATGTTCCCTCATGGGGTTACTATACCATGCATTTATGCACTGTTTAGTTAAAAGCAGGTGATGGATGAACCCAACATGCTCTTGTTTCTGGCACAAGGTAAGAGATGGAAACATGGAGCAGCGAGTGAAGGGGGAGCACAGTGAGTAGGTTGTGAAAAGGGGAAACTCCCTATTTTAATGGTTGTTATATCAGGTCTTAGTGGCTCCAAAAACTGCACCTTTTCTCACAATATTCTAATTATGTGTTTAGCATCTAGCTCTTAATTTCTGAAGCTTCAATTTCCAAGCAAGATACTTTGTTGTGTCTTCTTGCAATTTTGACATAAGAAATTATTTAATATAATTAAACAGCCTGTTGATATTATTAGATAATAATAAAATATTATTAGATAATAATAAGATAAAATTAGACTTAATGGTTTCTCAGTGTGAAAATGGAGAGAAATAAAAGCTGGATGTGACAGAGAAATCTAGGAATAGTGGAAGGCCATTCCAAAAGTTATTCTCTTACTATTAAACAGCACATTTATACTGTTTCATAATGGTTTGCTACAAAGATCTGTTTCTTCCAAAACAGCTGGACTGTATACCAGTTATTATCATGTAGTCTCAAAACTCCATGACAGAAAAGTAATGACGAAATTATGACAACAATTCTAGAGCAATTAGATAGTGGTTTTGGCACACAGTCTTACAGAGAAAGCTGGCTGAATAATAGTCTTCCCTGTGTCAGATCCACTCCAGTCACTCTGTGAGTTAGATCTCTGTATGGAGTCTCCTCACTGTTTGGAGTTGGTGAAAGGTTTGTACAGAATCTCCACATGAACTTAGCACAGGCAGCTTCCTGAATGACTGATGACAGTTGCTTGTGTGTCTGAACACCCAGCTCAATCACACCTACAATATTAGGTATAGTTTGTAAGGAAGAAAAAGAATTTCAAATAAATGGGATGTCCAGAAAAGTGAGGGAGGTGTGCTGTTTCCCCTGTTCAGTATGGGAAAAGTCTCGGACTGTTTCTTTGCTCCAGTTTCTAAATTACCTAGGGCCATGTGTAGCTGCATCACTGTGTCCCGAGCATGGTTGCTGTTTTTACAAGTATCTTCTGTCTGTAGACAGAGAGACTCGGAATGATTATTTGCAACCACAGGATGATTAAGCATCATTCTCCCTCATACAGTAAGTTAGGGGGTGCCTCTTTACCTTGGCAACTTAGTAACAACAAATTTTGGCATGGATTTTGGTCACACCTTACCTCAGGAAGCCAATGTGTTGGATATCAGGGCATGGGTGTTTTCGCGTTCTACTTTTGAGTTTGCAGCAGCATTCACGAGGAAGTGCTTTCATTTATGCCATGGAGGCTTCCAACACAAAAAGCTGATGATTACAAGAACAGATCTGCAATCACTCTTAAGTTCACAGCAGGTTTTTTCCCAAGTTTATAACACCACAGTGTGTGAGCACGTTTGAGGAACCATCAGTGTATAATACTGCTTCTGCATTCTTTAATGTAATGACCTGTAAGTCTTTAAATAACTGGCACTAAAAATCCACATTAATCTTACCTGACTAACTTAACCAGCTTCATATGCCTGTTCCTTAATTACTGTGGCGTTATCAACCAATTAAGTTGTGTAACATGGGAAAGCATATTTTCATTTGAGGGTTGTTTGGTTTGTTTTGAGGGATATTAAGAAGCATGTATTAAGACAAACAATTATTATAGTAAAAATAAAACTATATACAGATTTGATAATTATTTAAATTTTGTAATCTGCAAATTCAAATGTAGTGATAAAAATTAATTCATGAAATCTGCTGTGTGATGTAAGGCCTATTTAAATAATTGTCCAAAATTCATTACTAACTGGATGTGACTGGCAATATCCTCTTAAGTTCTTTTGAGAGTTGCTTTTTAGGGCCAAATTCTGACTTACTTTCATACATTAAAGACAGAAAAAGATGGGCCTGCTTACCTATCCTAGGAATTGGAGGAATACTACCACTTTTACTGAATCCATTCTATTTTAGTAATAGAAACTGTCTTCTACATCATCACACCCCATATAGCTGAGAAACATGGTTTGAATTTCAAGTACCTCATGTTTTTTACCTATCCAAAATAAAATCTCATATATTAATTGAAGATTTTTCACAATGACTCTCTTGGTTCAGATCAACTGTGGAATATTCTTACATTGATTCAGAGTGCCTTTAGCACATGTTGCATCTTCTCTGCAGACTGTAGGGTTGTGTCAGAGAGAACTGGTGTTTATTCAGACCCTTTCATTCAGTAAGGAACCCCCCAGCTCCAGTAACAGAAACAGTTGATTTCTTATTGTAATTTTCCCTAAGCATTAATGATGTAATGTCTCTTTGAACAGTACTTTTTATCCACCTTTTCCTGTTTTTTCTATGACTTGTTACTATTGTTTCTACAATTTCTGTTTGGGGTCTTTTTGTGGGCTAGGGGTAGCGGGTGGAGGGTGGAGTGTTGAGTAATTTCCACACAAAAATTCTGGAAATTTTTGACATAAAATCCTGGAAATCCTTTGACTTTTCGGTTACAGTTGTATTAAAAACCCTGCCAAATGAAATATTTGAAGGCATGTGGGTAAATTTAGTGGTGACTACTCCTGGGAGTCCATCCTACCATTTCACAGAGGTTTCTATCACCATACAAAGTTCTGAAGAAGCAGATATGTACAGTTTCTCAGCAGGTCTACCACAATGGATCCGTTGCAATTGAAAACAAGCATAGTTTAAGTTAAGAGACCAATTTCTGCCCTTAACCAGCAGGTGTAACTGCTGGCATGGCAAAATGTCTTAAGATGTTCATGGCAAAAGTTCAGAAAACTTTCTGAACTGTCACTGCAAGTACAGGCAGGCTGCAACACCTGGAGCTCTGAGATGAAAAAAATCACTTCTCACTGTTAAATGTTACTATATTGTCACTGTCATCTTAATAATTTAAAGTGCATCTTACCTGTACAGCTAAAATTGTTGCTATGAATCTCTTTCTGTAATACAAAACTGTGTAATTGACTTCTCAGGAATGACACTGCAGGGCTCAAGTTTCAGCTTCTTCTGTCTGAAATGACTTGTATTTTCAAATACCGTTTTGGCAAAGAGTTACAGCTATGTACTTACATGATATTTCAAAAGAGTCTTGTAATTAATCTTATTTGACAGCATCTGTTGAACTGTGTGATGTGCTGTCAGAATTACTATTTGAAAAATAAAATTACAGAACCCCCATATGTGGCTAGAACAAACAGCATAAATAGGCATACCTTTTTGTTCTTTGTGCTCAAAGAACACAGACTCATAGAACCCTGTATGCTGAAAGGGATGTTTGGAGGTCAGCTGCTGCTCAGAGTCAGGCCAGTTACAGCAAGTTGGTTATGGCTGGGTCCAATTCAGCTTTGTGCATTTGGAAGGATACAAATGCTACAAACTTTCAGGTCCGATGCTTCCAATCCTTCACTGCTTTTCTGTTAATTTTTTTTTCTTCTATCAAGTCAGAACTCCAGCCTGTGCCTTTTGGCTTCTGCTCTTCAACATTGTAGCTCTGAGAAGAGCTACAGACTCTGGCTCTGGCTTCTCTAAACCTTTACATTAGGTATTTGTAGATAGGAATGAGTCTTCTTCAGGTTGAACAAAGCCATTTCTCTGAGACTCTTCTTGTACATTCTGTGCTTCAGCCCATTTACCTAAAGTATCCACAATGTGTTCTTTGGTTTTAATATTTTTTCATTACTGATTAACTGAAAGAGGCCACTCAGTCTTTTCCATTATGAAATACAAGAAATTCACCTCTATATTCTGTTATTGCTAATGGATGTTTGCAGCCTTAGCTCTGTGTGTAGTGATGAAACAGTGACGCCTCTTTAAGAAGAAAATGCCCAAAATACTGCTGGCCATTGTTCAATAGCATATGTAGTGTTGGAAATTTTTCTGCCTATTTCAGGAAATATGGAAAGCAGGACAGTCACTTTAGTTACTTAACTATATGTTAAATAGTTGACTTAGAAAAGAAGGAAAAAAAATGGAAAAGTTCTGTAACTGTACAAAAGAAGCTTAAACTATTAAAACTTGCTAGGGACTTTCAGTATGGTTTTTGGTGGTTTCAGAATTACTGTGGCAGCAGTCCCAAACCATGTTAAAATGGGAGTCCCATGTATGTAGACAGTTCCATTGGATGGAGAAAATTTCTTGTCTTCCCATATACATGAATACTGAAGAGTATTTTAGAATTTGTGCTTTAGCAATACTGGAAAAAAATTGCCCTTTGTCATGCTGGGACAGCTGCGCAGGTGTAATCCTTTGACATCAGCCTGCAAGGCTACTGTTTTCAGTTAAGAAGTACACTTTTTTTTTTCCAGGAAGCAGAGGCTTATGGCAGTTTACCTTATCTACACAAAGAGTAAGAGCTAGCATTCCTGGCTAGCTTCTCAGAGCTGTGAATACGATACATCTCCAGTAAGGAGATTGTCTTAATCAGCTTGGCACGATCACAGGAACATAGTTGTCATCATTTTAGCAAGCTTTAGCATTTTAAACATAGCTTTAACTACCAGTACTACATGAAACCTGAAGGCTCCATCACAACGCTGGTCTCTCTCCTGTGATCCTAAAAGATATTTTACAGAACCAGACAGTAGAACAGTTACAGACTGCATTTAAAAAATTTCATAATTTCCTTTAAAATCAGTTCTTGAGCAATACTGTCTTCTTTGTCCATCAGCATTTCTTTCCCTTCTTTCTTATCTTCTTGTATGCCCAGTTAGAATAACTTTAGATTAGAGCTTGCTTTTATGTCTGTTGCTACAATTAAAACACAAAAATCTTGAACTTGGAAGATTTTTCTGCTCCCCCCTTGCTCTCCCTCATTTTCCATTGAAAATAAATCTCTCCAGGTGAAGAAGTTTGGGAGTGTTACTTGGAATTATGTCTGCTCAGAGGCAGAAACTGTTGGAAGGTTTGTGAGCATTATGGTTTGCTACAAATACAATAGTACTGTATGTACAGTTCTTTCAGAATGAGCTTAATTGCAATTTAATTTCTTTAGCCTAGACTTTTTGTATAACAGGCAAGTAAGGGAACAGAAAAACTTGGGGTTGATTTGAAAACATGGATTCCACTTTATTTTTCTTTTTTTTTTCTTCTCTTGAATAGAATTCTGGGATTGAAAAAGCATTTTTATTTGATGTAGTCAGTAAGATCTATATTGCAACAGACAGCACTCCAGTGGATATGCAAACTTACGAGCTCTGCTGTGATATGATAGATGTTGTCATTGACATTTCTTGTATATATGGGTAAGTAAATTGTGAATGTTTTCCATAAAGCTATGTACTGAGAATCTCAATAGCCTCAAAATTTTAGTAATGTAGGTGTAAACAATAATGAGAATGGATAATTTTCCAGGACAGGGGAGGAGAAAACGGCTGTCTTCTGAAGGACTGATCCTTCCCAGCAACAAGCATTGTTCCCTGTTCAGTCTCTTTTGAGCATCTTCCTCTTTCTATGCTAATAATTTTATTTGGAGGAAGAAGCCAGAAGAAACCAACCTAAAATAAAAGGAAACATCATCTTTTTGTACCCTAGGGATTAAATCAACAGGATGCCTCCTGTTTTAAAAATAAGTGGGCCATATTTAGTTTTATTTAATAGCCAGTGGCCTCTAATAGCCTCAGAGAGTTGTTTCACTTCAGTTTGTCTTCTATTCCCTACATGACCTTTCTGTGCTTTTTTCAATTTCCCCTTCTGGTACATTAGCAAGTGGAAACCTTCTGGGCTGGCATGTACATCTCCTTGCAAATTACGTGTTCAGTGGCTTGGCCCTTGGCCAATTGTAATGCCTGCCATTCCTGGGAAAGGTGGGGCACATTAAGAGTTAGTGCACCAATATGCTTACACTTGGAGGCCAATGCACAACATGCTTAGAGAGTGGTAGGCTGGGCTAGCTTTGCATTTGTACCCACTGACAGACTTCTTGCAGTCTTAGAGGAGGTACAAGGGAGAGTCCTGGTGCACATGTGCAATTAGCACTGGAACAATAAACAAAACACTTTTAGAAATCTTTGAAGTTTGTATAAAATCTTTGAAGTTTGTATATTCTACTGTTTGTTTCAGATTTTGGAGTCATCACTTGAGTAACTGCATAAGAACTTGTTTTACAGAGGTATAAAATAAAATATGCTGATTTTTGTAAAGAGAAGGATTCTGCTGTGTAGTTCAAAAGAGTGTGCATTTAATAATTATCTGTACAACACCACTTGTGGAACTCTTTATTTACAAAATATCATTCTTGCACTGTGGATGTGTAGCCATTTAGCATTTATCACCAGAGATCTGCTTGCCATTTTTAGCTACAAAGACAATATTACAATTTATTTTTTGTCCTCTATTCCTGGAGCATCTGTGGAATTTGCCACTTTAATATATTATTAAGACTAATTGTTCTGGGAGGTTGGTGATAACTATCCATTTAACAATACCTGTGTGTGCATTCAGGAATGAGGATAAAATTACAGTGTTACAGTGTACAAAAACTGATCATCATGACACAGCATCTGTGAATGAGAAATCTCTTTTCATAATATGATGTTGCAAAAGCCAGCGTCTCATGAGGAAAGTCTCATGATGTCTTAAACTATCAGTCAGCTGCTACCACTTGAGCAAGGTTACTGGGTTTGGAGTTACCAGTACAGACCTCCTGTTTCACATGTTTATGATAAGTCATAATATAAAACACTGATTAAAAGAAAAGCAGCCTTATGGTAAATGGGTGGTAACTTACAGAGGAAAAAATAAGGTTCCAGTTCAAGCACTTGGCAATCAATCTGATTTCTAGCCCCAGATCTAAGGTTTGCTGTGTGATGTGATAAATAATTTAATCTCTTTGTCTTCTTAGTTTACTAGTGTGTAGTTTGAAGAAGAGTCTCCCTGAAATATTAAAATGAAGATTTCATAAAATTTTAGAATCTTTGGTGAGAGAAGCTATGTAGCAGTACTTTTGTTAGCTAATCTGGTGTCTTATCTTTTCTTGTTTGTTTGAATACTGCTCTGTAGGCTTAAAGATGATGGCACTGGAACTCCTTATGACAAAGAATCAATGGCAATCATAAAACTGAATAATACAACTGTCCTTTACTTAAAAGAGGTGACAAAATTCCTCGCTCTTGTTTGTTTTGTCAGAGAAGAAAGCTTTGAGAGAAAAGGTATTTTTCCCCTTTTCTAGTATTGCATTAATTTTCCCTTATATTAGTGAGTTAATGAATAACTGAGATTTTTATTAGCTGTTAACAGTTAACTGTATCGTAAATATTGAGGTAAGTACAGCTTGATAAAGCTTACATAACATTTTTAAAGGAATGAAAGTACTTGTGCAGGCATTAAGATGGAATGAAATCATAAACATATTTAACAACTTTCTGATACAAAAGCATTTAAAAGTTTACATCCAATGCAGTAAAGCTTCCACCTGCAACTGCAGACTGTGTCAGTTTATCTTGACTGACACTGATTTGTACCTGTTGACACCAGCTTGCCTGCCATAGCCAAAGGAAAAACTTTGAAACTGACTGGTAGAATAATATTGCTTTTCTTATATCTGAAAGGAGGCTTTTGAAAACTGGCATATTTAGGACCTAGTCCTAATTAGGAGTGCTTTAATATTTTGCAGTTAAAGTGTGTAAAATTTCTGTCATCTTTCTGACCCTGGTAAAAGTCAATACTGAACCCTTAGTTCATGACCTCTCTGCTCACTGGCACAATGTTCACTGAGTTGCTGGTCTTTGTGACATGCCCTAAGACCAAAACTCAGCAGCGGAAGAGCAAGCTGTCATCTGGGCTCATGTGCCCCATCTTTGTTGGTGTATTTGTGAACACAGCACTTGTACCATGTCTGCTGGTTTGACAGCCTGTTGAGCTTTTGATAGAACTTAAACTGGTCAAATGTCTCTTCCATACCCCTACCGCCTCTATTGCATATGAATGTTGGATACAGTTGCTTTCTGTAGAAAGCATAAGAAGTGTTATTTCTGCGTACTTACTAACAGCACCGTTTCAGAAAGACACCATGTCGAATAAACACCATTAGGGTTTGTCCATAACTGTGTGAAGTTGTGTCTGCATAGTTGGGACACTTGGTAGCCTTCACTCTTCTGCAGTACAGTTCTGGTATTATAGTGGAGATGAGCTTTTTGTGCCTCAGGAATTCCAAGTAAATTTGTGTGAACTACAAGGAGACGGAAAACGATTTCTGGGAAATAAAACCAAAGTGTAACATGGTGGATTTAAACCACTTAAAAATATGCATCTCCTGTTAGGAAAACTGAAGTAGAAAATGATGCAGTATTTGAGTTAAGAAAGCTTATGGGATTAATATTAAATGAGGTCATGAGCTCACTACCAAAATTCTAAAATTATATTGTGGTATTACAGAATTGTAGCACTCAGTAAGTCTTCCAATTGATTACCAATATGGCTTTACAGCTTTTCTGTGGGATTACATTCAGCCCACTGACATGGTAATGTTATCTGCCTACTATGTAAGTATCTAATCCAACAGCATGTCTATTGTGTTACTGTTTAATTACAGTGTAAGATGAAATATAACTGGCTGAGATTTGGTCATAGTTCTATCAAGTATCCATTTAAAAGTTTATGTATTGTCAAAAAACAAATATTTCTTGATTGATAGATGGTACTTATTTTTATCACAGTTATTCTGTAAAGCAGATTTCCAAAATTACACCATATTTTATGAAAGATTTCAGTATCTTTCTTCTAGTATACTGAGCATTTCTTCAAAGCCCTTTATTAAATTAACAATCTATTGTCTGCCAATGAACTTCTATTTGATTTCTCTTAAAATGTACAAGCATATTTAGTAGCAGACATTGTATCAAGCTGTAATGCTTACTGAATTATTTGTATTTCTCAAATGTGTTTTTGCTTAGCACAGAAAAAATTCCTGGACAGTTCACTGAATATGACCTCCAGACAGAGAGTATGGTATTTCACTAAACACAGAATATAAGCAATGTTTTCATTACCTTATTTATATGAATATCTTTGTTAATATGTAAAACATTTTTGTCTCTGTAGGATTAATAGACTACAATTTCCATTGTTTTCGAAAAGCCATACAAGAAGTATTTGAAGTAAGAATGAAAGTAGTAAGATCTCGAAAACATCAAAGCCACCTGCAAAAAAATAAAAGACCCACTCCCAATGGGACACCAAGGATGCCACTGTAACTGAGGTTTTCTGGCAATGTGGCAAAAAAAGTTTTCATGAAGTTGATGTGACTTCTGCATCTCATTGCACTGAGTGAAGAGGAAAACAAATGGGACTGATGTATTATATTAATTTTTCCTGAACGTTCAGAAAGCACTGTTTAAATATTTTTATCCAATCAGTTTTTTTCATATAGTGAGCACTTTGAGCAAAATGTTGTATATATAAACATTGAGGTGAGCACTTGTAAGAATTTTCTTAATATATGCTGTAAACCTTTTTCATGCCATATTAAGGAAAAACAGCTGTGACAGAAATACTGGGTACATAATTTGCACTTTTTCATGTTTTCCTTGTGGACTTGGACTTTGATAAACTTAGTTTTTATGGTGATTTTGATGCATGGTGTCAGGTAAAATGTATGCTGTAGTTTATTTACCTGCTACAATCAAATTGGTTAGTAAACGATTAAGAAAACTTGGTACAATGCCTTTTTAAATTTGTGAAAACTAATACCTAACATTCATACAGATCTAATTTCATATATTTTTCAATTTGTAAACTGAAGAATAATATTGAAGTATTACAGCAATAAGCACCTTACCAGGGATCGTAACTGGTAGGTAAATTTTAGCTTTTATAAAACAGGCTTTTGGCCAAATTTCATCCGGCATTCTCCTTAACACTGGTCGTGCCCTCTCTTGGGTCTGGTTTTATTATTTACCTCAGCATATACCACTAAAATACCTTTCTATAAAGATGATTGTTTTGTAAAATAGCTCTATGTTGCACTGGTATTTTTATAAGGCTTCAGAGGAATATGTTGTATCTGTACAGCTGATTTACATTGCTAAGTTTGTGTTGAGAACCTGCATGTGTACAGTTGGCGCAATGAAGAACCTGTATGTATTTCCACCCTGGTATTCTGATGTACTGATAAGTCATAAAGGTGTGAGCACTGGGTTCTGATTCACTCTATCAGGGGTACATCTGTGATTGAAATCAAGACGAGACCATTAAAATGAGGACTGGACAATCTACCTGCCATAATAATCAGCATACATCACTACTTTTTATTTTAATATTGAACATGGGCAGACTTACCACAGGATCAGCCAGGACAGCAGAAGACTCTCAAACCTAAAAAGAAGTAACACTTACTTTCCATGTTCTGTATTCAGTGTTTTTGTTTAATTAGTGATACGAAATTACAATTTCTAGATGGGAGACACTAATTTTTACCAATTGCATGTGGAGTCTAATGGTTTTGTTGGCAGCTTTTGAGAGTGAGAAGAACTTGACCAGAATGGGAGGCAGCTTGCTGTACACCAGAAACAGGTAAGGGGAAATGCACCTTATGCACAGCTAATTTGCCCCTAGCCAAAACAGCTCTGGAGGCGGGCAAGAAGATAGAACCAATGACCCTGTCAGGAGTTGTGTAATAAGTAATGCAGTTCTAGGGGCTCAGGAAGGTAAGAAATACTGATAATAGTAAAAATCACTGCTCCTGGTGCTGGTGTGAAGAACAGTGACAGTAGCTGTAGTTTGGTACTGTCACCACTTATCATCTTAGTTGAGGGCAATTATTCTGACTAGCCCCTCAGTTAAAGTAATGCAAAGCTGTTTTCAGAGTTCACCAAAGCAGTCATGGGTAAGAGACACCTTTTGGCAGCTTTCCAGTCCACATGACTTTCATTGAAGGACTGCCATAATTTCTGGCCATGTGTTTGTCTTTCATTTTGTTGAGATTCCCCCACTGGCTCACAATCTCTGTTCTCCCTTCACCCCACCACCAGGTGTAGGTGACTATGTGGGACTACGAACACCTACCAGGCTGGGCCAGATTTGTTTTGTTTTGTTTTTATGTGTGAATTATCTCATCATAGAGGCTATGCTACGAGTCATTACTAAATGTAGCTTCCATATATTTGGCCTGAGTTCTGTGTAGCCATGCATGCCCTTGTATTACAGACCATCAACTTGTTTAAGACAGTGAAGTTGCCTCTAGTAGTCCCATCTAGAATCTGGAACAGACTATCTAGCATAATTTAGTGAAGGTGACTTCCAATTTGATATTATCAGAGTAAATGTAATTTTCATCAGATTACTTATGTTTCAAATATAAAATTGAACGAATGTTAAAAATTCATTAGTTTTAGTGTTTAACTTTGGTATTTTCAGGTTAGGTGATAACTCATTTCACTTTTGAGTAATCATTATCTAACGTTCTAGCTGAAGTGATTGAACGCTGGTTGAAGCATGCAAGGTTATTTTTGCAAATATATTTAAAAACTTGCTTTTACTTTAAAAAAATATTTTAAATTTTATTGAGATTCTAGTTTTTATTTTAAAGAAATTAAATACCCTATGTGCTACAAGAGCCACTTAAGGCAGTGTTGATACACCTTTTCTAAAATTAGAAACTGGAAGAAGTAATTACTTTCCAAATAGTCCAATATTTCTAAAGTACCTGATCCATGAGTATCCATTTTTTATTTATCATTGAAGTTGACTAGAAATGGTAGGGACCATTAATGAACAAGCCATGTCTTTTTAAAACATTGATTTACAATAAACCCAAACCAATTTAGTATCCTGTAGACATTTTAAAGTCAGGAGATAGATAAATATAAATTACTGGTTCCAAGAACTTGTTATAATTGAGGAAATCCCTGTAAGTAATTCAACAGGCAGCAGCTCAGAGTGTGTGAAGAGTTCTTTGAAAAGTTCAAATGCACCTTTGAGCATGCACTGGAATGGATATTTAAAATGTTACAATGCTGGAATATGTTTCTAAAATCTTGTGATTACCAATATGCTGTGCATTAGCATGGAAGTGTAATTGGCAGGAGCAAACTAGTCTGATAAAGCATAATTCAAATGCATCATTTGAGCTCTCAACCCTGATAGAACAGGGTTTTTTCTCTAAAACAAAACTTCTGCGGTTTCTTGCATGTGAAATTGCACTCCTGATGATACTAAGGGAGCTCATTCTGTGAAAGTACTGCAGCAATTTTTAAAAGACATGTTGACCTATTAACTCCCTCCATCTTTATATGCATCATCAGATTAAGTGGAGGAATTAAAGAAAATAACCTGTAATTGTATACAATAGCAACTGTTTGCTTTAATTACATATTTCCTGTGCTGTCCTTTGCAAGTCATTGTAGAATTTAAGAATTTTTTTTCTTAAATTGAACACTGAGGTTTTCCTGGTTTTGTACTGATAATGTACATGATACCATGTCATGATTTTTGTGCTGCAGCTTTGTCCTGTTAGATGGACAGATACATTAACACCAGAATTTCTTACTCAGATTCTAAATGTTTATCAATAGCAGCATGTGAATTTACTATATTAGAGATAAACACATCAAATTCTCCCATTTCAGCTGTGTGAAAAATCAGAAATAAGCTTGGTTGGGAAGTTCTTTTGGGCTTCTCTTATATGATGGCATATGGTTGACATCCCACTTGATTTCTCACTATATTAATATTTGCATATTAGCTCATGCACATATCTTCAAATAGCTGCATTTAAAAATGACACTAGCAGATTGCTGCTTTTAATTTGTTTTCTCCCTGGTATCTTCTGTGTTACCTTTCTCAGTTTGCTATCTCTGAATTTCACACTTTGCTGTAACCAGGCCTCATACCCAGTCTCCTTGGTTCCTGCCAGCCTCTATTCCCTTTGGCTTGTAGGCATTATGAGCCACAGGTTAGGTCTTAAGCTAAAACCTACTAAAAAAATACCGAGTACAAAAAAATCTAAATTGTAAAAATCCATTACATGCTATTAACATCCCTAAATGTAATGTAATCCTGGTTTGTATGCATGCCATAAAGTATGTATTCATATTGAAGTTAGAGTTTATGTTCACTGTCAGATTTTAAACATTCCTTAATCATGTCCAGAACATATTTTAAAATTTAAAAAAATATATAAATATATCCAGGACAAAAACCCTTAGTGCAGCAGTCTATCACAATGTGTCTTGGACTAAACTAACATATTTTTGATAAGGTAAAAGATTTTCATGAGACTAGTCAGAGAAGACACTCTACTGAATATTGCCCTGAATACCTGGACCTGCTACAAGTAAGAGGGATTATTTATTTCAGGATTGCTGAATAGCAGAAGGAAATCCACTGATGTCCTTTCTTAAAAAAAAAAATACAAACAAGCCAACAACTAACATGCACTAGCCTAAATTGAGAAGAACTGGGATTAGACACATGGATGAGTGCAAACATGAGGGGCAAGAAAAAAAGTACAGAGTGGCCAAAGATACAGCATGTAGGCCAGAACATTTCAGTGTATTCAAGCTGCCTTACACAAAATGTTCAGGTTGGATATTTGGAGGAATTTCTTCACAGAAAGGGTCATTAAAGATTGAAATTGGCTGCCCAGGAAGGTAATGGAGTGATTAAACATTGGAATCAGCATGCCTGGAGGTATTAAGGAAAGAGTGGACATAGCACTTAGTGCCATGGTCTAATTGACCTGGTGGTGTTTAGTCAAAGGTTGGACTTGGTGATCCCAAAGGTCTTTTCCAACTAATTGATTCTATGGTTCTATGAAAATGCAGACCAAGGAAAGATAATGGGCTATCACAAGAGGGTCAGCCATGGGGAGGTGGTGTGATGAGGTTGGTTACACCACATGGTCCTCAAAGGTCCAAGTAATTGACAGGGAGCAACAGGACAGTATCAAAGCTGCCTTTCCTATTACAGCAGGATCTACCCTTTGTGTTTTTATTTCCATTCAGTGCAAACTAAAAGTCATTCTGAACTGTGCTAAACTGAAGCATAGTGTCAGTACAAATATAAGTATAAACCATATGAACACATTCACACTGTCCTTAAACAGTGGCAGTGACGCAAAATATTTTGGTAGTTTGCAACTGCCTCCAGCTATCTAGTGTGCTCTGCAATTTGCATGGTGAAGAATATGCACCAGAGAAAATTTCTGCCATTATCTGTAGCTGCCAAAGATAGAATAACTAAATCGGGGAGGTTCAGAGTTGTGAACAGCTGTCACTTGGACACAGCTTCAGCTTTGTTTTGGGTCTTTGCACGTCTTCTGAACCAGGAAATCATCTGAACTATTACAGCAATGATGCCAGAAGACCGTGAGTTAACTGGTTGGCATGATTCTCCTCATTCTTCAGGAAGTAAAGAAAAGGTGAAACATACGTACTTTTATTTTGACTTCACATTGTAAAACATCTTGTTAGTTCACACTAACTCTGCACCAGTGGTCCAGATTGGGCACTCACTTGCTTCATCAATTATAGCAATCTGGTAACTTGTTTCCCCACTATCATTCTTCATTTCTGAAATAATGCTAATTAAAAGTCAGCTGGCAAAGCCCCCATTTTGTGAGATGGTTGCCTTAGAACTAAGCTTGAAGAACAGACAGTAATTGCTTTCCTGAGAGGCACCATCCATCTGTGCAATTGCTAAAGGGCACTGATTACACAATGCCACACTTGTTTTTATCGATAGGAGGTGCACTTGTTGAATCCAGATTTACAAGGTCTGAATTCACACAGAAGATTTTAAAAGCTGAGACTGTATTAGTCACAATGAGTACCATGATGATTTCTCTTGCAAGTAAGTCGTATCTGTTCCCACTGACAATACAGGCATGTGAATATTAGATTCCTTAATTCCATCAAGAGTTTAATTCTGCAGCCAACTGTAGCATTACAAATGAGGCAAACGCTTCTACATTTTGTGAATTTGTAAAAGCAGAGTGTGATTGCTCTGTACAAAGAACTATTGTATTATCATAAGTTTCTGTGATCTCAAACCTTCTCTAGAATAAATAATTTGTAGCTGAATTTATTAGACATCCTACAAAGCACAAAAACCCCACTCTGAACTGACTTTAGATAATCAACTAACATATTTATAGTCTCATCTCATACAATTATACGACCTGCAGAGACAAATAAATAGTAGTTCAGTGTCACATTACCTAGCACAATTCCCTGAGATTCGTAATAACATACATTGATGCACCAGACCTTTGTGCAAAAACTGAACCCCTGTGTCACACAGGTGTTCTGCCTCCCAGAGAAAGAGGAGGTTTGGGAGTAACTCCCTCTGTGGGCTCCTGCTGGATGCTTCTTAGTATGCATGCCCCCAACTCTGCATGGTGACCTTTGTGATGCCCATTCCTACTGGCTGAGCTCCCTTCTTAGACCTTTAAAATCGGTTCTTCAAGGATCTTACTGTTAAAAATAAGAGGCTATATTGACTGAAATGCTTGTAATTCTTCTAAACTGTGGGGAAATGCAGGACACATTTCCCTCAGGTTTAGAGAGCTATGTATATCAGATGCAGCTATACCTATATACATACATACATATATACATACATGTAAAAAATACCTAACCAGGGTAGTCTGGAACACAGAGGATTTAGTGTAATCTCCCTTTGCAGATAACTGAAAAATGCAGGAACTTTTAAAGCATGTTTTGGTGGGTGTACAGCTAATATCTGTTCCAGGCAAGAGGAGCTCCCAGTTCTCTCCATCAGCTATAAAGTAAGCCTCAGGAATCAGCTCAGAAATATGTATCCATAGTTTGCAAGTGTTCAGCAGAATTCTGCCTATATGTTCACTCTGACTTGGCTTTTTTTTTATAGTAGAAACACCTTCAATTGAAATTTTTTTCATTTTATCAAACCTTATGATTGTCATTAATTCTGTAATATTTTTTGCACCAAAAGGGCCTATATGCTACTTTGCTCTGAAGGTAGGTGGGTCTATTAGATCCACCTTCCAAAGATAACTAGAGAAAAAAGTACACATAAATATGAGTAAAAACTTTCAGCACATATTCAGTGTGGCATTAAATAACAAAATCTTTGTTGCAGCAGTGTTCAGGCAAACTTTCAGTTTCTATGTGCTTCAGCTGAGCATGTTTATTTTTTCACCAAGTTAGATCATATGACAGGATACACAAGCTACATGAAGTACTGCCAGCATGTAGGATTTGACTGCAATTTTGCTACTATATTTGGTGTTTGGTTTTAAAACCCCACAAGTTCTAGCACAAAATGGCTTCTTCCTGCAAAAGTCTAAACAAAAGGCAGATGAAAAATCCAAAGGGTATTTTTAACAAGAGGCAGGAAGAGGAGGGAGGCTGCTGCTTCTGGACTGGCAACGCTGACTGTGCAAGAGCTCTGCAGTACCAGTTCCTTATGTGCTCCAAGCAGCTGCTGAGATGTGGGGTTGGGAATTAATCCCTAGATCTCCAACTGTATGCTGACTAGCTTGCAGGAATGAACAGTTGCATCTGGCAGCATTCACATCCTGCAGCTCTGACTTTTAACTAATAGTATATCTGAAAATTAAAGCAGTCTCGTACTGCTACCTCTGCACAGTACCTCATGGTAATTCCCCCAGCTCCCACCCAGGCCACTCTGTAGCTTACTTAAATGGGCAAAATGTGCAGCTCCTTTCAGGGTATTTCTCTTGTTTGAGTTTATTCAGCTCATTTCAACAGTGCTTAGCTGTCATGCAGTTACAGTGACTATATATCTTTTAGCTGAAAGCCTAAGTTTCACATTAACTGCAGGTGTTTCCTCCTTGAACTATATCAAATGACAATGTAAATGCATCCAAGGGTCAAAGGCCGAAGCCCAGAAGGCAAAGCTGAACTCCGCATTATGCTTAACTCGTTCACAATAAGTACCACCATATACAATTCATGTTATAATACAATTTCAAAAATTATCTTCAACCAAAATAGATTCCAAAACTTTTTACTTGGAAATCCAGATTTCTGAATGGAAAATACCTCTCTCCTATTTTGGGGAAGGGCATGATTTAGTGACAGATTGTCCCAACGCCCTTCTCCATCTGCACAGCAAGGTGGCTCTGGAAGACAAGGAGAGATACTTATGACAAAAATAGTTTGTGAACCCGACAGCCAGTGGCTGTGGCTCGCCATCTTGAGTGGTCAGATCAACCATTCTTAGCTAGAAATGCTGAAATGTCATCAGGAGTTGTTGGCCATTTGGGTGCTTTTGTTATAAGATGGAACCCCAAGGTCTGATGCCACCTTTTCCTATCTCTATACATTAAGGACCCTTTATATTATCCATAGTGCTTTGCCCTGCAAAAAGCATAATCACTTTGCCCCTTTGAAAATTTTGCTAGCTGTTCAGAAGGAATAAAGTTGCTTTCTTTACTTATTGCTGTTAGCAAATCACCATGCAACAGAACAGGAAAGACTAACATGATGCCTTGTAATACTGAAAGAGAACATGATGGGGTGAAAAATATGTACCTACTCAAATGTTTTTATTTACAACTGTTTGCCACTGCTGTTCAATCAAAGTGGGGAAAAGAGAACTAAGACACCAAAACAAAAAAATTAATTTGTAAAGGAGGATTATGAAGAATATAAAATATGAAATTAAAAACAATTAGTTTCATAGGTTAAGTACAATATGAGCTAGATATGAGCTTCAAATTTATGCTGAAGAGAGGTTGTTTTTTTATTTCAGTTTGTACTGAAACAAAAGGAAATGGTGACTATTGAGATTTTCTCTTAGCCATATGTTCTTCTAGAAGTTCCATCCCAATTGTATTACACCTATAACAAGGTGGAAGAGATACAGTTGTAGATGTAAGTATCTCTCTGTCACTGTGGTATGGCAAAGGTGGCAATCAAGTCAAGCTCTTGCTGATAATTCTTGCCTAAAATAATAACCATTGACATATGACGCCATTTGTCTTTCGAGATCCTGAAAACCAACAACCAAGGTGCTACCAACTCTTACAGCGAAGTCTGTTGGGCGTGGAGTGTCTCGGGTCTGTGGGTTCCTGGGAGCCCCTTTTCCAAGCCCCAGTTTTCAGACCCACCGAGGCCGCGGGCACCTCGCCCCATCCCCTCTGCGGGCGAGGCACCGCGGCCCGGCCGCCGCCGCAGCGCGGCCCCTCCGCCGCTGTCCGGGCGGCGCCGGCGCGGCAGGCGCCTCCCCCCGCGGTCACGGCGGGGCTGTCGCCGCCGCTGCCACGTCAGGGGAGTGTCCCGGGGCGGGCCGGGCCGGGCCGGGGCCGGCCTTCCTCCTCCGCCCCCTGCCCCCGCCGCCGGAGCCGCGCCGGAGCCGCGGAGAGAGCGAGCGGTGCGCGCTGCCATGGAGGCCCGGTACAACCTCAAGAGCCCGGGTAGGCGGCGGCCGCGCCTTTACGGGCCGGGGCTGCCGCCGCGGCTGCCGCCGGGGCCGGGGCCGCGGCGGGGAGGAGGGCCGGGGCCGCGGCGGTGGCGGTGGGCTCCTGCGCCGGGGCGGAGGCCGGCCGGGTTCGGTTCTCCTTCGCGCTGCGATGGCGTTGAAACCTCCCTCCGAGCTGTAATTCGGTTCGAAACACCCTGACCGCCGGGTCTGGACGTGTCTGTGTGCCCACGCGCGTTGGTGGTTCGTGGACACGTACCCCTGAACGCTTAGTCAGGTGGCTGTGCCCCGTTCCCCCGGGCATCGCCTGCTCTCCGAATGGGTGCGTGTGAGGGCACGGCTCGCCAAGGGTAACTTGGCCCCTGTGGCGTCAGTTTGTTTTGCAGAAGTGTTGCTGTACAGGCTCCGTGTACTTGCGTGTCTGTGTTTGTTCACATGTTTGGTTTGACATGTTACAATTCATGCCTATAAGTCCTGGGCTTTCTTTTGAATCCTTGAAGTGAGAGAGACGCCTCGAGAGATGTGGAGAAAACAGCGCTGGAAGGGAAGGTTTTGGTTCCTCGGAAGCAGCGAGCAGGCCGTGTCTCCCCGCGTGGCTGTGCCGGAGCAGCGGTCTCTGACCGGCTGTGCCGGGGCTTCACCCGGGGAGCGGCTTGCACAGCCGGAGGCCCGGCTGACCCTGCCGAGGCAAAGCCTCTACCGCAGCTCCTGAGGCCTGGGAGGGCTTGTGTGAGCTGCTGTCCCGCCCCTGCTTTCGCCTGGCCGGGTGTTGAGAAATAGGCATTATCCGCTTCATGATATTGTGATGAATAGTAGCTTTATTTTTTAATCATACCGTCCTGTTACCAGCATGTGAGGTGGGGGGAAACTGAATCTTATGATGACTTGTACCTTATAAATGTCAGTGACATGCTTTGTTTACAAACATACCTCATTCGGATGATGGGTCTATTGTTAAATTGTGTCCCTTAGCCTCACACCCAGGTTGCATAACTGGAAGATAAGAAGGATCACTAAGCAAATTATTAACTTGTTGTCATTTAAAATGTCAGAAAGGAATACTCTTTTTTGGGGAGATATGCAGGATGTGTGGCATATATGAATTTAGAAGGCCACACAAACATGCTCACTGGTTGCGGTTTGCCACGTCATGGGAAATAGTGGTGGTGTGCTGTATGACAAGCACCTGGGACCTGGGTGGAGAGGAGAAGTATTTGTGACTTAATTTAGAAATGTTCTTCCCCTTTGTTATTACTTGTCCCCCCTATATTCAAGAGAAAATTACCTTTACTGGAATTGATTTTCAGCACCTGTTGGTGCAGAAAATCAGCTGGAACCAGCTGTTCCATAGCAAAATAAACTTTGTGGGGTAAAGATAAATAATTCATACAATGGCTTAATATTACTTCTCCAAATTAAGCATGTTTGGTTCCATGTTAATTTATTAAACTATTTCTTTCTATATAGCTAGTGAAAGTTTGTAAATTATATAAATAACTTAAAAAATTTCTATAATAATTTAAAACATTGATTCCAATAGTCAATATGCGTGAAGTCGTTCACTGAACAGATGGGCAAAAAGGTGTTGAATAAATATAAACAAATATTTTAAATAAATATTGTTTCTTTACAGTTGCACATTAAAATGAGTTAACAGTAATTATGTATAGCCACTGCTTGTAGTCTGGCACTTTAGTTGCTAACCTGGTAGATGAGCATATGCAATTATTTAATATTTCTGTGTGTTTTACAAATTCCTATCTTGTTCCAGTTACCTGTGCACTTTAGTGGTGGTATCTTACTCTTGCCATTCGACTGAAGGTTAACAATGGAACTGTAGAATATTCTAATATTAAGGTTTCAATTAATGTAAAGGCACTAAAATACATAAAAAGAAGTCCACTGTATTTTCTGTTTCAAGGGGTTGTGTCATGTGTGGACTGAAGGGATTACTTTGGTAACTGAGCCCTCTAGGGCTTTAGAACAAGTAGCTGTCCTTGTGCCTGTTGTTGCTTTGCCTTTAATAGAGGAAGAACCAAGATGCTAACCTTTAGGTCAGCTTTAGGGATTTGGAACATGCTATCTTGAGACAGAATAGAAAAAGTAATGGTTTTGTACCTGTACAAGATGCTTCTACTGCTGAAATCTGCTTTTGGACTTGAGCAAACTGCAAACGGTGATTTTGTCTGCTCAGTATATTTTAAAAGGGCAAATTCTACTAACCCTTTTAGTATAAGTTGCCTTAATGTAATGGTGTAGATGAAAATACATTTTAAGTAGGAAAATGTTGTTAAAAGAAACATGTGCCTTTATAGCAGAATTTGGCTTAAAATAAAGATCTATAGAGTTGTGAAGGAGCTGAAGTTCATCTGTGGTTGACACCTGGATCCCTCTTCTGTGAATGTGCTACACCAGACTGGTGAGTGGGGATCATTTAGGTTCTCCATTGCTGTACTTTGTGTGCTCTCAAGCAGGCCACAGAAGAGCAATATTGCTACACATCTTTGTCCTGCTGCAAATTGCTCCTAGGCAATGTGTTTATCTTCTTCATTATCCCTGTTTTTACAACCAGTGAGCTCATCCCAGCATATCTGAAAGATGGGAACTCTCCACAACACAAAGCAAGCCGTTCCCCTGCACACCACATCTCTGTTGATGAGAGGCAGTGCAGCTCTGGCCCATCTCAGTTTGCCATAAGTACAGGCCATGGGCAGTGCAGGTCTGGGATGGCAAAGCAGCTCCTGTCACTTGCCCACTGTAAGAGCAAGGAGCCATGGGAGCATTCACCTGGTGCTGTCTTCTCACACTGCCTATGAACTTGAGTTTCTTTTTTATTTCTTCCCAAAAAGACAGTTAATTTTGGAAGGGATGAAATTTCACACTTTGCACTTCAGGTTTCTTTGTATTGCTTCAATAAGGGAAAGCCTTGTAAGCTGTTGCTTCATATTTTTGTGTGTATTTTTGGCAGTTGTAAAAGGGCAAGCTATTTTCTGTCATAGGATTTCAAAATGGATTAGTCAATGTATATCGGCCTGCTACCACATGGCTGATAAACCTTTCCCATCAATATTAAAGCTCAGCTGACTAAAGTACAGACTTCATCTTCTTCATGCCTCAGGAACATCCCTAATTTTCTGAAGTTTATAAGACAGCTACTTGGAATAATCTCTTTACTTTTTTTCCCCCAAGAGCTGTGACCCTTAGCCTGCTGTAAGATCAGACACGGAATCTTGTAGTCACTGCTCTTGTAGTGACAATGTCTCACTTTTGTGTGGGCTGTAACCAGGTGTCTGAGTGGGTATTAGCAGAGACACTTGAAGAATTATGAACAACTATTTACAGTGCCTCACACGGAGCCCACAAAAAAACATGCTTTTTAGTTTTTTGGGAGGCAGAGTTGGTTTGCGTTCAGCAGACCACTTCATCAAGATTTTGATTAGTGAGTGCCCTGGAGCCCTATGGAGAGCACATGGAAGGAGTCATGGCATGCTGTCCTGCATTTCTTGCCCAGGGGCACTGCTTTGGGATCTTGAAGGCATAGAGAACATAACAATGCTAAGATTGTGATCCTCTTAGCTGTCATCTTCAATATGATTGCTGTTTTTCCTAAAAACCGTACTTCTTTCTCCACTGCATATTTTGCACAAGTGAGTGATCTGTGCCAACAAGCATATGTCAGTTCTTTATTAACTAAACAGAGCTAATAGGAAATAGCCAGTAGCTGTTGTGCTGCTTAGTAGCTTCTGTGTATGAAAGAAGGATAGATTGTTTAAAATTAAAATGTTGAACACGTGTTAAAAATTTATTCATTGTTTGATCTTAACGTGTTCAACAAGCACCTTGGATTTTGTAACTTTTACCTCGGTGTGCGTTGATCACTGAACAGTTGTTTTCAATTGCAACTATGATAAGAGTACTGTACTTCCTGTTGCCCTGAGGGAAATGAGGACTAAAGATTGGTTGTTTCTTAGGGTGAGAAGAAAGCAAGACAGGACTAATTAAAACGTTTTGTGTTTTTATAATAGTTGTTAATACTTTATGTGAGTATAGAGGCTTGTTGATCATGTGAAAAAATGTTCATGAGGCTGTGAAGATGTAAAGCAGCTATTCAGGAGGTTTATGGATCTTGAGAAGGGACGTATCTGAGACCCTGAGGATGGAAAACAGCTGGCCTGTTTCTTGGCAAATGGTGTTTACATTTGTTTTGTAGCAGAAGTCAAAGGAACTGCCAGAGGAATGTCCTGGTCTTGGCTGGGATGGAGTTAATTTTTTTCCTAGTAGCTGGTTCAGTGCTGTGTTTTGGATTTATTTATCTTATTTTTAGTTCACAAATGATCACACATCATTCACAAGTTCTAAACTGTCCAAGAGAATCACATCCACAAGGTGACACACAGCTCCTAGTGACACTGTGCAGGTTGCTGTGAACCTCTTAGAGTTGCTGTATATTTAGATTTAATAAACCATTCTCTACAGAGTACAGCAAAAAATACCATTGAAAAAAATACCATTTTCCATATCAAAGAGCTACTGTGACTCTTTGTTTTAAATATGTTTTCTTACATGTGTCAGTGACCACATCACTTAAAATGTGATTTATTTTTTATTAAAATGTCAAAGCTCATCAAGTGCTGTCATTTTACGAGAAATCCTAGGTACTTTACATATAAACGTAATCCTGATGGGTTTTTAATGATGTGCACTGGAGCTACTGAGAGTGTTATTCACTCTTGTTTTTCCCCTTACAATAAATTTAAACATTACTTTAAGTAAATGAGATTTTCTTTTAAATGCCAATGCAGTTTGGTTCCCAGATGCTTTGGGCTGCTGTGGGGACTGGTGATTCAGCAGGTAGGTGATGCTCTGCGCTGTGACCTCTGACGTCACTTGTGGTTACACTGGCTGTAGGTCAGGCACTCTTGGCTCGGTGGTCAGGTAAAGAGTGGAAGGGGGAAGAAAACAAAGCCAGCTGGATTTAAGAAGACCCTCCCAAAATGTCATCCATGACACATCTGTGTAATTTAAGGGACATGATGCTTGTCTCAAACTGTCTTACGTGATTTCATTTTTTATAATTTTTTTCTGTTATTTTTGTATAATACTTTTCCTGATTTAGGTAGTAGTCTCATTAATAGATAAACACATAACAAGGATTACTTGTGTTTTACTAATCATTTAAGTGGATTGAGTAGTTATAAAAGTTTATCTGAGATGAAGGGTTTTATGGGAGTTTCACTTTCACTGGTGAACCTGTATTCAATAAATAAATTGCATCTTTACTTGTGTTGTTTTTGTTAGCAGAGCCATAGGGAAAGTTACTACTTCTGAGTAGACCTCTAAATCTTGTTTAAAGTGAAAAAAAAAAAAAAAATAGTAGCAGCCATAAATAAAAAGGTAGGAAACATTAGCCAAAGCAGTAAAAGCTGTCAGGTTGTTTTATTCTTCTTTTCCCAGCTTAGATAAGTCATCTTGAAAGATTGAGAGATCTCTAGCTTTATGCCAGCTATTCTGGATTCTATTATCTATCTGTACATTATGTACTTTCTTTTTCAAACAGTGGAACTGAAATTTCAAACTGAAGTTTGAGAATTCATTTCAGAATGAAAAGGTTGCTGTACATTTGAAGAAGATACTATCATGCACAACCATTTTTTTTTTAAAGACATAATGATTTACTAAGAAAACACCACTGTCATCCCTTTAAGCAGTTTCACTGATGTTTACGAAGACTGATCACTTGTGTTTTCTGTGTCCAGAAGGTTTCCACAGGCACTAGTTACAGACAAGTACATAGTAGGAGTACTTGAATGACCTGCAGATCAAAAGAAGCAATTGTGTGTACTGAAGTTTCAGGGTAGCTTGAAGTAAAGGATGATGAAAGTGGAATTTGACGGCATGGTTTTTGGTAGAAATAAATCTATTAATCACATATGCATTTATTGTACAGATTTCCCTCATTAATTGGTATTCCACCATCACTCAATCCTAAAGCAAGTTGGTGGCTTTAAACTTGATTCTTAGATTTTTAATAGCTGTATTTTGCTTTTCAGAAAATTTTATTCAGTGTAATGCAAGAGGCAGATTGTCAGGCAGAGCTTCTGACCTGTAGTGTTCTGTCTTTCCTCCACAGAGCAGTAGAGAGCTCCCACACCTCCTGCTCTTGATGGGAACTCTCCTGTAATCTCTAGTCCAGAAATTTAATTTCCCCAGAATTTAATTTTGATGAACATTGATAATGTGTTACTGAGTGTATCTGTGCAAATGTGGTTATTTTGCATGCTGATGGTTATGTCACATTAAAAAATAACTTGATTATTTTGTCTATAAAACCTGTGTTAGACAAATTCAGTGTCTTGACTTTTTTTTTTTTTTTGGCTGTATTAGCCATACTCTTTGACTTTATTGGCAGTCTGTGATTCTTTATTTCAAATGTTTTTTTCAGAATTTTAGAACTTTAAATTATTTTTCAGAATTGCCATTGACGAATGTTTTCTCAGTGACTCACGATGACTTAAGTGGATTGAAATACCATGACTTATTGCAGGCAGACTTTGTGAATTATGCTTGTTTCTTCCACTGCAGTTTTTGGTAGCCAAAGGAAGAACTGTTTCATGAATACTGCAGCAGGGCTTGAAGAAGAAACAAATTTTGTGCTTTCTTCACTGGATCACACGTTCCCAGAACGAACCTTTACAGCTCCAGGCTTTTCCTTGCAGCCTCTCAGCTGGTATTTCTCAGGGATGTGGGAAGAGAAACACAAAATAGTTTGGGTTGGCAGGGATCTTTAAAGGTCATCTAGTTCAGCCTCCCTGCCTCAAGCAGGGACACCTTCTGCTAGATCACAGCTCAAAGCTCTGTCCAGCTTGACCTTCAAGGCTTCCAGGGATGAGGCCTCCACAACTTCTCTGGGCAACTTGTTCCAGTGTCTCATTGCCCTCATGGTAGAGAATTCCTTCCAGATGTCCAATCTAAACTTACTCTCTTTGAGTTTAAAACCATTCCCTCTTGTCTTGCCACTACAGGCTGTGGTAAGAAGTTACTTCTTTCTTATAAGCATCTTCTAGGTATTGAAAGGTCACAGTAAAGTCTCCCCAGAGCCTTTTCTTAAGGCTGAACAACCCCAGCTCTCAGCCTTTCTGCATACACATGTGCTGCTTAGCATAATGGAATAATAGTAAGGCTTGGGTTGGAAGGCACCTTAAAGTTCACCTACTTCCAATCCCTGTGCTGTGGGCAGAGATGCCTTTCTCTAGATCAAGTTGCTCAGAGCTCCGTCCAACCTGGCCTGGAACACTTCCAGGATGGGGCTTCCACGATTTCACTGGATAACTTGTTACAGCACCTTACCATCCTCACAAGAAATAAATTTTTCCTAATATAAAATCTAAATCTATTTTCTTTCAGTTTGAAGCCATTCCCCATCTTGTTGCTACATGCTCTTATAAAAATCCTTCTCCCATCTTTCTTGCAGGCTTTCTTCAGGTATTGGAAGGGTGAAGTTAGGTCACCTGATAGATTTTTAAGATGTCCTGGGTTGCTTAATACTGAAAACTTCTTATAAGCAAATTATCTCTATGATATTCAAGGGCTAAATGAGATTTTGCTGTTTCATGCCCCAAGAATGGAGTAGTGTTATGCTGTAATAGCTTTCCCTCGGTGAATGTGGGTGACTCCACATGATGCTTTTATGGGGGGAATATATTTATTTTCTGTCCTGGTCTCTCAGCTGGGAAATCTCAGTAACAGTTGTCTGCATTGTCCATGACTCCTCTGTCTTTATTAGGTTTCGTTACACACAGTCTCAGTTTTCTCATGGTCACCATTTTGCTTTGTGGGGTGTTCACTCCTGAATTAGCTCATCCTGGTGCATGCCACTCTTCTTCTAAAGGCAAGTGTCCAGCCTTGTTAGCTGTGAAGCAATGCTGAGTACAAAGCCTTTTCTGGTCTAGACTGGTTTTCTTATATTCCTCTCTAATGAACTGGTAAACCTTAATGAAGATGAAAAAGACAAACTGTTACTCAGCAGAGCCTGAATGCTTCTAGCTGTGATGTGACCTGGTGAGATCTATCAGGTGTTTGACACCTCCCTGTAGCAGCAGCATAAATGAGGTAACTGGCAGCAGCAAGATTTCCACATAACTGGTTTTCTGTTTGGGTTGTAAGAAGTGAAATTCTCAAACTTTGAGCCATTGTTTATAGCTGTCTGAAAGAGTGAAGGAGGAAAAGGACTTTTCACAGTAGATTGGAGGGGAAATTCCTCTGTGGGGAGGCCAGAGTTTTTTATTAATGTATGGTGCACATGAGGGCACCTGAAGTATAAGTGATGTAACAGAGCTTGCAAAAGAGGGCACAAGAAAATACAGATGATGCTGGTATTTCTGAAGTGGAAGGTTGGAGAAGGTTACTAATGAGTATGAGGTCATGATAGAAGAATACTTGGGTGTTCACACTCAGTGGCAGGTTCCAACTGCAGAGGCCCTGGGTAAATTTTTCAGGCTGGGCATATGCAAATATTTCAAATCTATTATAAAACTTCTGTCTCCTCTTACTGGTGATGTGTTGATTTCTCTCAAGTATTACTGTGACCTCCTTTTGCTCAACTAAAGGAGTAGTCATGTAATTGTCATGGGAGGTGTCAGGATAAAGCTTTTCAGCAGTTGTTAAAGATGCACACGATGTCCTGTATCGTAAAATATTGAGGTTGTTAGCCTTATAAATCTTGTAGTCTGAAACCCTGTTAATGATATGTATGTTTTTCCTCCTGTCTGGTGCAATTACTAACATAAAACTACTTTAGTCTCAATGTTCATTGTTGAGAAACTGTGACCATGCACATATTTTTCATAACTTTATGCTTGTATAACCCATTTAAGGTTTATTCATCATAAGTAATTATATAGTATCTTGAATTATGAACTCCAGTGAAGAAGCTGGAATCTGCTAGAGAAGATTAGTTAGCTGAAAAGAGTTCTTCAAGAAATGTTTTATGTATTTTTCTATGCAATGCATATTAAGTTATTTTCTTCGTTTTCATGTCTTATGCTTTCTTTTTTTTCAGCTGTCAAACGTCTGATGAAAGAGGCTGCAGAACTGAAGGATCCTACAGAGCATTATCATGCACAGCCTTTGGAGGTTTGTTTCTCTATATGTTTGCAAGAACTTGTAATTAGGCAGTTTTATTAATATATACACTTAATATATACTTTTCTAAAATGACAGCAAAACAATTTTTTTTTCCCTATGATGGAAATCAGCAGAATTCAACTTCAATGGTCTTGTTCTTCAGGGTATTGTTGAAAATACTTAACAGTTTTGTTTTAACAGAAAGTACTTAATAGCATTGCACCTGAGTAGTTTTATAGCATGGGTATGTTTTTTCCCCCATCACCTTCCCAAGACTGTGGAAATATTTAATATTTAAATCAAGCTTTTTGTACCCAAACCTGACATCTGGCGCACTTGTTGAGTTGTTCACTGAAGCACTTAACCTAAAGTGATCTCTGAGGATTGCCATTTTGCATTTAAGATAACCTGTGAAAGACACAAATGTATACAATTCTGGGTGCATTGTAAGAGAGGGGGATTTCACTTAAGGAGTAGCTTCTTGTCTAAACACCCAGTTAAGTTTTTGGGCTGAGAGGACAATGAAGTTCTGGTGGTTAGAAGCTTAAACAGAAATCCCTACTGACTTCACTTGGTTAATTCAAAAAAAGCAGTGTTCTGTGGTATTCAGTTGGGAGGTTTGATTTTTAGCTGTTTGCAGAAATAAGTAACATATTTGACATGTTCACATAATAATGCATGTTCCAGGGTGCTATAAAATATTCCTTATTGTCTACTTGTTTTTATCTGTAGCTTGCTTCTCCTTCCTGTGGTAAATCAAGAGGTTGAATTCTTGCTGTTATTTGTAACCTACATGAAGATCTTATTTCTGGATTAGAGCAGTGTCTCAGTGGGAAGAGAACAGTGGCAGATGAAAGGAAATCTTGACAGTTGTCTCCTATACTTGAAAAACTGCAACTAGGTGGGCCGCCCCAGGGCTGTAATACCAGTGTTCAGCATTAGCTGAGGGATCTCATTCACTGACAGCAAGCCTCATTTGGGCTCCTGTCCTAACAGTAGGAGTTGTTCTGCTTGTAAATATTGAGGAAGTTGTTGGCAGTGCAAGTTCTGATACCCAAAGAAATAATGTTTAAAGAGAAGTTATTTATATGTCCGATGATGATAAAACTGTAAATTTCAAAGTGTACCTATAAAAGTTGTGCAATAAGGTACAGTACTTGTTTCAAAACTGTTAGTGGAGTAGGGAAAAAAGAAGTTCTCTAGGATGTGAGTCAAATCCCTGTGTTGACCTGGGCACGGAAGGAGCTTTGGGAAGGCTGTCATTAGTGTTCTTTCTAGGTATAGGTCTCCCTCTGGTTCTCCAGAAATTATTGTTCACTGAGGCAAAGATCTAAAGATTTTGGATCTTACTCTTAATTGACTCAGTTTTCCATCTGTTGGGTAGTACAACTTCTGTCATAATTTATACAGCTAGCATAAAGAATTTGGATAATAAATTTGAGACTTTTGGCGAATTATTGCACACGAAATTTCCCAGAAACCTACAATGCTTTATCCTTATTGCTGCATTCTCTTAACTCTCCATTTGACTTTGTCTTCTTAAAACTTCTGCTTGTATACTGTTTCTTCAGCCTGTCTTTGTTCAAGAAAATGGCATTGAGTTGTCTAGTCTCTGATGAACACTTTTTTTTTTTTTCCCCTTCTTCCATTGATGGGGGCATTTTTAGGATAATCTTTTTGAATGGCACTTCACTGTTAGAGGCCCTCCAGATTCAGATTTTGATGGAGGGATTTATCATGGGCGAATAGTGCTACCACCTGAATATCCCATGAAACCACCCAGCATTATTTTGCTGACGGTAAGTAAGTATGCTCATTAGTTTTTCCTTTTTATATTATCAATTTTATCATAGGTACAGAGAGAGAGGGAGATTCTAGGCATTTAACATGATGTTATTTTTGTAAGAAAGGTGTCACAGTATAGCATAATTGACAGTCCAAAGTCTTCCAAGATTATTTTGGTAATCTCTTAATTGCATGAAGCTTTATGCCAAATAAATGCTCTTTCCTCCAGAAGCAATCACATTGCTGATGTGGTTGTCTGGCTTTTCTGTTTCTCCTTGGGCCCTCTTGGTTTCTGTTGAATACATTGCTCAGATGTTGGGAGGCAGACCTGTAGTTTGAGGCAAAGGCCTTCCTTTGTGCATAGTTTTGTAGAAGGTTTTCTTCATGCATTAACAGACTCAGATGACAGAGTTCTGTTTTCAGCAAGCTGAATGCCAATTTTGTGGTGTCAGCAGTAGTACAATTGTCACGTATGTTTGTGTATGGAATTCTTATGATTGTGATTTTTATGACTTTTACAAAAACTGAAGAGTTAACTTCTAGCATGCTTTATTGTATACTCCTCCTTCCTTTGAAGGCAAATGGCAGGTTTGAAGTGGGGAAGAAAATTTGTTTAAGCATCTCAGGGCACCATCCTGAAACATGGCAGCCTTCGTGGAGTAGTAAGTAACAATTCTTTGAAAAATCTTACCCCCATCTAATAACTTGTTCTTTAAACTCAAGAGAATCTCATGAAAAATGTTTAAAGTGGAAAAGGAGACAGATTTTGAGAGTGTATTGGGGAGAATTTGTCAAGTGTAGGGTCATAAAAAGAATGAAATTGAATGATTTGGAAATGATACTAAGTAAAATCCAGGACTGAGAAACTGAGGGATGATGGTAAGCTCTTCTTTACTTGGATACATAAGCATTAAGAATTCTCAGACTGCTTAGAATATTCTTTGTGTGTTTTGTTTAAAACTTTCCTTATAAGAGAAATCCTGTTACTTTACCCTGTTTTTGCATGAGCACTAAGCCAGCTTGAATAATAATAGAAGGGAGTTTTCAGTTCTAATTATTTGGTTCTGAGCACTCAAGAGGAAAGATAATGTGGTCTGAGTTCAGAATAACTAAATCATTGCTATCTTTATTTTTAAAAATACTGTTATTAGAGAAATTGAGAGCTGGCACAGTTCATCCAAGGCAATATGCTTATGTTCAAGTAATTTTAGTTTTGCTGAGTACAGTATATCAGTTATTTCTATATTAGTTTCACTTTTAAAATATATTGGTAAGATCTTAGGAGTTTTCTAGCAGACCACTCTTCAACTTTTGTTGTCTCTAATGTTTTTTTAAGAGTAGAAAATCTTGTGTTTCTAAATAGTTGTATATATGCTGTCTCTTTTCTGTGGTACTTATTTTGATGTGATACTTATTTGCCAAATCTATTAGCAAAGTGTCTTGAATTCTTAAATATCATTACTTCTGTAAAACAAAGTCCAAGTACAGATGTTGTCAAAAGAGATGCTTCATATGACAATTCTGTTACAAGCAGTTACTAATATTTTACGTGAGCTCCTTCCCCTATTATGATGACATAAAAGGAACAAATTCTGCAATACTTTGTAAGGAAGAAAAACTCTGAGCATGTGTACACTAAATTGCAGAATTCGTGTGTAATAGAAAAAAGATGCAAAATAAATAATTCCCTGTGAACCTTTTATCTTTTTCCTCTCCCCCTGCTCCCCTTCTCCCCCCAACCACCTTTTTATATGTTAGCTCTGCTTTACCTTTTTTCATAGTTTTTAAAGTCTGGAACACTCTTCTTAATGCAATGTTTTTGTGACAGTTGATTTTTCTCTTCTCCGTTGGCTGGTGGCCTTTTCTTTGTTTACAATGTAATGTTAAAACAAAATTAAGAAAGGGGTGCAGTGTACCAAAAAGAAACCAAAACCACTGCTGCTTGTAGGAAGTTCAGACTTGGCAGAATGAAGTTTTGCACTCAGAAATGCAACTTTCCTGAGTGTGGAATGAGATTACATAAGTCTTGTTTCTGCCAACTTGTTTCTATCTCTGTTTTCCCATTTTAGTAAGAACAGCTTTACTAGCTATCATTGGATTTATGCCAACCAAAGGTGAAGGAGCAATAGGATCTCTAGATTACACACCAGAAGAAAGAAGAGCTCTTGCAAAGAAGTAAGTGCTAAGTTTGTTATTGTAGGGACATTTACATTAATTCACTTTGAGGGTAATGCATTGAGTAGAAAATAAGCTACATCAGTCTATTCTCTTGCATTTATTCCAAATAAAACAAGTTTGATGTCTTGTTTGTGTAGTCACTTTTTTCTCTGACTATTGTGCAAACTTGGAAATTGCAGTCAAGCAAAATGTTTTGAGAGCACTCCATTACTTCCAGCTTTGTGTGGTCATATTAGAGGTTTGTCTGAAATTCAAACTTGGAGATATAATTAACATTATGATACAGTACTAATTGCAGCATGGAGAGAAAGTGGGTATGATGGAATTGATAGTAAGTGGGGGAGAAGACCACCAAAATAATGATATATAATTGTATTTAAGTAATAGTGAAATTATTTCAAAATTCTGAAGCAACTTCTTCTAATGATATTTAAGAAGTTAACTTGAGATTAGGTTTGTGACTATGATAAAATTATTAGCTTAGTGGACAAAGGGAGGGCACTGGATGTTGTTTATAGGGATTTCAGCAAGGCTTTTGGTGTCCTTTCCCTTATCCTCAGTCATGAAGTATAGCCTAGGTAGCTGGGGACAGTAAGGGAGATTAAGAACTGCCTGAGCTGCCTGGCTCAAAGGATTGTGATAAGCAACACAAAATCCAGCTGCAGGCTGGTCACTATTGGTGTATTCCTGGTATCAGTGCTGGGGCCAGTGCTATTCAGTGTCATTAATGACTTGGATAATGAGCAACAGGGTGCACCCTCAGCAAGTTTGCTGGTGACACAAAGCTGGGAGGAGTGGCTGATACACCGGAAAGTTGTACTGCCATCCAGAGGAGCCTCAGTGGGCTAGAGGAATGTCAGAGAAAAGTCCTGCCCCTGGAGAGGAATAATATCAGCTGACTAGAAGGGAGCTTGGAAGGGAAGATTATGGTGGTCACTATGCTGATCCTGAGGCAGCAGGGTGCCGTGGCAGTAAAGAAGGCTGAAGTGTCCTGGGTTGCATGAGGAGGAGCATTGCCAGCATGTCAAGGGAAGTGATCCTACTTCAGTACTCAGCACTGGTGAAACATCAGCAGTGCTGGGTTCAGGTGGAACTGTGACCAGGTCAGAGTACAAGAGAGATAAGGACATCCTGGAGTAAATTCAGTGCAGTGCCACGAAGGTGATTGAGGAGCTGGAACATGTTTCATCCATGGAGATAGTAAAAGAGCTGGGAGTGTTCAGCCTGGAGACGAGAAAGTTCAGGGAATCATATCCATGTGTACAATTATATGAAAGGAGTTGTAAAAAAGGTAGAGCCAAGCTCTTTTCAGTAGCATTCAGTAACAGCAGTGAGTCAGTGGGGTAGGTTAGTCATGATACTGTCCTGTCAAGTCTCTGATTCCTCACTGGCCTGGAGAGCCACTTGCAGTGTGCCCTATAGAGAGGTGATGTGGGAAGGTTGTTCTCCAAGAAGCTGAAATTCCTGGATTGGAGGTGCAAGCTCCAATTACATTTTTACTATTATTACATTTGTAATAATAGTTAGATCTTTATAATTTATAATTTTTATTTGCTGCAGATATAAGTATTTTAATTGTAAGAAATTATTAATAAAGTATAAATAATAGTGATATTTAAGTCAGTTGTTAATACTTTCCTAAATGACTTGAGAGAATTTGTGTTAGTAATACAGATAATTCTCAACATATTTTTTCAAGATAGTGTGATTTGAGGCAGAGGGAAGTACTTCTAAGCTACTGGCCTTGCCACCACTTGTCTTTCTGTGGATTGTTCTGCAAATAGTTTATTAAACAAGCACACAGGAACACTAAGAACATGCTATTCTGAGCTATGTCTTTTGTGGGCAGGTCACAAGACTTCTGTTGTGAAATGTGTGGCACATCTATGAAGACAGCCCTCTTACCACTGACATCTGGAAGCGTGTCAAGCCAGGCAGACAAGGAGGCTAAAGAGCTTGCCAGACAAATTAGCTTCAAGGTAAAGTCACCGTTTAAACTTTTATCTCTCTTGTATAGAAGTAGAAAAGAAAATACTGAGAAAAAACTTGTAAATCACAGAAACATTCGTCATATGAGAAAACCATCATCAATTGCTATGTGGAAGCCTGTTTCTTCAGTTTAGTCTGAAAGAGAAAATAAGAATGGATCTCTTGCAATTTGCCACTTAATAAGTTGTACATCTCAAGCATTGATTTATTAGTTTTAGTGGTGACCACTGTGGTAGGAACTGCCTATGTTACTTTTACTTCCACATTTTCCAACACTAATAACTTGATTAAATTCTCCAGAATTAGTTATATCATAAAAGTGTGATGAAAGTTTGAGCAAAGCTAACCTAAATTTTTTACCTTTGTGATTTTTTTTTCCTTTTGGATTATGGAAGGAATAAAACATATTACTACTGAAAAATGGTTGCAAATTCTTTTGAAGTACTCTGCTACTATCTGAAGATACTGAAAGTTGAACTCTGGTATGGAAGTTGCTGTGACCGAAAAATGTGTTCTCTAGCTTGTGTTTCAGTGAAAGCAAGGTTTGTTTAGACAAATACATTCCTTAGAGAATTGCATGTCTTGCATGCACAGTGTTGTTTTTCACTGGGTTTTGCACTAAACTCTTAAATCAGCCACTAAGGAAGACTACTGTGCATGAGAGCAGGGAACTACAGTTACATTATGACAACGTGACATTAGTGCAGAACACATCCTCACTGAGGTCAGGGCTTCCAGTATATCCCTTTTTATCACCTATGTTCTTCTAATAGTGACCTGATGTCTACTTTTTAAATTTTTTGTGTGTGCCAGGAAAGTAAGGATTATCTTCTGAGTATTCCTGCCATTTTTGCAGGACATGCATATTCCTGTGCCATAACACTTACAATAAAAATATCTCCAAATATTTTACAAAGATGAGAAAAACAGGGACAGAGTTTTAAAGCTCAGCTACTTGGATAAACAATGGATTGCCTTCTCCTGGATTTTTTAGAATATATAAGAGTTTAAAGTTGTAAGATTAATTTTTTTATTTGAGAACTGCTAATCTTCAAAGAAATTCTAGAAGCATCCAAGTTTGGTTTTGTTTGGCTTTTTCTTTTGTGAGAAAGAACTTGCCTTTCATACCTTTTTTAGTTTTAAAATTAAAGGCTTAGAGATATCAGTCTTTAAAGAATACAGGTGTTTGCCATGTATCTATATGCTTGACACTACCTCCTAAGAACACTTGTCAGGAAAAAAAAGGAAAAAAAAGCCTTAGGTTTCTGCAGCCTTTTACCATCCATTGTGTGGGGTTCTTTTTAATTTAATAAGGCAAATCAGTTCTGTCCTCTGGTAGCATCTTTCTTCCCTTCTCAAATCAAAATTTAGGGGTTCAGGTTTTTTAAGCTTCCTGCTTCTCTGCTTTGCTTGACTTTATCTGTTTGTTGTTAGGTGGAGGTGTTCAACTGATGTGTTTTTAATAAACTAATAGTATGAATTACTAGCAGAAAATAAAGAAGTTTTAAATTATTTGGATACATTTCATGTGAATTTATTGGGTAAGATTTAACATCAGATTGCTGATTGAGTGTATAATTTGACAGAGGCTCTCTACTAGCAAACATACTAGCGACCTCTGCATTAGCTTCCTCCTTAAATAAGAGATTTCTGAACTATGTGTAGATGATCCCAGGGTTATTGTGTTTCTTTGCAGCTTTAAACAAGATGCTAAGTTTTAAAAAAGTGGTAGTGGGATAGGAATATGTAATTCAGGAGGGGGGGAAAAACCCCAACTCCTCTTCTCATTACAGTTTTCCTTCTTCTGTGGGCAGCCACCTTTGTTCCTGTCTGTTTTAATAGGAAATTATATTTTGTATCAGTTTTATACTGACTTCCAAATAATTTTCTAGGTGTTACATAACAGAAATTCCATTTTGCTTAAAGAAGGAGAAAGGAAAAAAGAAATTACTGATGGCATATGTATCACTGTAAAACAGTGTGGTTTACCTTCATGTTGCTATCACAAGGGATATTTTGCAATAAAATTAATTCTCTGTTCACCCTTATTGTTATGTTTAAGTATGTTGTCATCTTTTGAATGTTAGTCTGACTTCAGTCTAGATACTAGACTTAGTGCTTTCATAAGCTGAAGTAAATCAAGTGCACATTCGGTACTGCTTTATAGAGATTAACAGCAAAGATGAAATAAGCTCGTCTTGAAAGAAGCAAGAGTATGAAAATCAGTACTCACAGGTTTTGGGAACTTGTGATTGGATATAGGAAAGAAAGATTCACCCTGAGCGTTGTCAAATGCTGGAGCAGACTACCCAGAGAGACTCTGCACCCCCCCAGCTTTGGAGATGCTCAAAACGTGTCTGGACATGACTCTAGAGAAAGTTGGACCAGGGACATCTAGAGTTCCATTCTAGTCTAAATATTTTGTAATTCTGTGTTGCTTTGTTGATGATCCATATTTGAATCATAACTTTTCCTGTCTAATACTGCAGTTCATAATAGTCAAGTGTAAAGAGAAAGCAGTGTTCTTAGCAGAGTCTAAGTTTTTTAATGTTAAATCCATCTCCAGATTCTTTTAGTGCCATATTTTTTTGATTCTCTTGAGGCAATACATATGAAGAAACAGAGAACTTAATTTCCTCACAAAAATAGTATCAAGAAAGACTATTGTACTGTGATCTTACCAGTTTATTATCACTATAACTGGTTGTTTTCTAATGCACTGTTTGTATTTCTTGCTGCTATTACTACCACCACTATCTATGTCTGCATTTGAAGACAGTCATTAGATTTGAAGTTGTCATTTTTGTAATAAGTTGGGACCTAGACACATGACTTGGGAGGTGACTTGCTTACTGATAAAAACTGATCTAGTCAAGAGCTCATTTTTTTTGATGTGTAAATTTTAGAAGTATTTCAGTTCAGCACTATGATGGTATGTCCTTTTCCATTCCCAAGAGATTACTGTTGCCATATATACTGGTGTTCATGTTCTTCTACATGTCCCTATTGATCTCTTGTCTCAGATTTCCTAAGCATGAAACCTAAATTCTGGGGGAACTTATGTGTAGTAGACATTTTGTAAATGTGTATGAAAGCAGTATTGCAAGACTTGAATTTTTTCTTTTGCTCTGTGCTGAAATTTAAATACTGGACACTGGTATGCATGTACTACCCAGTGTAGTGTCATGCATATATGCCTACTCTGTCTGTGAGGCAACTTTGGTACTGAAACCAGTATAGCCAGTTTACACTGGCACTCACTAGAGACTCTTTAGTCCTGTGGAGGAACAGGCTGTGCTACTTCACTTGTATCAGCAGTAGGCCAGCATTGTCTTAAGGACATGCAAAACAAAAGTATTAAAAATTGCATAATTCTGGCATAATGTCCTGAATCTTCTAAAGAATTTTAATTTTTGTTCTCTACATCTGTGCGTTTTTTGAATGTTATATTTGTTACGTGCAAACAAAATTGGTTTTTAAACTGTTGTTTGCACATTTGCAGTCTTACTTTTAAAGAATGAGAATTTCTTAAACTTGTTTCTGTGTCATTGAAATGCAACTGGCACACCTGATTGTTACATTTTGGTAAGCCTCGTATTCTCTACAATGGAATACACATTCCAAAATAAGTCAAATCGTTTTGAAGCAATTTTGATCTTGTCTGTGAAGTGTACATTTGTGCTTCTTGTAGGCAGAGGTCAATTCATCCAGGAGATCTGATGCTGAGCCCTCAAATACATCTGGACTGAACCACTCTACTGCTTCACGTGAACCCCAGCAGGATGGTGCAGCTAGAGCATTCCCAGATCCAACAAGTGCGACGGTATGTCCATCTTTGAGCTTTATTGGGCATAGTTTGAACATGAAGTTGGTCCTCTTAAGCTGATTTGAGTCCCGATTAAAGGATGTAGTTCACTTACTTATGCTGGAACTCCTGCATATTTTTATATAAAATCTGTTAACAAATAGTATGCTGAATCATTTTTAGTAATAGCACTTTCACTTTCTTTTCTTAAAACAAGAAATCATGTTCTTTTAGCAATTCTTCTTCCCAGTGTTTACATTGTGTTCATTAAAACTTTATGATGTCTGAAGCACTACAATTTACCATCTGCGTAATGTAGCACCAGTTTTTTCTACAGAATTCTTAGAGGCAAAAAATATTTCAGTGATAACCTGTAGCTTTTAAATATCAATCAATACTATTTTCTTGGGTTTTATAACCTCTTAAGTAAGTCTAAAATATTCATACTGTTTCAAATATGACACTTATATTTTAATACTGCTAGGTGTAAGGCTTACATAAAGGTTTCAGAAGTGACTGAGGTCTGATGGTGGGCCAAGGCAGCTGCTGTTACGACTGTTGCAAATGCAGTCTAAATTCACTGATAAATTGCAGGCAAATCCCAGCTAAGCTGACTTTTTTAGAGAGGATGGGGCTGCAGATTGGTTAAGAAACCTACAACATGTCCAGTAACATCTGTTGTGTGTTTGCAACATGTTTTCAAGCTATGTAGAAATATAAACATGCTAATAGCAATCTTTCTTGCCCCCCACAGTAAGGATTCTTCCAGATTGTTCAGGATTTAATAAACTATTTTATTATATTCTTCTTATTATAAATCCTGGCTAATATAGTAGAAAGATCTCACACAAGGCATTGTTGACATTGAGGAGAGAGATTTTTTTAAATTAATCACATTTTTAAGAAAACTAGTTTTATCAATTACGCTGATTTAACAATTAATGATTAATTTTCAGAAGATCAGTCTTACAGGAAATGAGACCTTTAAACATATAAACATATAAATGTATGTAAAAATATTCATATAGGTGATTAACTGTAAATGATAAGTGGGTTCATGTTTTGGGGAATTGAGCTAATATTCAGGATTGTTAGTTTTAGTTTGAACCAGCACCTGTGTTTCTGAGCTGTCACATTTTGAGTGTTAGGAATTATCTGGAGCCATTCAGTAGTGGAAAATAGCCACACAGTGGAAGAAAGAAATGTGTAACAGGAAAGACTGTTTTAAGGAATTTGAGCTTGCTATTTTTGTGTTCTTATTTATGTGAAAGGTAGTAGAAATCTTTTCAAAGTAAGGCACTCTGGACCTTGATCTGCTTAGAGGTGTGAAAGAGTACCCATGCAAACCTCAGATCTTTTCTACTCAGCTGGGTTTCTTGTATGTGTAAAATCCATTTATTGACTTCTTGTTGTGTAAAGACCTAATTCTGCCTTATTAAGTTGTGTTAGATGAGGGCAACACCAAAACATGTTATTCTCTCTTTGTGGATAAAATGTTTGCCACTTAGTCTACAAATGTGTCCTTAATTAAAAGCTGTTCTAGAAAATTTGCCAGGTTTACTCTCTTTGAGGGCCAATGCTGAGTTCTTCTATTAACTTGTGTTAACTTCTGATAATGTGTTTCACTCTGAAACCATGAAACCTTTTGTCTTTCTAGACAATATAGAGGTGAATACTAGAAGTAATAATGCAAAAAAAACTGGAATGTTACATTTCTTCTGTTCCTAGAACAGTTGTAATCAGTCTTCATTAAAGACACAATGGTATATAGGTGCTAAGGAAGGGGTCACCTCTAGGGGAAAGTGAAGGAATCTGTAGACTGTGTTTTACTATGGGACTGCTTCATGCTTGAGTTTGTTCTTTCCAGCAACAATTCTCTGTTCCATGATTTTTTTACCTTTAAGTTGCTTGAAAGACCAAAAATTTTTTAAATGTGTTAATGGCAATATATTTGTCAGCACAGTAATGTCCTTTCTGAGATAGTGCTAACTTAATTCTTGTGTAAACAACACTCTGAAATGGGTCTCTGCCATGGCATCACTTCGTGTCCATTTCTTTGTTCCATGTGAGGCCTTATTCCTGAAGAGAGAATTTGTCATTCCATCAGAAAAAGAGATATTTTTAATTAGCTCTCCTTTCTGTCATCTTTCACCTAGGGAAAGGATTATGGCCTCACTGACTAAAGAAAGACCAAGTCTTACAGTATTTCCATTAAGCATATGTTTTTCAGATTTCAAAACTCAATTTGAAACTGTTGTTTATGTTTTAGCTGTCATTGTGTTACTCAGTACTTCAGTCTTACAGATTCTTGCCCTTTGAAAATACTTACTGTTTAATTGCTGCATGGATGTGTTTGTGTGTGCACTTCCTACATTATAGAGATTTGCCAGGTGCAAGGCAATGAGTACAGCAGCATGAGATCAAGGAAAGGAGCAATGCTGCTCTGGAAAATGCTGCCACAGCAACTCGTCTAAAAGGATACAGAGCTGCAGAGAACAGTCTTTAACATTAATTAAACTAAAACAATAGTCTACCTAAGGCATCATGCAGCATAGTATTTCTGAGGAGTCTGAACCCAGTGCAGAGAACACCTCTGACTAGTTTACTTCTGACGGTACTTTATTTTATTTGTAGTAGTTGTTGATGTCTACTCAGGGCAAACTAATGGTACATTATTCTTATTTGAGTGTTTGAAGTGCAAGCAAGGTACTGCTGCTGAAAGTTGGCTTGGTAAAAGTAATTACCCTTAGTATTAAGGTGATATCCTTCCACATCTGACAAAACAATGTTTTTGAAGGAATATATTATAGATGGGTGGGACTTGGGTTCAGTGGTCACCTAAATTTTGGTACCAAAACTCTGATCATTAGTGGAGGCTGGAGTGCAGTGCAGTTTTACCCAGCAGCAGAGGCTGGTAGGCTGCATTTCTGTCCTCCCCTGATTGCACAGACTAAATCTGTGTGGATTATGGGTGTCTGAACTTCCACTAAATCTGTAGTAATACATTTGGTGTATTGATATGGATAGATGTCCCACCTTGGGGTTTATAGCTAATGAATAAAGTAGATGCCTGGTGAGCTTTATTAAGTAACAATGTAAAAACTAGTTAAGTTGTTTTCTGATAACCTGGGAATGCATTAAGCCTCAGTACACCTGTTATTAAACAGTATCTTATGGTAGTCACCTGCACTGATAATAGTGGCTGGATGAAGCATTTTGAGGGGTGATAAAATAAACAGTGTAACTGAAGCCAGTTACTTTGAGCTGATGGAGTTTTCTATCAGAAAATGAGGCTGTGTTCTGATGCATGAGATTTATAAGAGTCCTTACCTTTAATCATAAGTTCTGAAATATTGGTAAAAGTGTTTCCCTTTATCTCTGTTAAGTGCTGTCTTAGATCTGTAATACTACAGCAACCATTTTAAATGTCTTGACAATTGAGAGTACTTGGCCCAACTTTCATTCATTAAAAAATAGACATTTTTCATATCAGCCATTAAGCCATGCTGTGTCAAACTTCAACAGTTCTTCAGCTGAAAGTTGTACAGACAAGTATTTCTCCTATCCTGTTTTCTGCATCTCCCCAGATCATTAGTATAAGTGAAAGAGGCTTCAGTAACCCAGAGGATTTATATGGTTCGGAGTTCCTGAGTTTGCTGTATTTTTAAAACATCCCTTCCAAGATAATTATTTAATCCTTCTAGTATTCTGACAAAAATTTTAAAAATAATGGCCTGGAGATATAAAGGATACATTTAATGCATTTTTCAGTAGACTGAACATGATAAAAGTTTCCTTACTTTTTTTTAGACAATACAAGTTTTTGTTAGTTCTAATATTAGTATATTTTACTGAAATATCTTTTCATCAAATAATTTTTCTTATGTCCTTGGAGCAAAGTTTTCTATCAGTCCTAACAGTTTCAGAAGCTTCAGAAATAATATGGCAAGTAAGAATATAAATAGTATGTAATAATGTGATACGTGTGTATTAAATGTCTGTAAAGATCAGATGCTAAAGGTGGCTATAATGTAACTATTATTGAATATTTCTATTTTTACTCTGTTAAGCTTTCATCCATATTTCCTGTATGGTTTGGCAGAAACCATTATTTGGCAGAAACAATGGAAATTGTGTCATGTAAGGTGTTGTGTTAGTCTAAAAATCTTGTAATGTTTGCTTACAAGGATTTTAAAGACTTGTCATTAAGTTGAAGATAAGATGTTTGTGATTTTTTTAAATATGCAGCCCATCTGCCATTTTTGAGATTCTTAACACTTAAGTCTTCAAACAAAAAGAAAAAAAATCTATCTATCTATCTATCTATCTATCTATCTATCTATCTATCTATCTATCTGTATTGTTTAAGATACTGTAGCACCTGAACCCAAATTTATATTGGGTCATGATCACTCCTTTCTTAGCTTTCTTCTGCATGTCTGGTAATAGTTGGCCATTGATTATGTTTGGAGTCCCAAGGTGGTGCATTAGATGAGCTTTGGGTGAAGCCTTTGGTCTGCTGCTGGCCCAATCCAGGTATAATTTCCTCAGAAAAATAATTTAAAGCCTTGAAATTGTCAGTGAGATTTCTCTTGAATCACAGATCTGTTCATGTCAGTGTATGACAGATTATTCTATTCAGAATAGGGCCCTTCTGTTTTATTTTTATGTTTAGCAGTATTAAGAAAATGTGTGTGACAGCCAGTGCTAGTTACTTTTGTCAGTAAGACGATGGATAAGGAATATTTCTAGACTTTTTTTATATCTTTAAAAACTGTTTGAAGAAGAAAAACATTGCTTACTGAATTGATAGTTCTTGTGTCCTAAATTCACTTGTCTCCCTCTCACCTTCTGGATTATGGGAATGTAGATGAGTCTAGGAACTTCATTTTTCAAAGACTAGGCTTCCTCAAGTCAAGTCTTTATTTTCCTTGGCATGAGGAGCTTTCAAGTGAGAAGCAGAATTACTTTCTTCTGCAGTGTACTGGAAATCACGACAGGCTGCTTGTGGTGTTCTTGGCTGTCTCTGCTGATAAAATGTATCTTTTAAAAACATTTTTCTTTGAAGCTACCCAAGTTGCTTTGCTTATTTAGGCAAGACGCCTGTGTAAACAGCCAAGTTGTCAAATACGGGGAGTAATTGCATCAGTACTTCCTTGTCAATGATGAACAGTGGGAAATACTAATGATGGGGAGGTAGGAATGGAAGGCCTCTTTCCTGGGTGGGACAAATCACCAACTAGGTGGAAATTTTGAATGTTTTGTCCACACACAGAAGAGTCACAAGACCAAGTACTATTCACTGTCTTGTGGATTGTCAAACCTGATACACAGTTGAGGGCATTCCCCATTTAGTCATGTGGAAAGGTAATCTTTTATGGAATAGTGGATGGCTGAAGCAGTGCTTAAGGTTATGGATGTTGTGTCCATTAAAAGGCTTTGGAAAAAAATCTAAAATGTCAAGAATTCTAGTTTTACCTGCTGTAATGATAATCTTTTAGAAGGAAAGGAGGAAAAAGCTAACTCTGGAAAATAGTTACAAATTCGTTTAAGTAGAAATATCAGAAAACTTTAGTTTCTGATGACTGAAAATGAGACTTAAAAATTTTAAAAACCTGCAGTTTTTCTCAGAGCTTCTTTTTTCTAAAACACTTTCAAACTTAAACTTGTCAAAATGCTTATTTCTCATTACTGGTCTGTATTATTATTTTTAATATTAAACATTGGAAGTTTAAGCTTTTCAGTATTGCAAGCAGGATAAGTCTGGTGGGAGATTAGATGTCATATTTTCTAGTTCATAAGATTGAAACTTGTTTTTTTCAGCATAAAATTCTCATGAACAGAATATTATTTGCCAGAGCATGTTTTTTAGTACTTGCAATGTCAGACTGAGTTTGACCAGTAGAGGACAGTAGGTAAGTGCTTGCACATGTGCTGTGCTCAGGAACTCCTGCTGCGATCAGGTATTTGTGGTTAGGATTTTTGTTTTGGTTTTTCAGTGGTGGTGGTGGTGATGAGAACAGAATTCTGGACCCAGCTCTCCACAGGAAGCATTGCAGCATTGCTTAAATTACAGTTCTTGGACTTCTCTCCATCCTTCTTTGGTTTCCCCATCTTGTTTCCCCTTCAGTATAGGTGACATTGCAAATCCTCAGAGATATAACTATCCAGAAAATTGTTAAAAGATTTCTTGAGCAGCAAAGAGTTAAAACAAATCCCAGACAAAGATATTTGAAATCTCTAACACAAATATAGTTTGACAGACTTCCTTCAACATTCTCTTGTCTACAGAACTGCTGATTTTCAGCTTGAAATACACTTCTACTCAGGATAGTGTATGGACAAAAACAACTGGCTATAACGATCGTGTAATTATTAGTGACATGCATTAACAGTTATCTGAAGAGCACATTTTAGTCCTTATGATTTTATCTCTTGCTAATCTTATGTGCTGTATTGTCTGACAACTCTGAACCTTTTTCTTTTAGCCTGAAAGTCAGAGTAGCAGTACAGTGGCTGGCCAGGAGCACACTCCAGCTGTGTCGAGCACCAGCACCTCGCTGAGCCCTCGGCAGCGCCGTGCACAGCAGCAGAGCCAGAGACGGGCCCCAGCTTCCACCGACTTCAACCGGGCACAGCAGCCCAGAGTCAACACCAACCACACGGGCTCAACCGTGCTCATTGTCCTGCTGACCTTTGCGCTGGCAGCTCTCATATTTCGTAGAATATGTTTGGCTAACGAGTATGTGTTTGAGTTATAAGGCTGTTTGTTCTAACAGCAGTGACTTGAATGCTTCGCTGAACCTTCTGTATTGGCTATGACATGAGAACTGTTTACAAAGGTTACTTTTTGTATTTGCGCTTAAATCCTTATGAATGTTAATGCACCTACACATACATTACTTGTAGGAAAAGCAAAGTTGGACATGTAAGCTATGAGTTTTAATTGAGTGCCCACTAGATACTTGGGGAAACAGTGCAGTGGAATAGTAACATTAAGACATGTGGGATGGGACTAAATTTAAATAATTTATGAACTAGTAAAAGACGATTTTTAAAAAATGGTTGATTCAATTTTTTATGGGGCATAAATACTTCTATTTAGTTAGTATAAGATTTGGCTTTGAAGAGGGGATTATAAAATGAATCACTGCTATGTGTTTTGTATCTGGTGAACTCCTAATTTAGAGGGAATACAGTTTTGTAACCACTGTTATTTGCCATGACACATTTCCAGAGGTGAAACACAAATTGGTTGTGATGCTGCTTTGTGTATGTGGAAGGGGGAAGGGACTGTGGGAAGAAAGTAGGTGCCAGAAAACAACTTGCATTATTTTGATTTTTATTTTTCAGTATAAAGATTGGGTAGTCTTTTGAAAGATTTGAATGTCCTCTTCTAGTACTTTCAACTGTATATCTTGTTTCTAAAATTTAAAGATTATGCAAAACATGTCTATTCTTGCAATAGTTATAAATATGTAATATAATTATTTACCCAGAGCTGTTGTCTTTTAATTATACCATAAATATACATAATGTGTTGAACTGAATGTTTCGTATGTGGTTTTATTTACTAAAGAAAATTTAAACCTTATTATACTTAAATTCTCATATATATGAACATACTTAACAGAAGTATTTATTACAATCCTGCTAGTAATAAAGTTTCAAGCCATTCTTTGGATATGTTTCAAGTATCACATGGCAGTTTGTTTCTTGTTTGTCTGAGGGTTTCTTTTGGTTAGTTGGTTGGGTTTTTTTCTCTGTTTTTTTTTCAGGGTTTTTTTCAAAGTGTTTGTTTTTTTATTTTTATTTAAACCTAAAATCAATATTTTGGGCCCAGAGATCTACTTATTCTAAGTCCCTGGTAGTATTCATGAACATGTGAAAAGGCATATACAAACAGTAAACCTACAGTTGTTAGGGTTTTGAGAAGTTTTGTCTTTGACTATTTAAATACTGAAATAGAAGGAAGTGGGATAATTTTCCTGTTGTATTATTGTTCAAATTACTGTTCAGCATATTTATTTCAACAACAAGGAAGTTTAGCTGGCTTTCATTTTGTTGCTGTCAAACATAGTAGCACTGAATTGAGATTCTCATCCTGTTTTTCAGCAACTATTTATCAAGCTAGCTAGAGCTTTCTTAAGTTTTATCAACTATAGTGTATATTACTGTATTGCAACATTAAAGTAGCTATAACAACTTCTAAAATAAGGAAAACCAATTTTGTGTCTAAGGGAGATGTGTAAATTTAGAAAACTCCCAAAATATGAGTCTTTTAGCATTTCTCTGTATTGTTGATAATCTTGTTTGCAGGTAGAATGGAAAAAAAGTGAAAAAATAATTTTATAAGAAATTCAGACAGAAGTATGTATTTGTTCAGCAGTTAGACTTTCTGCTGCAGACCAATTTGATGTCAATATATTAATCAACATATTTTTACCTAATTTGTCTTATTTCATTAGAAAGTAAATAAAAACAAGCAAAAACCAATACACAAAAATGCCACACCAAAACTCTAAAAAACCTGTCCAGATCCTGTAGCCTCTAAAATAGAAGTCCTGTGTTTCCTTGGTGTGGTGCTTGTACCCCATTCAAATCTGCAAACGTGGGCTGACAGAGGAGAGTTCTGGAAGAGGTCAGACCCTCCAGGACCATCCTGGGTTTGGGTCGCTCGCTCCTCTGCAGTCTCTACTCAAAATGTGCTTTTCTTCTCCTGTGCCCAGCAGACTTCTGCCCCTGCACCACGCACTGCTGCTGCTAGCACAGCCCGGTGCTGCACAGAGGCCAAATCAGCATTGCCCTGTGACTGGGCTGTGAGGAAATAAGCCTTGAATGGATTTTGGAAACAGCCTCCTCGTTGTGATTAAAGAAATAGCTGCTTTTAATTTTAGTTTTGATCTCCTTTGATAAAAGTTAAAGTGCCTGATTATGCAAATGCCTTTTGGAAAAAAAAAATTAATTGTGACTTGGTTTATGTAAAGGCAATTACATACATGCATTAGTTGGGAGTTACTGTTTTTATTTGCCTTTTAAGTTAACAGTAAATAAAGTCATCTTTTTCAAAGGAAGTGGCTCATATTCTGTTGTCAACAACATGAAGAGTCAGAAAATAAAGCCTCAACTGCCCTAAATCCATTAAAATAGGTGCATTTTACAATGAGATACATGTCTGAAACGTGGCACAGACAGTTACCAGTTGAAAAAGATGCCGCACAGCGGGTCAAAACACGTAGAAAGCCTAATGAAAAGGGACAGCCCGGTTTTACAGTCTGGCAGGGGGATAGCACTGAGATTAGGGGATTGAGCAAAAAGCCGGCGTGCAGAATTGCGGGTTTTTATATAATGGCTTTAGTCAGTATCCTTTAGGACCCAGCAGCGATGTTCAGTGAGGCAAACTTGGTGAGTAATGGCCAATCATTAGGCGGTGATGAGGGAAAAGCGCTGGGTGCGAAGCCGCCGGGAGCCCGTCGGATGCATCGCGCCGGGGACGCGGCGTTTCTGCCGCTGCTCGCCCAGCGAGGCGACACGCCAGAATTAGAGGCGATTCAATGTTCAAGCCCGGGGGGACTTGTACTACAGGAGGTCACTGGAGTGCAGAGTGCCCGGCTCCCATTTCCAGCAAGATGCCTTATTTCACAAAACTCCTTTTATTAATCTTCTGCTTAGTTCTTCTTGTGGAAAGCAGAAAGCACAGGAGGAGGAGGTGGACGACCCATCTGGATGTGCAGAGGGCAAGGTAAGGGTTACTAAGCCGTGTCTGTATCTTTTCCTGCAGTGTTACAAATACATTACTACAGGGATATAAAAACCTACTCTGTCAATGTCTTCATGTGTATTGTGTGTGCAAACAGCTTTACAAATAATGTTTTTATAACAGTCTCTGGTATTATAATCAGTTTTATGGGTAAGTGGACAATGCTATGGCTAACCTTGATAAACTGTGAGTGAGGCAGGTTTTGCTGAGAAGTTCACTGCTCCAGCATGGATTGTGGGAAAATTATTCTTAGCCATACATGCAAATTTCTGAGGGAATTCAGAGGAGTTGCAGTTAACAGAGATGGTCAAATGTTCTTACTGTTTAATGTTTTAGCACTGTTTCGGGGCAGATTATTCACCTGCTTGCTGCAGTGTGTGTGTTACTTATGTTCACTTGGAATTGGTCATTATGCTCTGACAATTACAGATAGGGATGTTGGTTAGCACATATTGTGGTAATTGATAACAAAATAAATCCTAAAAGTTAGCCAGGGATTGTAAAATTAAAAATATTTCTTGAAGAAATACATGGAAGCTTAAAAAACCATATTTTAAAGTTAAGTGAAAGCACAAGAATGAGTTAAAGGTCTTAGTAAAGTTTATTAGATTTACCGCTGCTGAGATTTGTCTAGAGGTTTACCTTAGAAAAGATAATCTTCCAAACCTGCCAGACAGTCCAAAGTATGTTATCCTTTTTTGTGGTTATGTCATCCAGTGGCAGTTATATCTTACAAGACTATTCGTTGTTTGAAGGGCTCAAAATTAAATTGGGTTAATCCATTTTAGTAAATGTTTTCATTGTGGCTGTAAACTTCAAATTTTCATTTATTTTTGCGGACTTTTTGGTTTATCATTCAACACTTTTATAGGGAGTGTTGTTACTTGAATGTTTTGAAAAGAAACGTGATAAATTGGAAACAAAGATATGCTATCAGATTTACACTACTTATTAAAAAAATACAGTGGCATATGCTTTTAGTGATGTAAATGTTAAAAAGCTGAAACAGCCAGGGCCTCATGGTGAAATCCTATAGACAACTGAAATTTTACCACTGATGTTCACAGAAACTCAATTATTGAATGAGATATTTCATTGAACTCTGAAAATATTCCAAAGTCTATATTCTGAGGAATGTGGGGGATTGAACAGTAGCACTTCCTTGCAAACTTTTCTGTGTAGTAAAGATTGCATATTTTGAAGTAATAAAATAGTGTAAATCCTTCTTTAAATATCAATTTGCCCTGAAGTAAAAATTTCCCTGCTTTAAAAGTTTTGTACTTTATTTGAACTTGGAGAAAAGTTCTACAGTGCTGATATTTTCATGAGTTGTAACAGAGTGGAAGTCAAAGCACTTCTAAAATTATTTTTATAAATACACTACAAAGAATAGCAATCCTATTTAGTATTCTGTGGTGTGATGAATGAAATGAACAATTTTCCATCTAAGTAGGATTTAGGAACTATATGCCATATATATATATACACACACATATACAATTGCTATGCAATGTAGTTATTTAAAATTTTATAAAATCAGATTTGAGGGATTGTCGAATGAGAATGACATTTTAAATACAGAGTATTATGCAATGTTGCAACAAAAAGATGTGTATGGAGCAGTGTTGTTAATATTTTAATTTTCCTATTCGATTATATTTCAATATATTTCAATATTTGATTATATTTCAATATTTCAATATTCAATTACTCCTATTTTAAATTTAATATTCATTATCAATTACATAGAAAAAAAATAGTTGTCCCTAAACCAACAATGAATAGTAAATTACCAATTACTAAATTACTAAAATAATTAATTCTAGTAAACTGAAACTAAAACTAGTTCCTAGGCTGGTTTCCTAATCATGTAAGAGAAATTAAAATAATGCTCTTTTAAATTATTTCATCACATTTTCTGCTTAGTATTTCTCTTGCTGACTTACTGTAAGAAACAAAGTAAATTCTACAGTACACATTTCTTATTAAAGAAAATTAATTCCTATATTGGGGAGTCTACAGTTGGTAAGTTTGATATTTTGTGTCCACTGAGGTGATAAATCAGTCTTTATATAGACTTCAAGACTACTGCTTGGGTTTGCAGGTGCAGAACTCCTTCAGTGCTGCAGTTTCTTCCTTGGACATTGCCCAGAGCTTCCCGGGGTGCAGAGGTCCTTCCCTGCAGAGCTCTGGTGCGGCCGGTCCTGCGAGTTCTGGGAGAGCTCTCTGCTACCATGCTGTGGGGAAGCTCTTCAGCCTGTGACTAAGTGGGAAAGGAACAAGGGGAAAGACAGGTTAGGAAGCCAAATTAAGAATTGCCAGGTTAAGTTGCCTGTTCATCCTTAGTTACTCCTGGTTGTTTGTGTTAATGCATTGTAACACATTCCTTTTTTCCATGAGCGGTGCCTTGCTCAGCATGCCGAATGGATAATCCTTGCTTGATTAGAAACTGCCTTGCATTTAATTTTCTCTTACTCCTGCATCCCCCCTCACTGATAACATATCTCTGCTCCTACAGATTGAGGTATAACATAAAGAAACAACTGCCCGTGTGCATCGCTGCCCTGACTGTCCAAGATGGCCTCATGTTATGGTCTGGAGAGCCCAGGCTTTGCGTAGCAAATTGGTGTGTGCTCATCCAGTAGCAGCTCCTGGCTTTAGACTTTAACAGTAGTTTTTCACATTTTCCATGGTGTACAGTCCCTGCCACTCACATTGAGAAAATAAAGGATATCGGTGATACTTGTTTCTATGAAGCTGAAGGTATTCTTGCTGATGTGCAAGATGTACAAATGGTACATGAAACTCAGGGCTCTAGGACTGTAACAGCATTGTTGGTTAAAAAATTTTGCATTTAATTTTGTTTGGATTAATGAATCATGAATTAGAACCTGTTGTTGGAGTCACCTGGGTGACTGCTGGGCAGGGCATGTTTGCCCCAGTCTTACCTGTGCACCAGAGAATAAATTGACACAGAGAAAGAACAGCCTGGTGCTGAAGGAATCAGTGTAAATGTGGAAAGGTGCAGGTGTGTGTCAGATGGTCAATGTTGCTATGTAGATAGCTGGGATTTTCCAGAGAGCTGTGTACACAGTTTGGGCTCATGCTGCCAGACTTGCTGAGGGCTGTACTGGCTGTACAGTGTATGTAGCTGTGCTTGCATCTTCCTCAGAGCCTTACCAAGTGCCAAGCAAGCACTGCTGGAATGTTCAGCACTGAGTTTTTGAAACAGTTTTGAGTACTCTTCAGTAGCTCAGCAGTGGCTGCCTCTCAGAAATAGTAAACAAATGTTGGCAATCCTGATAGATTATCCAGCTGGACAGAATCTCCAAAAGACAAAAATAAACTCTAAAAATTAGTGGTTTTGCTAATATTTACTGCTCTATAAAATTGCTGATAATGCTTCTGGTAATGTTTATTGCTCTGCATAAATTGAGAACTCGGGAGACATTTACCATCTCTGTTGTGCCAATGAATACCATGTTTCCAGTAATCTGTGCCCACCCTACTCTGAGTCTGCCTGTTCCTCTCTCCTACCAGCCATGTGAAGCCTCATGCTTCAGCAGCAGAAAAACTGCCTTTGATATAGAATGGCTTTGGCCTCTTCTTAGCTAAAGACTTCCTGCCATGGTTTTTGGAAGTGGTCAGTCCTTTGGAGAACCTCATTAGCGATGCCATTTCCAGGGCATGCTACATGCCAGCCTTAGGTTGGGACCCAGAAGCAGAAGGCAATCACCAGGACACAGCAGCACAAGGCTCAGCACACAAACTGTTTTTCCAAACAGCATTCCACTGGAGCAAGCAGCCTGGTGATCCCTGCTGAAACTGCTGCTGCTGCCAGCAACTTCCCTCCCTTGTCCTGTGGAGCTGCAATTTCCCCGTGTTCCAACTGGATACTGCAGACACATCCTCTAGGCTGTGATACCTCCCAACCCTCACAGATCCTCTTTACTCTATTGGTGGTTTCTCAAAAAATGTGGAATTTGTTAGTGCTTCAGTGATTGAAATGTGATAGTCATTTTTTACAGGTGTATGTCTAGCCCAGGGCTCAAGCCCAGGGCACTGCTGAACCTCTGGTGCAGGGTTTGATGCCTACTGAAGCTTTTTTCCCAGCACTGCAGCATCAGCCAGGGCCAAAGAGCAATGTGAAATAAAAACAGGGAGAGAATGTGTATGACAGCAATGATTGTACACACACTTTGAGTTTGTGTCCATCCTTTTCCAGAGTCAGATTTAGTTTTTCTAGAAATATGGCAAGGAAAGTCACATTCCTTTCCTTCCTGCTCCCAACATAAACCCACAGATGAGTAAGTGTGAAGCATGTTACATCCAGAGGTAGGGCAGCAGAGTCCCTCTTCCCTGGGACTCTGGAAGCAATAGAGACTGGTGTGGCCACCCAGCTCAAGACAGACCTATCTTGTGGAGATGCCAGGCCTTCCTGGGCATCTGGGGCTCCTAAAGCACTTGAATTTGTGGCCCTGACAGGCATTGTAAAGAGACTTCACCAAAATCAAGGATCTTGATGTTCCCAGTTTGTCAGAAATTTCTCAACCATACCTGATCCCATATGATCCATGCATATTAAGACTAAAGATACACTCATAACACAGTGGTGATAATCAATTTGGAATTCTCATCTAGGAGTGAGCTAATTGTTATGACAGTCATAACAATTGTTCTTGTACCCTCTCTTTTTAAGTTAGCTTCTAAGCCTTTGTGTTGCAGCAGTCACATGCTTTGGTGGTTAGGAAAACAGGAGGCCTTGTACCTTCCTTAGTGTGCATCTCCCCCAGTTTGCTGTGGCTGCCACACGAAGTGAATCATGCCTTCACCTAATGCATTTTGGGGTTATTTCCACCCCCACAGAGAGTATACTGAAGAGTGGCAAGATTTTCACTGAAACTGTAGAAATACTTCTCTGCACCCCAATATGTCATTGGAACCAAGGTCCCATGAACATGGTACCATCTTGTGACCAAAATCCATTCTGAATTCTCCAGGGGAAGGTGCAGAAACCTGCCAGACCCTGGCTGCCAACAGCTGTGCCATGCTCAGGATGGAGACCGTATTTCCTTTCAGGCTCTCCACTTAGCCATGGCCTCCTGCCCTACAGCATGAGGACTGTTTCCAATCTGAAAGTTCTTCATCTTGCTCTGGAAAGGTCTGAATGTCTGCATAGACATCAGCTCTTTTTTGAATCCTGCTGAGTTGTTATCTGTAATTTCTCATGCCACCAAGAATGAATTCTCTTTGATATATTTAGCAATAGAAAAAGCATCTATTTTATGCAATTGAGGCAATTCTGAGTAAAAGTCACTGGAGAGGAAAATATATTTTAAAAAATTAGGGCAATAATGCAGAGGCTTTTACAGAAGCTCAATGGGCTATCTGTTGCCTTCTCTTTAAACAGGAACAATTCTTCACAGAAGTCATATTTATCAAATTCATGCCCCTTGAATGAAATATAAACAGCAATAAAATTATATATGAAAAATGTGGCAGAAAAAGACAAAGGGAGATGGGTGGATTTAAATGAATAACGGTGAATTGCAGAGAATGCATAAAGCTGAAAGAAACCCTAACAAATCTATAATCAGAAATGCTAAAGACCATAAGTACATCAGGGAGGATTTATGAGATACTGGTGATCAGATTCTCAGTAAAGGAACCCTGTGGGCAGCAGTATCCAGAGCACCCTTCAGCTCCACAAGAGCACTGGCAGCTTTGCTGCAGGTAATGAGATGGTGCCTATGCCAAACAGCAGTGGGGCTGGCATGGGCTACTGCCAGAGTGGGGCAGAAGATACAGCACGGCTGATGTCAAAGACTGTTATAAAGAATTTTTTTTTTCAAACAAACTTGGTCTTGAATTAGATTAAATAGACAAAAGTAGTCTATTAAAATAAATTTTAAAGGCTGTGTAGACTTCCTGTCATTAAAAATATTTCAATACAAAACTACTGTAGATGGATTAAATTGGTTAAAAAGGGACTGTCAGAGCTCTTTTGGTGAAATCTGAATTGGCCGTTATAATACCTGAAGGATTGGGCATGAACTGATGATTAAATGATGGTTATTAAATGCAACCCCTGGCTCAGGATGTGCCTGAAAACCTCTTTTCTTCCTAAGACAGTATCCGTGTCCACAGCCAGCCCTCTAAACCTCTGCAGCCACAGACTGTTTTCAGCAGCTCTCCTGTGTGCTCTTTGCTGTTTGATGATTTTTAAATAATTGATCAAAATGTAGCATTTCAGTGAGTCTGAGCCATTGATTTGCAATATAATACTGCCAGGGTTTTTCATACTAATTCCTTGTACAATGTGCAATCCAATGTTTTATTGGATTTTTAATTGGGCTTTTTTTACTCCCTTCTTTGAGGAGAGAGACTTGATTGAACATTCCCTGGTACTTTGGCTTTCCCTGATAATTAAAGTCAACCAGACACAGGGAGATCCCTTTTCTGGGCTCTGGGCTTGTCGGGCACAGAGGCCGTGCAGCGGATGGAGGAGTGGAGCAGCAGCCCTAACTTCACAGCAAAACAAAGCTTCCCCCCTGCAGCAAGCAGCTAAAAGCCAAGCTTTTGCCTCCAACCATTCCCGTTAATGGTTGTGCTTGGTTTTACACCCCTGCTTTTAGGTAACCATAAAAGCCTTGTCGAGAGGGTGCTTGTTCCAGCTGGCTCCTTCTCACAGCCAGCAGGGAGAGAAGCTCTGACATCCCAAGTGAAACAGGAGCCCAAAACAACCTGAGGGAGATCCAGCTCTTCCTATGTAGTATGTGCCCTGGGGTACAACTGCCTATATTCTTTCAAAACATCTATTTGATACAATTAATTTTAAATTCTGTTACTTCCTTTTCACCTACTTATGGTAAGGAAGTGGGTTATTGATGTCAGCACCCTTTAGGTTTCATCATTTCTTTCTTGAACTGAGTGCTCTGATGGGAAACTTTTCTTCTGATTTGTGATTTATGCTCCCTTTGACTCATACTTATTGTGCTTTATATTTTAATGAAGCTAAGAACATCCCTTTCAGTACCCACACTTATGAGTGGGGCGATTATTTTGTAGGTTCTGAATTCTTGACCAAGACTTTAAGGCTAAGTAGTCTCTTTATTTTTCCTCCAAAATTTTTTGTTCTATATTTTCAGTCATATTTCTTCCATACAGGAAAAGGAACCTGAACCTTTTGTAAAAAGTTATTTCTGTTTATCATAATTATTTTTAGTAAGTTACTGGAAACCAGCTATTGCAGCAGTACTTAGAACGTTGCCAGCTCTTATGTCCAGAGTCAAGGGATTGAGGGATTTTAATGGTCCAAGCCTTCTACTCACACCACTGGAGGACAGTCAGGGATGCTGATCTGGATTTTCTTCCAGCAGTGCATGCAGTTTGTTTGTCTGCTGGTTAGTTATCCCCTTATGTGATTTTAGTTACTATCTTGCACTTTACTTAGGGGCTTGTTGTCATCCTTGTTCCACTGTTATTATACAATATTTCAAATAAAAAGTAAGAATTTTTCCTACCTTAATGTTCAGAAAAGTGAGGTGAGGGACTGAAGGCTTTGTTAGATAAAACTCCTCTCTTCCTGCTGTTTTGGGGAGATTTTGTTGTTGCTGAAAGCCAGAAGACCCGCTGTCCACACAGACTGCTGGCACTAAATTGGTGAAGTTAATGGGGCAGTTTCCAAGTAGTGCATGACATTGCGTGACCAGCACTGAAAAGAGATTTTTCATGACAGTGTTGCCTTGGTACCTAGCCAAATCCTGGCCAGGTAACGTGGGGCCCCCAGCTGCTTCCACTGGTGCTTGCTCTCAGCTGCAGCATTCAGTGCACGCAGCTCCCCTGTGAGATGCTCTCTGCCTTGTGCCCCCCTGGAGCCGGCGTGGCTGGGGCAGAGGGAGCACCACGTCCTTGGAGAGGGGCAGAGGGAGCAGGGCTGCCTGCGGGGCACAAAGGTCTGACTGATGCTGTGGAAAGGCAGCTCTGGGTCAATGTTTTGGTGCTGGCAGTCTCCCCACAGTCCCTGGGATTGTGCCTGCAAAGCCCCTGCTCCTGTGGCTCCGCAGCTGGGCTGGCAGCTGTGGCACTCGGGCACAGAGACATGGAGCAATGCCACTGCTGTCTTTTGCAGCCACATCTTTAAGAAGAATCGCGACCTGACCAAAGCCTGGAAAGGAAAGACGGAGCAGCTTCTCAGAGTCGACGAACACGACTTCACCATGCGGCCGGCCTTTGGAGGTGAGGATAAAAGTGTTTTCTTAATTCTGTGCTAATCTAATTAAGAATAATCTATTTATCCAATTAATAACCTTATTAAAAACCAAGCAAACAAGCCTCTGCTCAGATGCATCAGTGTGAAGGGAAAAGTCTTGGTGCCAGTTCAGAGGCCACATGCTCATCCTCCTTGCCCTCTGTGCTCTGTACATTTCCAACATTCCTCCCTGTTGCTGCAGTTGGCTCTGTTTTTGACTGGCATTCCCCAGAGTTCAGGATGAACCATCCCAGTAAGTGTTTCACTCTGTTGAGAACAGGAACAAGCTGCAGGTTTTAATATTCACTTATGGCTGTGAAGTTGAACTGAGCTTTTCAGCTGATGTGATTAAATTGCAAAGTAAAGAACTCATTGGGTGGATCACAGCCTGCCATTACTAAGAGAAAACTGAATACTTTCGTCAAAAAAAAAAATCTTATCTCAAATTCTCATAAGCAAATAAAAGCATAAAAGCGTGGGAGGGGAGACCTCTGCCAACTTCACTTCTGCCTTCAGCCACGCTCAGTTACAGGAATGTGCTTGCCTGACCTTTCTAGACTCACTGCTGCAGAGATAAGAGGGTACCTGAACAAAAACTGCTGGAAGACCAGTATGGCAATCCCACTTCTGATTACATAAATAACCAAATCCTTCCAGAGCTAAAGACAGAGTTTTCTGTAGTTTTCACTGAATGACTAATGCTGCATCCTTTGTCAATTGACCATCTAGGGTGAAGTGCTACCTCTCCCTGCCCAGTGGGACACATGAATGTTGTGCCCTTTATACTTGGTCCATGGAACATATTCTCAGGCCTGCCCATTCCTGGTGTGGCTCAAAAGATGCTTCTTGCCCCTCAGTGCAGATGTGCCATTCTGAGAACATGGTGCTGAACCCTGTTCATGATTTATATATATATTTTCAAACTCCAGAGTTCAAAACCTGTCATAACCTGTGTTATGACAGTGCTCCATGCCCCTGCAATGTTATTTACCACAAGTTGTAGTCCAGCCTAAACATTGGAGGTAACTTTTTTCTAATCAGCGTTACCTTTGTCTGCTACTTATAGGGTTGAAGAATTTGCCTTGAATTGCCCTCTGGGTGGAGCACAGGCAGATCTTTCTGGGGCTGGTGGGAACACAGTGAGCCCCTGGGGCAGCTGAGGTTCAAGGATGAGGTCTGGGAGCTGGCCCTGGAGGCACTGGGCTTCTTTATGAATTGGCTGTAAAAGCGTGAATTCACCAAAGTGCACATGCCTCCCTAAATCCCAGGTATGCCCTCCTGTACTATGAGGTCAGAGGATGCTGTCTTAGATTTTCTGATTATTTTAAAAATTTTTTTAACCAATTTCATTTTTTGCAGCTTGGCTGTTGACTTCTGAGTGCCTGATATGGACAAACTGAAGGTGCTGAGCTATCCTCTCTGCAGCTGGTCTGTCCTCTGGACAAACAACCTGCTGGTCTGATGGGTGGGATGATAGGGCTTCTCTGGGAGCATATTTAGACTCCCTACCTTGCCTCAGTTGGAGACATCTGAGGAACCATGGTGATTTTTTAAACTTTTTTCCCCTTTACTGGATGTATGTCAGGGCATCATGCCTGTTCTGGGGGAAGCTGCAGGGTTTTGTTCTGTTGTGCAGATGGTTTAGCACCCAGTGGCACCACTGCGCTGTATTTCTGGAAACAGATCTGAATTTAACTATTTTCATCAGGGCCACAGGGTCCTTGAAGAATGCATTTGAGCACAGGTCACACTAAACAGACACATGTAATTACACAGGCACTCTTCTAGTAAAAGCATTTTAATCTCTCTTTTGCCCTGTTTTACCATCACGGCATCAAGATTCTTCTAGAGCCAACATTTGGAATAACATTTATAAAACTGAGAAATATCCTAAGAGCCTTTGCTGAGAAGGTTCCTTTTTTATAAAGGAAAAACATGACGGGTTTTTTAAATTTTTGCTTAAAACCTCCTTAACTCGCAGAGATTCTTGGGACAAAGGTATGCACTGAAATTGCACATGATGAGGAGCAAAGCATGGAAAAAGCTTTGTTGAGGCTCCAGCCTTGGAAAGCCTGACTCAAAAACACAGAGATAGCAGGTGCTGCAGGTTCGTGCTCAGCTGCAGAATTGCACAGTGTGTTTTTAGTGACAGATGATAAGCCTAGTGGGAAAAAAAACATAGAGGAAAGGGAACAAAAGTCTGGCAAGAGGTGATCCTCCTAGTTTTGTCTGTGATGTTATTCGTCAGGCAGTCACAGAGATTTGCTAGGCACCATGAGTCCTTCCAGCTTCTCTCTGTGGCAGTGTCAGTCAAACTGATGTGGTCTGACCTGCAGAGGATAGAAAAGCTTTCGTACTGCCAAAGTGGAGAAGAGGAGCCTGTGGGATACACGTGACTGTAACTGGTCACTGCCCTAAGGCCCCTCTGGTCTAACTGAGATTCCAGCTCTATGGCATTGCATCGGGCCTGTGGTGTTACCTTGTGGGTGGGAAAGGCACCTCCATTCTGGAAAAGTAAAATAATACCGTAAGTAAATGGTGAGTGGCACTAAGACTAAAAGAAATCCAGTACTGTTGATGGTTCTCAAGTTTGGTAGGCCAGCCTGCAATTCCACCCTGTGCTAAAAAGGGGATGGGATTCGAGCTCTTTTATGGTGGCCATGGTGACACTTGCTGGTCTGCAGAGGACAGTCAGAAAGCTGCCAGCCCAACACAGATGTGACCACTGGGCAGAGCAGTCTGGGGTTATGCAAGGTGAAATGAAAAAAACAGTATTAGAGAAAGGTGAAGGGTTTTTAAAGAAAAAGTATCTTTGTAAAGAGCAAGTGAGCAAACAAATGTTGTGTAAGTTGTTATTAACAGCCCAATAAGCATGGCTATCTTGCCTCCCCTCAGCCCATTAGAGACAGACAGCTGGGTACAGAGGCAATGACAAAGTTCTTTGCTTTGATGATGGTCAAAGAGCCTCCAAAAGCTAAAAGAGACTGCAGAGTTTTTGACCCTTAGGGAGTTATCTCTATGTCAGTGACCTTATTCTAGTTAGTAGCAGATGTTCAGGTATTATATTCTATTATTAATATTTAAAGATTATGTAAATGTTTGTTTTGCTGCCTTCCTTAAACACCCATTTTAAGCATTTCATTTATGACATCTCATATTTTACAGGGAGCCTGTGAATAAGCAGCTTTAGTTGATACTTAAAATAGCTGTATCTTCTTTATTGAGGACCAGCCTAGTGTTTTACTTTTATTATATGTGTTCATAGCCAAGTAGCCTAACGTCAGCAGGTCCTTGCTGCCCTTTCTGGGCAGTGCTTTTTCCAGGATGGATGAACAGTGGGATGAATAAAGCACAAGTAGCTCACTGAGTGCTAGTGAAAAGGGCTGGAATAGAACTTGCCTCTCTGCTGATGAGCAGCCGTCCATGAGAGGCAGAGGGACGAAGCCCTGCAGTCATGGGGAGGTGATGAGCTGGTGCTGGCTGCCTGCGAGCTGCCCACACCTAAGAGGTCCCACGGTGGTTTGTGGTCTTGCTGGGTGTGCACGAGATACCTGTCAGTAAAGAAATCTCAAACCCACTCGTTACTCATGTACATGTTTTTATCTCAGGGCCTTCATCTGCCTCCCTCCTCCAAAGATAGATGAGTGGACACTGTCTCAGAGAGAAACAATGAGCCTTTGAAAGCACTGCCAAAGAGAAAAATTAGAGATGTCACAAAGCTTTAGTCTCAGAGGTGGAGTGGAAAGCTGACTCCAGGCATCTTCATGGTAGTGCACTCTTCCCTCTCTTCCAAAATCCGCTCCAGTGTCAGAAATAAAAACCATGCTTGCACCCAGTTCTGACTGGGAACTGACTCACACTTGGAAGCTTTCATGCTGCTCACTGGTTGGTGTTTTTAGGTTTGGAGACACACTGGGATGCAACAGGCTTTAATACTGGGCTCCTTCTGAAGTCCTTCCTGCACGGGACTTGTGGAAACCTCCTGGGTTCCCTGGAGAGGTCAGTCCAAGGCCAGACATCCCATTCAATCTGGGGCATGGTTTGATACTCAAACTGGAGTTTTTGCAAAATGAAACAAGCTGGTTCTTTGTGTCAGAACCAGCCCAAAATTAATTTGGCTGATTCTTTTCAGAGACTCTAAAGTGTGATCTGAAAAACTCTGCTGGATTACAGGCTTTGAGCAAAGCAGCACTGCTTCATTTTATCAACCATATCCCCAGCTTTGATTTTGCTTCCTGTCCAGCAGTGAACCTCCTAGAGAGGAGCCTGAGCTTTGAGATCTCTCCAGTGTTAATGTGTTCAAGTTTTTGTGGCTTATAATTCTCTAGGATGATCCTTCTATATTTCCTTCTTCTGAAGAAGAGGTGAATATTGATAAAATAATGTTTATAACAATAAACAATGGTTGATGAGGGCTATTTTGCATCTAATGCTGTAATCAAAGTTAATTGTTCTGTCTACCAGTTCAGTTTGTCATATACCATTTGAGCTGTTCTTGTTTCTTCACATTTACACCCTCATCATACTCTGCTCCCTCTCAATACAGAGAGTATTTTTCTTTTTGCTTGTCCCTAGTGGCATTTGATGAGGAATTTGGCAAAACACCATGAGCCTCTGTGGTTCAGCTGTTCAGTTGCCAGAGGGACAGGATTTAAAAGCTAGCAGTTCCTAATTGACTCCACGGGTTAGTGAGATCAAAAATCTCCTGACATTTCTCTCTGGGTGATCAACAGCCATTTAATTCAATGGTATGTGCTGTAGCCAACATGACCTTGAAGGAAACCCAGGGTTTGTTTCTGTGGTTTAAAGAGGTCATTTCTAGACAGGGCTTCTGCTTTGCTTCAGAAGCTGCATGCACTTTCAATGTTGCTTGCATGAAGTACCTCTACAAAACTACATCTTGATGTTCTGTAGAGTGACGGGCTGAGTGAATACACAATTATCATTATCACTTATGCTCATTGCTGAGAGCAGGACTTGGTGATCATTTGATTCCTGTTGCTAACCTCACAAGCAGTAACATTTGCACTGGCCCTTCACTCACCCTTCCCTGCTCAGTCCAGCTTCTTGCCTAAACCTCCTCCAAAGTGTCTTTGTGTCTCAGCAGATCCCCATTTGTGTGCTTTCTCACTGCCTCAGCCCCAGGTGCTGAGTCAGGAGCAGGGAGAAGGAAAAAGCAGTGATTACTCCTGCTGATTGTAGTAGGGGTTTGCCCAAAAAAGGAAGAATAATATTTCTGCTGATAAATTGGTTTCACAGACTCATCTTTACATTTCTGTATTAAGAACTAAACATTTGAGTGCAGTGTTCAAATAATTTCTCCCTCTCTCTATTATAATCACTCTTTTCTCATCCCCCAAATTTGTGAATAACTGGAGAAAGGACACCTAATCCAGCATTAGACCTGTTCTCTCAAGGGCTTTCCAGACCATCCAGCTTAAGGTGGAACACCCTTTATTTTGGATTTAATAAAGCTTTGTTTCAGCTCCAGACCGAACCTTAGGCTTTGTCCCTGAAATGAGATAGCTGCTGATTATTGAGTGTTTGATGCAGGAATATGAACAAAGAAAAGAACATTTTATTTTCAAGGGCAGATAGGGAAGGAATAGGAGAGCAGGACAGATATCAGCTTGGCAGTGTTCTTGTGTTTATGGGCTTGGTTTTCAGTTGTTTGTTGATGTTTTTGAGTTTTTTTAAATCTGTGATTAGTGTTCAGAGAAGCATAGAAATCACAGTAAATAGACTTTGTGTGGGTGTTGATTTCCTGAATCAAGGCTAAATTAAGGATTCATACACAGAGTCTCTCTTGAAGTCTGGAAGTTGTGGGGGGCTGCCCAGCATGTGTTGGGCACACAGCCCTCGGCTTATGCTGTTTCTCTGTTGATTGTACTGCACATCAAAGTGCCTCTTGTCACCACAAATACAGTGCTTTTTGCTACCTTGTTTAGGAGAAAAACCCCAACAAACTGAAGCATGTTTTAGAAATGTCATAGAATAATTCTTTCTCTTGATTGCAAATGATTGCTGGCAATTTTTTAATTTATGTAGTGCACAGCTGTGTGTCTGAATGTGTTTGTAAGCATCTGGGAGTCACCTCAAAGTGCTGTGTTAGCCACGTCTGAGTTTCATTGCTGAGGACAGCAGCCACTTAAACTGGAATTGGTGGTTCTGAGGAGCCTGGTCCCACTCCACAGGGCTTGTTCAAGGTGCCTGTTCCCAGCACAGCTGCTGGCAGACACTTTGGGCAAAACAAGCTGGAGCTGTGCATGTGGGAAGGGGATTGGCACCATCAGTGTGCTCTGCAGTAATCAGGTGAGGCTGGCTTGTCAAAGCCCTGGCAAACCTTCACTGGGGCTGGTCACAGCTCGTCTCATGGGCATGGGGGTCAGCCTTTCCCTACTGAGGCTGAGTTGGTGCTTCTTTCTCCTCCAGCAGAGGCAAACGTGTTCAAAAACCCTGAAGATGTGTGGGAGTCCGTACATGCTGCTGCAGGTACAGAGGCAGGATGGATAGCAGCTTGCACAATTGTGCTACTCTCTCAGCAACATTTCTGCTCTCTGGTTAGACTTGCAGTGTATTTAGGGCTTTGATGTGGTCTTGAGAAAGATGCTGCTACAGCTAAATGTATGCATGCAGCAGGCCCTGCTGCAAATATGGGTCTGAGTCCACAAAGGGATTATGGTACGTCTTACATCTGACTGCTAATCAGGTTCAAAATCTAGGAGCTGAAAGTATTTGCAGATCTTCATGGGGGCCACTATGGTCCTTGGAAAAGTAGTTTCTGCTGGACAAGTCTCAGACATGTCTGCAGAGCTTCTGCATCCTTTGGCATGGTCTGTCTCACTGCCAGTGCCCAGGCTGGAGACATGTCCTGGATGGGGTCATCAGTGTGAGCCCTGTGAGTCCCACTGCCACACACTGGGAGCACCAGGCAGCACTGGATCCACCTGGGCTGTTCCTCAGCAGGTCCTGCTGAGCCACCCTGCTGGGTCATGCTTGGTGTGCTTGTCTCAGTGGGCACTTATCACCAGAATTTGGGAAAAGCGACGTGAGGGCACATTATGGGGATCTTGAGCAGGTCCTGGTCATCAATGAGCAGCAGTCTGGAGTGAAGTTTTGATACGGTGTTTCTAGTAATAGAGTAGTGTGCATTATTGTGGGATGTTTTCTGCTTATTTACTCTTTGTGAACTCTCTGGTTGCTAATTTTAAGACTACTGTGGACAACCAGCAACATCATCAGTGAGTAATACGAATCAAGATGGTGATGGGCCCTTAAGAGATTAATGTGGTTTGCCTTGTTGACAAAAATGAGAAACCTCCAAGGAAGAGCTCACTGCTTGCCATGTCTTCATCTCAAGACCCCTGTCCTTGGGGCTAAATTTGTTCATAAAGGCCTAAAATTTAAGATGGGATGGCACAGTTTTTAAAAACATAGGCAAATGTTTCATCCAAGCTCGGGAATAACTGGAAAAGTGTCAATTTTGCAGCATATGCCAAGGGGAAGATAATTCAATGTTTCAAAAGGGCCTTTACATGGTTATTCACTAACTGATTCCCCAGCCCCCTCCTGAAGAACCATTGACAGAAATGTACAGCATAAGCTCAGAAATGTTTATATGTCACCTTAGAAGTGCTAATGAAATGCAGATGATATGAAAGAACATTTATTTACATATCTAAATCTCATTCTCTTTCAGGCCCTGCGATCCCTGTTGGGGTGGATGTGCAAGTTGAAAGCTTGGACAGTATTTCTGAGGTTGACATGGTACGTAATCCTCCTCTAAGCCTCAGTTAATTCTAGTCACAAAAAGACCTTCTGAATTGAAACCTGTGGGTCTCTAATCATTGGTCAGATGAAAGTAAGAGCTGCATCTCCAAAATTCAAAGAGGCTGATAATCAGAACCAAAGACTTGATAAAACCAGATGATCAAAGTCTTACCTCTCTACCTCCAGATAAAGATTAAAAGCGTGAAGAGAAAAGGGACCTTGAATGGGAGAGGAATCAGTGCTGTGAAAGATCTATCACAACTAAAAATATAAGCAGCTGCATATGAAGATTTGAAGCCATATGGTAAAATTCACATAAGCTGTGTTTGCTGCAGGAGTTTCCTTCCTTAGGGAACCATTCAATTCTCATGAGTGTCACACACACTTTACTGTTTGGTTTGGAATTGTTTTATGGTGATTTTTAAAATTTTTAATTGTAGGAAATGGAATAAAAAAGAGAAGTGGAAAGGGGAACATAGAGGAAAAGAGGAAGCTTCTGGGCTCCTTCCTCTTGCTGCCTTTTTGTCCCTGTTCTTGTGCACCTTTTGTGGTCTAAACCAAACATAAACAAACATAAAGACAAAGAAAAAGCTTTAGTTTGAGTAGTTTCTAATATGGCACAATTGCATCTTTATCCCATTTTGGAGGGGCTGATTTAAATGACCTTTAAGGGTTCTTTCCAACCCAAACTATTCTATGTTCTGTGATTAAAACCAGACAGTTTGCCTGCCTGGATATTGAAAGAGAGGGTTTGGAGTATGCATGCAATGAGGTGTGTGGGAAGGAGCTGTCAGCACAGGAAATGGCTGCTAGGAGGAGAACTGGGACCCTAATACATCAAGATAATATCAGAGCAGCAAAGAGGCCTAATTAGTGCAAAGAAATAACTCACAGTACTTTCTGTCAGGATTCAATTAAAATCTTACTTGTCAGAAGTCTTGGAGGTCCATTCTCTCCCTTGGCTGTTGATAGTTCCTATTTTCCCAGCTCATGACAAGCATTTTCTACAGCAGTTGCTGATACATATTTGGGGTGGAAGAATGTTCTCCCAGTTCAGCCTGAGTTATGTTGGTGTGTTCTTCCAATAGACTGTCCCAACATGGGTGTCTGCAGGGAGGAGAGTGGGCAGCAAGCTCTCTGCATGGCCAGGGGACCGGGCTGGCTGTGCCTGCAGCAGGGTGCCCTCCTTGTCTCCTCATTGCAGGCAGGGCTTGTTTCAAACTGCTCTGAAGTGGTCCTGAAAATCAGGTACCCTGGGCTGGGCAGGCCTTACCTATCACTGTTTGAGCAGGCACCTGGTGCCCCAAAGGACCAGACTGAAGCATCACCAGCCGCAACCCACTGTGTCTGCAAGACTGTGCAGGGGCTGTTTAAAGCATGTGGGTTTAAAACTGGTGCCTGTCTGGTTGACATGGATGGGCTGCTGCTGTGTGCAGTGGCAGGACATGCTCTTGAGGCTGCCTGGAGCTTGGAGCAAACATGAAATACGCTGCCAAAATTGAGGTACTTCTGTGTAGACTTATTTGTGCCTCTGGCAGGTACTGTAATTCTCCCAGTTTGCTGTAAAACCTTGTTTTCCAAGGGACATTCGTATTTGTGTGTGCTGAAATTAACCCCTTTTCTTGCTTGTAAATAGTGTTTGTGCTGGTTAGGAAGGAACAAGTGGTCAGCACACTGCCTCTTTTGAATCTTGCCATGAAAAAGCCTCCTTAAGTTGGATTTTATGCTTAGAAGCTGTTGTCAGCTGCCACTTTGTGTTGGCATCATTTGGTGCACCATGTTGGCCATTGGAGAGAGAGGAGAGTTGGCCATTGCAGAGGCCACTGTGCTGGCTGTTTGGAGAGAGAAAGGGACTGAAGGTGAAAATGAGAAGCTCCAGTCTGGTAGGACAGGGAGAGGGGTGGCCTGGACAGCAGTGAGTTCCCTCCTGGGCTGTGCCTTCAGACAGTCTCTTCCCCCTCCTCCACAGTGGCTGTAAGCAATGCTGAGGGTGCCTGGCTGATGGTCCCTGTTCCCCTGTGCTCTGATCATGCAGCTGCCCAGAGGCATTTTGCAGCCACAGCCTCAGGCTGCCTGGCTGTCCTGGTTTTGGCTGGGATAGAGCTAATTTTCTTCTTAGTAGCTGGTACAATGCTGGGTTTGGATTTAGTATGAGAATGACACAAATAACACAGTGTTTTAGTTGTGGCTCAGCAGTGCTTACCTTGAGTCAAGGACTTTTCAGTGTCTCCTGCTCTGCCAGTGAGGAGGGGCACAAGAAGTCAGGAGGGAGCATGGCCAGGACAGCTGACCCAAACTGGCCAAAGGGATGTGCCATACCACAGGACATCATGCCAGGAGCTGGCTGGGAGGGGCCAATTGCTGCTGGAGGATGTGCTGGGCATCTGTCAGCAGCTATGTTGTGCATCACTTGTTTTTCTGGAGTTTTGCCCCTCTATCTCTTTTCATCTTCCTTTTCATTACTCTTTTTGTTACTATTTATTTCAATTGTAAAACTGTTTTTATCTCAACCCAGCTTCTTTTAAGTCTACTTCCCATCAGATTGGCTGGAGGTGGTGGGAGAGAGGAGTGGGCAAGTGTCTGTGTTGTACTGAGCTGCTGGCTGGAGTTAAACCATGAGAATGGTCCTCCTCTCCTGGAGCCCCATGTCCCTCTATCTCATGTCATGGCCAGGCAACCGGCAACCCTGAATAGCCAGGCTCTTCTTTACTCCTTTTTTGACTTCTACCATAGCTTGCACTGATTCCTAAGAAAGCAGAAATTTTGCCTCTTCCTTGATTCACTTTTTCCCAGCTTTAGTCAAACTGAGGAGCTTGATGTCCAGCCCCTGAGGCTGACTCTTCTAGCTGGGCCATAACCTAAGCTCTGCCAGTGGCAGTAGTTGCTGGAAGTGTTTCTCTGGGACTGTAGATATAAGGGGAAGGTGCCCAGTGTCCAGTAAGGAACAGGAGCTCACAGCATCCCTAGGATGAGCAGTGAGGGAGCCTGGGACCAGTCTGATAAGGTGGGGTCCTGCAGGTGGGTGAGCAGAAGTGTCCCCTGGCCAGTCTCTGCCATGGTCAGAGAGGTCTGGCCAGCTCTGTACTGTGCTGGGCAGCAAGGTGAGGGCTGGCACCAGAGCCTTCTCTGACAAATCAATGAAAAACCTACTGCCAATGCGTGGCTGTTGTGAGACAGCCCTTTGAAGCAGAGAGTCAGAGTAATTGATTGTCACCAAACTGATTGGCTGTGGTGTGAGAAAGTGGTTGCTCGGGAGAAACCCTGGCCTGTGTTGCTGCCTGCTCAGACTTAGCAACTGCAGCTCCCATAATCACTTGCTTAATTGGGAGTATAAAGAAAATAAGTCTATTTGATCTCTCAACATGAGAGTAGATTCAGCTCTAAAAGCAGCAACTGTCAGGTTGGGATCAACAAACAGATGTTTTCCTTAATGTCACTGAAGTTCCTGCCCCATCAACAAGCCTGAAAGGGAACTGTATTTACACACTTACATGGTAGGAAACACAGTTCCATCACTTGGTTGCTGTTTGTAACAATTTAGTCCTTTTGGGGATAAATTTCTTAGTGTTTAGCATGACCATTAAGCTAACTTTCAGTTTTTCCTCTTGAAGATCCTATTGCTTCCATAGTCCTGTAAGATAATTTTGCCAGAATTGAAGAATCATTTCTGTAGGGCGTTGCTTCTCTTGGGGCATATTTATATCCCATTTGGGACCAAACATTACTAGGTACTATAATAAATTCTTTAGTTGGATATGCTTTATTTTGGCTGAAATTATTTTGTCAGGAAAATCTACTGACACAGAGGATTGACCTAGGAAAGAATCAGGAGTTGAGAGTGGAGAGATGTCATCTATCTGGTGGGAGTGAGTTTTTCTTCTGGTGTGTCCTAGTTGTAAAGTGCAGCACTGACAGACCTCTCTTCCTTTTCTGGTTCTCTTCCCTTTTTTTAAGGATTTCACTATGACCTTGTACTTAAGGCACTACTGGAAGGATGAGCGTCTCTCATTTCCCAGCACCAACAACAAGAGCATGACCTTTGATGGCAGGCTGGTGAAGAAGATCTGGGTCCCTGATGTCTTCTTCGTGCATTCCAAGAGGTCCTTCATTCATGATACCACCACGGACAACATCATGCTGCGAGTGTTCCCCGACGGGCACGTCCTCTACAGCATGAGGTAACGGAGCAGCCCTGCTTCCCCCGAGCATCCCCTGGGGCTTTGCTGCCACTTTGGCTCTAGACTTGACTTTGGTACTGCCAATCCTGCTACTCCCACTGCTGATGCAGAGCCCTGTTTCCGGAATATCCACTACAAAATGCTTTGCAGGAAACTCGGAGAGCCCATGTTGAGGGCAGTAACAGGATAATCTCCTCCTGAGGGAAGCATGCCCCCAACTCTTTGCAGTCAGTGGAGGGCTTAGTCAAACAAGAATGTTCATCCCAGGGTCAGTGTGTGATTAAACTGGAAGCTGCTGATACACCAGATGGTGACCTCTATAATTATCCTATTTTTCTTTCTTGTTTGTCTAGAATTTTTTTTTCAGTTGTGGTGCTTTCCTGTTGATGTAAATGTTTAAGTTTATTGAAGCTGAAATGGCAGTATTAAAAACATCTTGGTTTTCTAGAAGATTTGTTGGCTGGAAGAATCCTGAGGGGTGTCTGTCAGGACCTGCAGGGTTATCCATCCTGCGGGTGTACATGGATCGTGAGTGCGGGTTTGCAGGATTCTGTAATACACAAGGATATGGAGGCTTAATCCTCTAAACTTCTCTACCTTTTTACAGATTATTAAAAATACCACAAAAATCACCACTAGCAAGCAATCTACCACAAAATCACCACTGGCAACTATACCTGTGATTAATAAAGTGACTGCATATCCACATCACCCTATTGCAAATTACTATCAGCAATCAATAATTTAGCATCTATCAATCACGTGGCAACAGGCAATAACTAACCAGGGTATTTAAAATGGTGAAGCATCCACAATATACCCTCAGGTACACTTAGGACAGGTTGCTTGTGTGGGTGCACAGTACTGGTATCAAGTGATACCGATCCCAATCATCCAATGAATGGGTGGGCAAACTGAAACAAAGTGGGATCAGAGAGAGACAGCAGTGTCTCATTTCAGAGATGCTCTGAGTCACAGTGAGTGGAGTCAGCCAAGAGTCCTTGGTGGGTGTCCAAGAGCTGGTAGAAAGTTCATGCACCAAATTCAACCTTCTAAGGAACAGAAAAGTATGCGCAGCAGGGAAAGGTCTCAGAGGAAGGCTTCACCTTGGGTAAAAATTATATCCTCCTTATATCCAGAGATAAGAGGGTGTAGGATGCCACCACATTGAATAGGCAATAGATGCTAGTAATTTTTGTTTTTCACCTGTAACAGCCAATAGATAATGATGTTTTCTGTTCTCTCAGACCCTTTTTTATTTTCAAGATAATTTCCTACCTTTTCTTACAATAAAATGCCTGTTAAAGCACTTTTTTTTTGTCAGTTATTTATGGTGTTTCAGGATGTCTCCTGTTTCTAGGTACCCTATCTGCATGTCAAAGAGGCCAGCTGTGCTTCTCAAGGATTTGTCTTGTTCCCAGGCTGGCAAGCCTTTCTCTGTCCATATTTTTTATCAGACAGTTTTTTGCTCAGTAGTTTCCCCTTCTAACCAGCCCACCTTTATGGCTGCTCACATCAGCATCCCAGCAGATTTAATTTCCTTCAGAAGAATGAAAAGAGAAGTGGAGAAAAACACACTGCTAGAGGAGAAAAGCTCAAGAGCCCAAAAAAATGGATATTTCCTCAGGACAGAAAACATGCTCTGAGTGTACAGTGATTTTTGAATATTTTGTAGCAAAGGATTTCTGTTCTAGGATCTTTCTGGAACTTATTCCTTTCAGCTATGGTAAAATGATTTTCAAAATCTTGGAAAGGTTTTCTATTAAATTTATTTCTGTGACCAGCTGAGGAGGTGATGTGGCTATTTAATGTTACCCACAAGAGAGAAGCCTGTGAGTTAACCACAGCCGATTGCACAATTGTTAAATGGATAATTTGATATGTAAAATCCAAGGAGAAAAAAAATCTCCATGGCATTTGGGCCTGGTGGTGTTTAGAACACTCAGAACAATATCCAGCTGAAAAAGCATGGGTGTCCACTGGTGCTGGGAATGCCCTCAGATATCTTGAGATGTTTGAATGGGATTGGCAGTGGACTGGGGGGTATTTCATTCCTGTTTAGGGCCTTGGGTCTTCAAAGCCACCTGGACACTGCACTCTAATTGAGGAATATCATATTGATGAGCTGAGTTTCTGTTCTGGCCCTGACTAACAAATTGTTACTGACCACACAGGCTGTGCCACAGTTCAGGTGATGCTGGAGAAAGAAAACAACACACTTTAATGAGACTGAGTTATACAATGCTGAAATGCTACACACAGTTAGGGGAGGTCATTGTTGCAGGATACCTTCTGGAGCATATCCCCAAAACATTCTTTAAATTTTGCTCAAATGGCAAAATTTTGCTCTAGTTCATAGTCAAAATGAACAGCATGTGCCTTTCAGGGATGATGAGTGTGTAGGTCAGGGTAGGATTTGGATCACAATCCCTGGAACAGAGGAGAAGTCCTTTATCAACATCTGCAATGCATCTAGAAAATGGTCACAACCAACGTAAGTCAGCCTCTGAAACGATGAGTCACAGCTCATTTGCCCCTCCTAAATCGGGAGCTCCACTGCAAATCCATCTGCAAGAGAAAGTTCACTGACCCACTGGAAAATTTCTTATGTAATGTTGTGCACAACTGGACTAGTTTAGAAACTGGAGCTGTGATTCTGTAGCTTTTTAGCTAAGACAAAAACTTAACAGAAGCAAATTTCACTTGCTGAAAACCAGCTGCACTCATTTTACATCCCCTGCCCCAGAAATACACCCCCTCAGATTAAAAGGGTTTATTGGGAGCTGTATGAAACTGCTTTTGCCTTAATAATATATGTACTGAAGGAATTTTGTGGTTTACAATAAGGATGGTCATATTCCTCAGGCTTGGGTCATTCTGGGAGTGACTATGGAGGGAACTGGGCAATGAGGAAAATGTGGAAACCTTAATTAAACTGCACATAAGGGAATATTCAACTGTAAATAGTGAAGCTACTTTGCATTGTAGTCTTGTAGGAAAACAGTTGGATAAAAAACACAGTGGAAATACCTGTACTGACATTAGTATAAGAGTAACATCCAGGATAGTGTTTTTGTTCCTTGATATTGAAATTACATTTTTGGAGTTTCTGTGTATAATCCATCTAGCTTGAATATGGAGAATTTGTAGGCATTTTCCTGTGGATTTTTTTGCAAACATCATGCAATATTTGTGGCTTAAAATCTGCAGAATAATTATCTGTGATAAAATTCAGCTTTTCTCATTTTTAATTTCTAGGGTCACAGTGACAGCAATGTGCAACATGGACTTCAGCCACTTCCCCCTGGACTCTCAGACATGTTCTCTGGAGCTGGAAAGCTGTATGTTGTATCCGTGTTTCTAGCTAGATGTTCTCCATGGCTGGCTGCACAAACATTTCACTGGACATGTTTCAAAATACTGTCTATTTTAGAGCCTGAAAAAATAGTTCATCAGAGTTACTAGGAGTCCTGTTGACTCAGCAGTATTGTGTATCTAGTCTTTGTGCTGCAAGACGAGAATTTGCAAGGGAAACATCCTATGACATAATCCTGATCCTGTAAACATTGTGATCTGGGCTCAGCTTTGGTGGAGAAAGTAATGTGAACAGTAGGATTTTTTGGTAGACTTTCTCCAGTGTATGGTAAGCCTAATATCTGGTTGTTTTGATGTCCTCCCAGCTATTTAACTGAATGTTCCTCTGCAAAAAACCAGAATTAGAATCAGAGGATAGTTTTCACTGACCTTGAGGTCAGCTGCTCCAATACTCTGCTGAGAGCAGGGAGGTCTTCATAAGTTGCTTGGGCCTGTGTCCATTTGGACAAAGAATTATCTTTTGAGCAAGATAATTCAGGCTCCACAACTTTTCTCTACAACACGCTCAAATATTTGACAGCTCTGATCCTGAAAATGTTTTCTTTTTTCCTGCTTGGGAACAGTACTTTTCTGGACCTACAGCCTTTGCCTCTTGTCCTTCCATTCTCCATTTGTCAAAGCATCTGGGAAAAGGCTGCTGCCACCTTCTCCATGAGGGTCAGCAGTGCAGCAGCTGGACCCCACCACAGGCTGCTCTTCTCCCAGCTGAACAAACCCTGTTCCCCAGCCTCTTGTCCCTAAGCCATGTGCTCCTGTCCCTGATGATCTTGATAACCCTTTTCTCATTTCCCATTCCTGTTACTTAGTGAACAAATTCTCTGTGTTTTTCATTTATAATTTTAACGTATTTCTGGGCTTTTGCTTCTCACCTATCCCTTTTGCTTTTATCATTCTAAGATAGTTTGAAGTGTCCGTGCTTCCTCCTTCCTCTAAATTAAGGTGTTTTACCCATGATTATTTCCTGAGCTATCATCTATTTTTAGTCTGTGATGTTCAGAAGAGTACCATTCTAACTGTCATTTCAATGTGAAGTAAAAAGAGGATTTGTTTTCTTGAATCTTGAATCATGATTTTTGTTGTTGTCACAGTATATTATATGACAAGATCTTTTGAACTCCTTTGTTGTTGGCAAACTTACTTGTGGCATTAGTTCATGCCAAAGACTGGATGTATTAACTTTTATTGAACCTCTAAGCTAAAGTCACATAACATTGTATTTCTTCTTTCCCTAAGATGCTTACACTGATGAAGATCTGATGCTGTATTGGAAAAATGGGAATGAATCTCTGAAAACTGATGAAAAAATTTCTTTGTCTCAGTTTTTGATACAAAAATTCCACACCACATCAAGACTGGCTTTCTACAGTAGCACAGGTATTGACCTTTTCTGATGTCATACTATTGCTAAACCTAATGCTGTGTTAATTGCTTTGAGGGGGTTCTTGGGATTATGTCACTGAAGTGTAGCCTTCACAACCTGTTTGAAAACTCAGTTTCTTGGTTTAGTAGTCTTAGAAATAAAAGAACCAAAGAAAGATCTTGTCTCCTTGTACCTGCTGTCCAAGCTGTTCTCACTTCTCCTGGCTTTCCTCCTCTCTCAAAGGTTGGTACAATCGCCTCTATATAAATTTCACGTTACGCCGACACATCTTTTTCTTCCTGCTCCAAACCTACTTCCCTGCCACTCTCATGGTCATGTTGTCCTGGGTGTCCTTCTGGATTGACCGACGAGCAGTTCCTGCCAGAGTCTCTTTGGGTGAGAACAACTGCAACAAGCCATGGCTGTGTGAAAAGCTTTGAACGTGAAGGTTTTGGCAGGAAAGGGAACTAACTGTTCATTTTGATGGTTGAAGATACTGTGCAAGCAAACGGTGGTTTTATTTGATGATTAATATAATGTATAACTTGCACTTTGTTCTAAGTCCTTCATCATTTAGCAGTCTTCCTCACTTTTATGTAGCTCAAGACAGAAAATTGTGTGGTCTTTAAAAATGAAGTTGTAACACAGAATGGTACAGCTAGGAAACAGGAGTCCTTGTCACCACTGGTCTTAGCAGACCTGATCTTAGGATTAGGTGTGTAAAAATATGTTTTAACAGCCTTGTGTTTAAACCCTGGAGTTTAAGGAGGGAATTAAATGCTGTTTGTTAAATGCAAAATGTTGGCTGCTCCATTGCTTCTTAAAACTCACCTCATCATAAGCACAAAACTGTAGGCAGGGGAATAATTCTGCATTAGCAGAAGAGCTACTTTGCACACATGGTAAAGATGTTCAAAATGAACATCTTTCAGACCATCATGTGGGCCATAATTTCTGTTTTTCTAGGAAAAAACCCTTATGGAATGTATCAGTCAATAGCATTTCTTTCTCTTGGTTCTTTACAGGGATAACCACCGTGCTGACCATGTCCACGATCATCACTGGGGTGAACGCCTCCATGCCTCGTGTTTCCTACATCAAAGCAGTGGACATTTACCTGTGGGTCAGTTTTGTGTTTGTCTTCCTCTCGGTGTTGGAATACGCAGCTGTGAATTACCTGACAACGGTGCAAGAGAGGAAGGAGAGGAAACTGCGGGAGAGGGTGAGAAACACTTTTGCCATCCACTTATTTCCTTTTTTTCCCCTTACAGATGATCTGTCTTTATATTGACTGTCTGTTAATGGGAAAACATTGACAACCATGTGTGTAATTGGGTCTGTTTAGACCACTCCACCTCAGGCTGAATTGCTAATACAGAAAAACAGGATTTGATCTTATGGATCTTCATAGAAACATCAGAGAAGAGAGTGTGATCTGAACTGGGAAAGAGTGCAACCTGGAAATGAGAGGGAATGGCAAGGGGGGAAAATATAAAGCCTGATGCGTCACTGCAACTGCCACGATTCTTGTTTAGTAAGCTAAAGGTGTTATTTGGTGCAAATTATTAGTTTCCTCCCTCTGGAAGCTGGATTTAATGGATGTAATAGTGGAGGTGTTTCCCATCACCAAACACAAACAGCAGTCAGTAAGTTTATGCTTGTACTTCTTAATGTGCTATAAAAGGTCTTATCCTGCATCCCTGGAGCGTTTCAAGACCTGATACATCCTGATCATCTTGGCTCTGCTACAAGCAGGACATAGGACTAGAGATTCCCTGAAGTCCTTCCCAGCCTGAGATATTTTATAGACTTCTAGGCCCTTCTTTGTGATTAAACAAAGCACCATTGTCTTTTGAACACTAAAGCTTAGAAGCAATTTTTTTCAGTTACCATACACCCAGAATATCACCATGTTTTACAGTTTCTTTCTTTCCAGTAGGAACTCACATTAGCCTACTGGTAACCTACTGTCTTTGACTCCTGGAGAAATTTGTATAATCTTGTTGGAAATGCCAATGCAGACATCATCTTTCATACAATTTAAGCATGCTGTTATTTCCCTCTATGAGCTACTCTTTTAGTTTTGCATGTCCTTATCTTTCCCTTCCTTTTCTCCCTATTACTTTCTTGAAGAACAGCACAAACCCCATAACAGCCCAGCACCTTTCTCAGTTGGCATACTGTAAAAAAATGTAATTAGATACTTTAAAAAAAAAACAAACTGGATAAATTTGCCAGACTTCTGTGATGAAATTTTACCTTTCTTAAAGGCCTTCTCAACAGCATTATGATTCTGGAAAGCTGCTTTGACAGTGTCTGAGTATCTTAATTTCTGCCCCTCCTAGCCTGCACCTGGGGCCCAGCAGTTCTCTGCAATACAAGGTTGAGATGCTCTGTACAAGCACAGTGACTCCAGTGTATCTGACTTTCTGCACGTGAGCAGTGGTCTGTGACATTTTCGCCAGCCCTGCTCAGGCATCCCATGTCCAAAGAATATGGCATCTTGGCAGGGCATGGGAAATAACAAGAAATATCCTTGCTAAGTTTGACTTGCCTAGAACAAACCTGCATTTTTTTTTAAGATGAAAACTCTTCCCTGTTTTTAACTGTACTGGAGGGATTAAATGAACTTAAGAGGGTTTGTTAATTTTCTGCTAAGTTTTTTGGATTTTTTTTTTTTTTGTCACATCCAGTGATGGCGTAGCTTGTTATTTATATAATAAATCTGCCCTTTATTGAGTCTTGTATGTTGCTATCTTCAGCAAATTCCTTTTTACTGCAGAAGGGAAAATATAGTACCCAGTCTTCAATGTGTGACAGTATTATTCTTCAGTAGGGAAAATGGGAACAGAGATAATAAATACCATTATTTGAGGAAGAAGCTCTTGAAGAAGCAGAAGAGGCATTTCTCACAGTAGATGCAGATGTTATCAGCCAGAGCTGCTCCCAATGAAAGACCCCAAAAGTTCTAGTATGAACATGTAAGGCTGCCCAGAAGAGAGCTCTATGTTATGTCTACATTAAGAAATTAAATGTGGCAGAGACAAAGACATGCGGTATCTAAAACAAAACCTTCTCTTCCTTAAGATCACAGGAGCTGCTGTGAAATGCCCATGGCAAAAGGTCTGTGGCCCCATGCTTATTCCCAGCCCATACCTGGGAACTTCTCAGTGTTCACTGGGCTGAGAGAGGCCAGAGACCTCTCTGACACTTTGATAGTAAATCAGCTGCATTCCCATGTCCAAAGAGGCTCTTTGGCAGTTTTTGAATTATTATTGTAGACATAAGCTAAAAGTCCTGCAGGGTGAAATTACATAGTGCACCCCTGCATGTACATGCCTATGTGAGGATGAGTGTAATTTTAGGTTCTGTGGAGGTGGGTTTCTAGCACGTCAGGCTCTCTTGTCCATAGAGGTGGCTGTCATCACATGTACATGAAGCCATGGGAACTCTAATTTGACCTGGGGTTGACAGTAAATCTGCAGAATTGCTTTCTCTGCTGAGTCCTGCAGCAATTAGCTTGTTATTGTAACTGCTGTGCTTCACACGCAGCCATCATCTCCTGGACCTGTCAGTTCATGATGAAGAGTGTGATGTGAAATTCTCCTCTGTGGTTTTTTTCATGGTTTGGTATTATTCTGGTTTAGGCTGGCAACCTAGTTAGAGTTAGTTTCATTTCAGTAGTGGTACAGTATAGTGTTTTGAATTCAGTGTGAGAATAATATTGTTGCTAAATTGTTTTTATCCTGAGTTTATGTGTCTCATGCTCTGCCAGTGAGGAGGTAAACTAAAAATGTTGGGAGGGAACATGACCAGGACAGGTGACCCAAATGAGCCAAAGCAATATTCCACACCATAGAACACATTTCAATTATTCAACTATTCTTATCTCAATCTACAAGTTTTACATTTGATTCTTTTCCATAACCCTCTGGAGTTCAGGCGGGAAGGTGGGTTGAGTGAGTGACTGCATGATGCTTATTTGTCAGCTGGGGTTAAATCACAGCAGTCCTTTTTGGGGAGCTGCACTCTGGTTTTGTTCTCTTGGTTTGGTTTTGTTAGTTTTGGGGTGTGGGTTTTTCAAAGTGTGCCTGCTTAGAATAAAATGTCTTAAAACCCACTTGATATTCAGTTGTACTCATGCAGTGCTCAAAAAAAGTAAAGTAAGAAGGCTACTAACTTGTCATGTTTTTCTGAACACAACCTGCCGATATGCTGATATAACCTTTTGATTATGCCAAGAACACAGAAAATAATCCTTAAGTTTATTTTAAGGTTTTCAATAAGCAATGTGATCTGTTGTTTAAATAATTTGAAGGAAAAGCCTTGACTGCATTTGTTTTAGCTGAACATATCTTTGAAAGCAAGTTCTTGGAAAACCCACACATCGAAGTTGGTGGAGTATTATTGGGTAAGGAAATTGGTAGGAAATCAGAGACGGGAATTCCTAGCAGAAAGGACATTTTGGAGACATTTGGACATTTACATTGTATGCAAATACATAATCCATATTGCTGGGACAGGAAAACTGAAGGTTTTGAATGATCAAAGACTACATTTCCTATTTAAAATTCTATCTCTATGCATTGGCATGTTGTAGGATGCATGCTGGTGCTTCTGAAATCAATACAAATTTTGCTATTAGCTTCAAAAGAGCTGGGATTTAACATTATGCTTTTAGCTGGTCCTCTGCTTGGTTTAAAATCAGATTTATGAAGAAAGCATGTGTATCTGTAAACCCAGAACTTGGCCTTTTTCTTCCCATAACATGTACTGGATAAGCCATTTCCAGAGATTAAACTGCATCTTGCCCATGAATATTTATAAAGACAAAGAATAAATAATAAGGAATCTCAAGACAGTGAGGCTGAACAACAGCTACCTAAGAAGACCTTTTGCTTAGATTATATGTCTACTAAAGCACTTCATAATCTTTTCTGAAGCTGTTTGTCCAAAAAGTATAGATAAACCCTGTTTCTTCTTTTTGAAAAAAAAAAAAAAAAAAAAAAAAAAAAAAAGACCTTTTTGTTCAAAGAGAAACTTAAAATATCTCAATCAAAATTTTGACCTCAACTATTTACAAGCTGTCTGTTAATAGAAAGGCATCATTTCAGTTGCTTACATGTTTTTCCAATATTCAGCTATGTTTCTTGTTTATGTTCCTAGTTTTCGTGTTCATGTGGAATACCTCACTCGAAAACTATGATGCTGGATGGAAACTACAGTGAATCTGATGCCAACAGCCTGGCAGGATATACCAGAAACCAGATGGTACCAGAAGAGGAGAAACCAGAAAAGACGGTTGTGCATCTAGCTATGAGCAATGAATCCAATTCATCAAGGAAGAGAGGCCTGAAGGGCCATGTGGGCTTGCGCATCATCCAGAATACCCATGCAATTGATAAATATTCAAGGTTAATATTCCCAGGCACCTATATATTTTTTAATTTGATATATTGGTCTGTATTTAGCTAAGCATGCTGGCACTTCTGAATCAGAAGATGTCTACAAAACACTTTAGTTGGTACTTTTTTTTTTTTTTTTGTCTTAGCTGGAAACAATGCTAGCAACCTGATTATTTTATTGCTTCTTTGAAGTGTAAATGGGAGGACAAAGCCCCCAGGAGGCAATTCCATGTGCAGGCCTCATGGAGGAACTTGCTGTGCTGGTTGGTTTCCAGCCCACCCCCTTGCTCCCATGTGCTTTATGACACATGCCATCTCTCATACTTGAAAATACACGTCCACCATACAGCCAAAAGGTGCTGGATGCTCTTTTGGGGCTGGCCATATGGATGGTACCTGTTGTGCAATGGACAACCAAAGACAGTGTTCATGTGAGCTGTAAGGAATAAATAAATAAATAAATAAATAAATACATGCAACTTGTGTGGGGAAGTCTGGACAGCGCTTCTCCTGTAAGGAAACTGAATGAACACTTTACTTCTGAGAAAATGCTTTTGATCTTTCTTTGGCACATAAACATAATTTTTTCCATTGTTTTGTGAAGAACACCTCCTTTAAGGGTAGAGATTCTGCTTTCTGTCTGGATAGGACCTTCATCAGTACCATTAGGACAGCTGGCTGGCCAGGATGAGCTGGGCTGGTTACAAAGCACAGGTGGTATGATTGAGTCAGCCGGGTTTTTTCTAGATTACAAACTGCAGCCCACAGACAAACTGTATATCCCAATGTGCCTCTCCCAGTCAACACAATGCCCTTCTGTTCAGGCATTTGGGATCAAAAGGGATACATGTCTGCCAGAACCTCTCTGCAGAAACAGAGGCATATCAGAGATTAAGTGGCCAAGGATAATACTGTGGGTCTAAGGTCGATGTAAGTCCTTTGAAGCTGCTACACAGCATTGTAACATGCTTATGTGCTTGGCAGTTCTTTTCCTGTCCTATGATATCTCCCTTTCCTTTGCTAACAACACTGACAGCAAACCCCAAATGTAGAAACACGATAGCAACAAGACAGCAATGCTCAGGTTTGTCTGCTCCTTATTTTAAGAAAACACCATGACTTTTTGGCTGTTGTGGAGATTATGTACATCAAAACACTTATTTACCAAGCTGAAGCTGAGCAGTGGGGGCAGAGCTTGATGTGTTAAGAGCCAGGACTGAGGTTAGAATAAAGAAAAAGGAAACAAAAATACTGATGTAACCATAATTATTTGTCAGCACATGAAATTTTCTGCTTACATAGCAGGGATTCTTACATCCTAAATCTCAGGGGATGTAGAAAGTAGCAGAAAAATGTCAACTCTTGCCTGTCAACAATACCCAGGTTTTCCCTTGTGCCTCAAATATTACTGCCTAAGTCAAGCTGATGATGGCACCAATTTAGTGGAAAGAATATTGATGAGAAAAGCTAAAATTAACAACTATATTCCCCTTTAATCAGCCATGTTAATAACTGACATGAATGGAGTTCTGTCTGGTCATAAAAGCAAGAAACCACAGCCCTGAAATTGCTGGCAAGAAGAGGAAGGACAGTGTCTGAGGGGCAGGATTGCCTAGCCTGCCACTTGTCTCCTGAGCCAACAGGAGAGTGCATTTACCACTCATTGCCCATGGACCTGAAACCTGGATACTTCTCACATTGACAGGTGGAGATCACTACAAGACACAAAAAATATTAAATAAATAGACCACTCTTCTTTTGAGAGGATAAAGCCTGGGCATAACAGTGCATTCTTCATCATTAGCAGTTTTAAGTGTAAAACAGGAGCCAATGTCCCAGGTGGCAGTAGGACAGTTGCAACAAAGGGACCTTTGCTGGGGAAAAGCAGCAGAACCGCACCATGAAGCCACCAGAGAGTCCAGGGAGTGAGAAACTTGGTTCCTGTGCCCCCCCTGTTTTGCTGGTTTTTCAGCATTACCCATAGCACGTGCCATTTAACCTTGCAGTGCCTCAGCTCCTCCATCTAGGAAGTGAGGAGTGCTAGGATTCACCTACCTTGTAAGGTGCTGAGGGGCTCAGCAGGCTTGGATAGCATGTGTGTGGGGCATGCCTATGATTTCTGAGCAGGTCACCCAGTGGGAATCCAATTTTACCAGTGAGTTCTTCAAATGCATCCTCTGAATCAGTCCAGCTGGAAAAAAGCAGGCATCTCTCCTGTCTTATGATGCTATTACAACTCCCCTGCATTACAATGATATTAAACCAGGGATAAGTGCAGACAAACAGCCCAAAAGTGAGCGCTGTCAATAAATAATGCCTCCTGGCATACAAAACCCAGGAGGTTCTAGTGCTTTACTTTGCCATTTCTTTTTACTATGCCTCCTGTTCCCTTAGAAGTTATGTAATGGCAAAGATGTCCTTTAGGTCCTATCTTCTTCATCCTAGCATTCCATAGTTCTAATGTCTAATAGGCATCTTTTGGAGATTTTTTGTTATTTTATCTGCATGTGTACATAACTGATGGAAATTGATGTCTGCTTTTGTCAGCCTATAAAACCATCAAGAGGGTGTTTTTCCACTAAAGCGAAAAAAATCCCTCCTCTATCTTAGGCATTACTTAAACTCCTTATTAACTGAATCAGCAAATTAAAAGTATAGATGCAAATAAAGCCAAGCCTTCTCCTTCAGTCAGCATTATGAATTGTATTCTTCTGTTTATTCAGAGGAGACTGGCTAGGCATGAAGTTAGAACAAATATTTGAAGTGTGGTATTGGTAATGTATTTCACCTTTGATTTCTCTTTGATTAAAAGGGACTCTGTGAGCATTGTCTAACTTCCAGTTGCCAGGTCCCAAAACCAGTGTTTTGAGAGAGAGTGCCTGAAGCTGGGCTCTGAATGCTGTTTGATGGATGCAACCCAATTCTCTGAAGCACTGAGCAGATGGACAATGACCCTACTGAAGGAGAGGATTTTCAGAAGTCACAGGAGATTTGGGCAAATTTAGGTCACTGATGAAAATGCCTTCTCTGGACAACTTGGTCCAATTGCAAATATTGGCTCTTCTCATTCTAGGTCTGGCTCCATTGTAATTTTACTTCTAACCAAATCATGTCTTTGAGAAAAAAGTAACTATATAGATATATGCACATATGTATAATGTGTGTGCAAGCATAATGTATAACAAAGGAAGACACTGGGATGTGCACCTATGTTCAATAGTGTCCATATGTGAAATTGTAATATATAGTATGTAAATTACCATTTATTATGCCCAGAAAACTTACTATGTTGAATGGAAAAAAGGCTCTTATTGTCAGTCAGGGGCCAAGAAATGAGCCAAGAAATACAGGTTCTCTTACATTATTTTTCTGAAAAAGGAGGTGTTGAGAAGATACAAGCACTGCTGATGCTAAACTTGTGCAGTGGGCACAATCCACTGTGCTGATTGCTGTAATCAAACATAAAAAATAAAATAACAGATTGAAAGGATGGGAAAGAGTCAATTTCATGGTGTGAACTTTAAAATGTGATTTTAATTCTGTTTGGAAATCTGTTGCCTGTAATCTGATACCCAGGGGCAAAGGATTTGAATAAACACCTCCTTTGTAATTGATTTCAAGTAAGAAACATTTCAAAAGGTGGGAGAACTGTAGTGGAAGCATGCGACTACTTTGAAGTATGCAAAGCTCTTTGGGAAAAGGGAGCTGTTAATCACGGTTATAAGCTGTGGAGACCTTTTGTGAAAACTGCAACTCACAACTGAAGAAAGTTTAATAATTGCTTTACAGTTAATGGCATATTTTCAAAAGAGCAAGTGGCAGGTATGTATCTCAATCTCCATCTGACTACAAATGAGAACTTCTCATTTAATTTCTGCTTTGTGCCTTTGAAAACATTGTCTCCACACTTCCCAATGGAAGATAAAACTGCTCTGAGGTCCCAGTTGCCAGATCTCAGCTATTATCCCTAATGCAGACTTATGGAACTAAAATAAATGTGCACGGGTGAAGCTGATGCTTGAACCACTGAATAATGGTTATTGTCTTTCAAATTTCCACAGTGGAGAGATTACAGCAAGGTACAGCCTAACTAAGTGAGATACTGCCCTGCTGAAATGTAAAAGAGCGGAAAATTTATTTAAAAACCACAAGAATTTAGCACTATTAAAATTAAAATGTAATCCAGTCTCACATTAAGCTGATTAATTGCTTTGCACAAATGACATTTGAAATAATGTATCAGGGTCATTACTTTCCTGGTCAGAGGAATTATCATTTCAGATGAAGAGAGAAGGGAAATTGCGCACAAGCACGGAAGAGGCACCGCTCCTGGCATCCAGCTCTTGTGGAAGGACAGGAGAGACTGCCAGGGTGAGCAGGGCCTGCTGTGGAGGCAAGGCTGAGGGGAACCAAGGTACTCAGGGAATCACACATCACATGTGGCACTCCTTGATTTGGGCATGAGAAGATTATCCTCTACCAGAAGGGGTGGGATCCCCAGCAGCTGCAAGGCAGTCGTGAGAGGTGGTGCAGTGCAGGTGGTGTAGCCATTCTGGCCAGAGGTTTGGGCTCAGTTCTGGCCATGTGCATCATCAGCTGCTCCTTGGTCAGGGTCCATGTGCCCATGGCAGCCACGGGAAAAGTCCCCTCCATACCAGGACAGAGAGACCCAAATATGCCCAGCTCCTGGTGGGCTCTTGGCTCATCCTGCAGCACTGAAGAGATGGGGACTGCATGGCATGGAATGTGTGCCCAGCCTTCTCTTTGCAAGGCAGACAAGGATCAGGACAGTCCTGCACTGCCCACTCTCCAGAGCAAACTGGCAAAGCCCTCAGCAGATAATTTGACACGTGATTTTTAATATTTCCTCCCTTCAAGAAAATGTTGAAGACTCCTTTTGGCCAGTTGTCCAAATTGAACTTCTTTCACAAGTCTTTTAGGGATCTCTGAGGGTGTGTACGTGCACTTGCAACCATAGAAATTAGCTTAGGAAAACTGCCTGGCAACTCAACCCGTGCAAAATGCATATAAATGATGTGGAAAAAAAGAAGGAAAGATTTTACTGCTCTA